GTATTAAGACTAACAAATATTTATTACTTTTAATATATTCCGACCATAGTTTTGTGATTATTTAGTATATCTTTAATTTAGAAAAAGCTATTGTAAATGAAATACCGTTCGGAATCGCCAAGAAATACATTATTTATATAAGTCACGAGATAGCTAATGTTTGCATTGTTTATAGTCCCATGGGAGGTATAAAGATGATAGTTAACTTGACGCTATGCCTTCTCGCGGAGCAATATCTCTTAGCAATCGTACTCCATACAAAATATTGTAAAGCTAGAATATAGATACTCTGCCTAGCGAAGTATTAGAAATATAGAATTCTACCAATTCCTTATATCTTGGATTAGCACTAGCTTACTAGATATAATCCAGAGATTATAGAACGTCTCCTAGCGCTAAAATTTTATATTTATATAGACTGTAAGAGAGCGGATCTTATATAGTATAAAAGATCTCCTACGACTCCGATACTATGCATCTCGATAAGCTCTTGATTGCTTCTCTATCTACTTCGTTTGGCCCTATTGTTAAGCAGAGCTAGTTTAATGCAATTAAGAAGCTAATTCAGACTAGGCTATATAATATAAAATATAAATCCGATCAATATCAAATTTACCAATATACTCTATTGAAAGGAATAAATCATAGTCTTATTACTTGATATATTATTAGGCAATACCATAAATACTCGGGATTCAAGGTTATACTTTATAAGAGTTTCTAGAAGAATATTGCTTGGATTCATGCTTATATACGCACTATAAAGAGGCTTAAACCTAAGTAGTACCTTACGGTAGACCCGATTAATATAAATAAAGTAGCTAGTAATTACTATAAATACCTACGAGAATAGAGATAACAAGCAATAAAGCGTAATCGAAACTTTTGTATTTTACCTATAGCCTTTAAATAAACTATTTAAGGATACTTAAGAATGGCTCTATAACGTTAATATATAATTTTGAGTGCGCTATTTATACTGTAAGTAACCTAGCTAAAGTAGCTCTACATTTCGAAATAGTGCTTTAAGTCCTATTTCGTTGTATAGCCACTAGTCTACCTGGTCGGTATAAGTTATTTTTAATTTCCTTCAGTCGGGCCCAACGCGTGTTAAGTAGGGGGTAATAGTTAGTAGGATTTTCGGTCGGAGAAAGTTAGGGTGTAAGAAAGGGGTCTAGTGCTTACAGGATAGAGCCTGTCAACTAGGTAATATTAACGATGTCTCTGAACAAGTGGTATTGTAGGTTAATTCTCTTAGAATGTTATCGTACCTCACTTTTTAGATATCTACAATTAGGGTTGAGATTTCTAGAAAAGACCTTTGAATTAATAATACTGCCTTATCATATACTTAGTTTATTATAGCGAATTGACATATAAATAATTCTTGAATATACATACCCCTCCAAAACTGTTTATCCACCCCACTTTTTGGGGTTTCCCTTCCAAAATATATATATCACTTACTCCTTATATAGTAATATAGTAGCACCATTTATGACCTATATACCATTAACTAAATTTGCGGACTGCTTAATAATAGCACTTTCAAATGTCTGCTTAATATTCTGTATAATAACCCCCTGGCCATCCGTATTGCCTCCAAAGGTCTACCCATACTCAATATTAGGGTATCTATCTTCGACTGATCTACTGCGTTCCAAGCTTCCATTAGACTTTTTTTCTTCTTTAAAAAAAAAGCCAATCAGTTTCCTTCCTTTCTATGCCAATAGGCTATGGGAAAAGCTCAAAAAGTTTTAATTTTAACTAGCATTTTACCGGTTCAATTGGCTTTAAACCAGGTGAGTGCGCGGGCCAATCCTCGACGTATACTCTTCGCGGTTTAAACCACTCTTTCGTCAATTCTGCCCCAGTGAATCTTCGCGTTATCTTGCTAAAATACTATCCTAGGGATGTCGACTGGTAGTAGATCATTTTCGAGCGTTTCGATATACGATCTTTCAGTATACCCCTCCTCGAAAGCGAGTCTTCGTCCTATTATATAATTATTAATTCTGTCCGACCACCAAGCTAGATTTGTGAAATGCCCTTCACGTGAACCTTTGTATTTACAAGGTCTTTTCGAAGGCCTTCCGAGGTCTCAGGCAAGCCCAATTGTGATTCAAAGTTCGAGGTCTGTTGCACCGAACATTCGTCCGAGAGGTTCCACCATTGAAAGCTTTCACGCCGCTATGTTCTTACAATTTTTAGCCATTTCTTTGCAAGAAAACGCATAATTGGCCGCTTTTTGATAAACCGAATTGCTTCAAAATTCGCCGTATAGTGGACCGAGAGGGATGACGGGGTGTCGCAGCACTTGGCTATTTATAAGTTCAAAACGGGTGTCGGCGCGCTTGCAGAATAAGAAAATAGCAAGCTCGAGAGTCTAGTCTACGGGACAGCCGGTTCGAGAGAGTGATTTGAAGGTTTTATGCTCTTAATAGCGTTTAAGCGTATTAGAGGTAGTCTTGCGCGTACAGCCGAAATCGTTGGCAAGTTTAGACTGCGACACGTCTGCCTTGTCAGCGTAAATAATAGCCGACCTTTGCTCAGGGCTTAATTCAGCCTTTTTTTTTTCTACGTCTCGGTCCAATTTCCATTGAAAACGAATACGTAGTGGTGGTGTAGGAAGGAAAAATAAAAGGTGGGTCGTTGGGGGGGGTTTCAGTGGGCATTGGGTAAATAGTTTTGACCTATATCTGTAATATAAGACAACTTGAAGTAGAAATATTGGAATTCTGTAATGACTATATCAAGTCTCCAGGGATATATACTGTAGAACAAACATATATATCTACACTTTGCTCACGTACGCTTCTACAGTCTACTGAATGGAAAATTTGGACTTTTTCACCCCAATGTTACTATTTAGAAGGGTAATTTATAATCAAAAAGATTGAATACGTTATTTCGAATTATAGACCTATTTCTTAATTTCATAAGGGGCTTATACTAGAAAAGCATTATAGTTTTACGTATAAACCAGAACCAACATAAAAATCAGTTATTGTTTTGATAACAGAGCAGCTTTATGATTTGAAATTATGCAAAAGTTGGGCCGAGTTAGGTCTAACTTGGGTTTTATTGTGGTCCTAGTGTTGGGTCCGGGTTATGTCTGGGCTAGGTTTTCGGTCGAGACCTTCCCGACCCGAATTGGGTTCTGCGGAAGTCTGGATATAATTATTACTTGGATTAAATAGGTTCTATCTAGTAAACCCCATCCCTTTTACAGCATTTAGAATACTAGACCCGACTTATATCCTAGGCGTATCTAGGTAAGAGCGACAGAACCAATGAATATAGCGTCTCAATAATAACCATACGACAATAAGAGACCAAACACTACCTACCCTACACGGTATAGTAGCGATTTTGCTAATATACAGAGGCCCCTCTAGCCTATAATTCTGTAGCTAACGTGTTCTCTAAAACAGGTTTCCTAGACCAAGTGTGAGGAATGGGTCTAGTGTTTACAGGATGGAGCCTGTCAACTAGGTAAGATCAAAGAGATTTCGTGATAGTGTGACTGAGATGCCAAGACTAATCTTGGGAGAAATTATAGGTTCACTAAGAATAGACTATTCAACATGGACAAGAGAGGCGATGAGGTGATGCTAACGAGTCGATAGGGATGCGCCAGTAAGAGGCGGGGTAATCCATAATACTTGACATGCGTCCATTGAGTCCGTGACAGGAATGACTGCCTCTCCCCAAGAAACCAGTCTCGTAATAAAAGATCTACTTCTTTTACTATTCTTTAAATACCTATAACATTCATGCCTTACATGATTAATAAAACGTCTACCTAAGTATAGACAAGCTTCCCTTTTATAGACTACATCTTCCCGAGAGATTAATCTTACAATAAGATAACCATTTCTCTTGCTATTCCCTGACTACTTGTTGTCTTTCCACCTTACCTGATTGACATGACATCTACCTAGCAAAAGACAAGATTATTGCAGGACCAGCTCATCTGCAGGCGTTCACGACAATAAATGGGCTATCCCCGTGACCCTGGAAGAAACTGGTGAACAAGGGTGTGGGACCCACCCCCGCATTATCCCCGGGCTATGAGGTCACGAGTCACGCCACCTGCATTATATCTGCCCATCTCCCTCAAATCATTGGACTTCCAACTTTCACCATCTGAATCAAAAGTAAGTTATTTGTGCGTTTGCTTGTTACTACACACTTATTTATTACGATGCAAGTGACTCGCTCGCACAAGCTGAATGACCGTGATCACCCAGCTGACGGTATGCTGGGTACTCGTGACAATCTTCCACGTTATTTTGCAAAGTCTGGCCCCACTGATGCTGATCCTCGCAAGACAAAGAAGGACGGTGGTGGCAAGGGTAACTGGTGAGCATTGAGCACCAAGAGGGATCTTTATCTCTCTAAAATCTTTTGTCTAGGGGTCGCTCTGGCGATGAAATGCAGGACTGCGACTACAAGTTCACCAACACTCGGCGTCGCTCGAATAGCAGCACCCAGGGATTGGCTGACTTTAGCACCAAATTTGAGGCATTTGACCCAGAGCCTGTCTTTGAAGAAGGTTTTCATGGCGCCTCCGACGTGTCGGCAGAAACGGAGAGCACTGTCACCAAAGTCCAGAGCACTAGCAGCAACACCGACAATGAGATTGATCACAACGGAGTGAACTACTAGGAAACATCAAGTATCCCCACCTGAATGAATCTAATGGGCGCACCGGTTGTTCATGAACAAACAGATCATCATGAGGGGACCACGAAACGCAACAGATATGGTATCAGGAATTTTCAAATCACAGAGACTTTAATTTTCTGAGTTTTATATCTGTAAACACTCATACTCTACCAAGGGCAACTCAAGGAGAGAAAAAGAGAGAAGACAACTACGTAAAGAGGTCGGCATTGGTTCAACAATTCACAAATATTATGAGACGTCGGCTAAACACCAGATATCAACCGTTCAATTCTGCCATGCTCAAGATCTTGAGCCCACAACCCATAGCTTTAAATCTCCGCTGCAGCATTACCACCGATCCCACAAGGAGCTAACCCCCGGGCTTTTGCCGTTTCAAGAATATTTTGGATCCAGAAATCAAGCTTTCCGATCTCAATGTACTGGCGTAAGATGTCGTTTTCAGTCTTAAGGTCGAGCGCCAATCGTGACTTTTGCTCTGGGCGGAACCGTGAAGTAAGTATATCAGAGTCTGCATCAGTCATTAAGGCATCAGCAGGAGAAAGAGCCGCATAGATAGATGGGTGGCTGGCTGATTTGGGACCTGGGAATATACAAATTAGATCAATATATCCCACAAAAGGTCGAGAGCACTCACCCTCCTCTAAGCATGCGCTCAAAGTTCGACAAAGGGAAGTGTCACCAATGGAGCGATCGAAATCGCCATTTGACACTTCAGCGGCCTTGCCTCGAGCCACCCAGTCATCCTTGATCATGCACCGCCGCCATATTAATCTCTGCAAAGCCATGAGGTACGAAGAGTCTCGCTGGCCATAGCGACCATGATCAAGAACTCGTAGAGCTAGATGGAACTCGCTCTTCACAATCTCATCATCACCGTCTTCTGCATGCTGCACAGGGCCGAGCAACGTCAAAAGGTCGACCAGATCGTCGAAAGCAAGAACCTGTCTGTTGACGAGGGTGGAGAGAGTATCACTCAAGATCTCACGGAGCGATGGCCGGTCTTCGAATAGGTGACCCCCATAGCACTCGAGCGCCAGTTCAGCCTCAGCCTTTCGGTCAATTGCGCCCTCCCAAATTGGCCGAAGGTGCTCATACAAAGTCTCCTGGATCCCATCGACCTCAACGAAATCCTCAAGTCGTTTGACATCCCCTTGCAAAACCAAAGAAGGTTGAGCCTGTGGATGCATACGCTCTTGTGTTGCTAACTTGCTTAGCTTCGCCAGCGAGATTTCAACACGGTGGCTCCACAAGTCCTTCTCACTGTTAAGCGCGAGATTTTCCAATGAGGCAGCAGCAGTGTCGTAGTCGTCTTCGCCCGTCACATCATTAATCCAACTCAAACGAGAATACGCGGGCGTTTGCCGGAGGAATCGAGTCACGGCAGGTTGGTATTTCCGCATTGCAAGTAGCGTTCCTGGGTAACCGAACTTGATTCTGTGGAAGAAGTATGCATCCGCCCAAATGTCACCAAACTTGTCGAAATATGTGGAAATCAGTTGGGCAGGGTCAAGCTGATCTGCACTTGTCGGTACACCTTCTGAAGATCCTTGGACTGGTCGGTTTTTCTTTTGATCCTGAAGCTCGACGATCAACTCGACCAAAGCATCCATATCGCGGAAGCTTTCTGCCAACCTAAGAGCGTCTTCAAGATGCCCGACACCGGCCAACTTGAAAAGGTACCACTTGCGATTTTCGACATGCAAATGTTCGAGTGAAGCGCTCTCGTCGAGAAGCTTTGGGTCTCCCTGGGCAGAAAGCCATCGAGTTCGTTCCTGGTGCATTTGACCAAGGACACGGAGATGTCGAGCGCTGTTCGCTGCTGTTCGGTTTAGAACCTGGGCATCAGGGAAATCTGCACCCGACAAGTTTGCGCTGTTCCAAGAACGACGGCTATCGAGTTCCAAATCGAGGAGCTTTCCTGCTTCGGTATAACCCACCCCTCTCGATGTCCAGAACTCGGGTAGAGTCTCATATCCATCGGATAGAACACCATCCTCGACGAAGTCTTCATTCAGACCATAAAGCGCAAGATGCTCTTCGCGATACCGGAAAGCAGTTTCCATGACTGCCAGGAATAGCTCACTGGCCTCGAGAATTTGTTGCGAGAGGTTCCGCGCACGATCAGGAGACTCAAGTACATCACCGCAAGATTCAGCTCGACCGAGTTTGACGGCGTTCTTGATCCACGGAATAATGTGTTCCATGCGATAGGAATCACTCAGGAACCATTGACGCACCGGGTCAGCCTCCCCGTTGTGTGGGTCAATCTGAGTCTTGAAATTGTTGCTCATTGATCCAATGACATGACCAAGGAAAGAATCGTCGCTTTTGCACTTATAGGCCTCCTGGACCTTCCACATGGCCCTTTGTGCTGCGATCTTTTCAGCAGCCCACAGAAGCTCCCATTTTGCTGCTCGACCTAATGGGTTTCCTCTGCGTAGAAGTAAAGATGCAAGGTCGTCCAGTGCCTTCGCCCTCAGTCGAAGATGTTGTTCGAGTGAAATTGTGGTATTTGGAATGAACCGGCATTCAGACTGCAGGAGTTCTCTGCATATTTCCAAGGATGCTTGCTCGATCTCTAAGGCAGGGAAGTCCAAGTCACCCTCGCTGGATAGATCCAACGGGTTCTTTGCCATGGTCCCGTAGAAAATAGCCTGCTCAAGTTTGTGCTTCGCGGTAACTTGAGGCTGCTCGTCAGCATCGTCTTCTGTTTCGGGACGAGGAAGTACCGTGACACGAATCACTCCGAAATTCCGAAGCATGAGCACACATGCCGCGTAAGGCATGTGTTGCGATTGGTTCTCTGACGTGGACCCTAGTATTTCATGCTCTTTTCCAGATCGCAAGTGAATAGTGTCTTGGAAAGGCATCGGTAGCTTATTTGAATCGAGAAGTAGTTGTGAAGTTGGTGTTTCCTCAACGCTTGTCAGCGACAGAATAACAAGGGACTGGCCAACGAGAATAAAAGCAGTTGCTTCTGGTTTCGGAACATAAATCTTGGGCTTTGGGTCGTTGAGCATAGCTGGGATGTGATGTAGATCTACAGGATGCGCAGATACCACACGGGACTCAGTGCCTGACAAGTGAACGTGAACCACAGACAGTGCTTTGTTTTCTGACCACTGGGACGAGCCAACAACCAGAAACAAGTTCCAGGATTCATCCGAAGGCTGAGCAGGGTCGTCCGAAGATTGTAGCATGGAGAAAGCAAAGTCCATGATTTTCAGATCTGGGTCGTTTGTCGGTTTCGTTAAATTCTGAGGAAGAGCCGCCAAAATGTCGTCTTTGGCATCATATCGTTTTTTGAGCGCATTTCCGTGATTCCAGTGTGTATCCCAGATCTCGATCAACCCAGAAGAAGTCGCAATGATCACATCCCGCTGGCCGCGTTGATGGGAGCCTCCAGCCTGAACAGCGGTGACCTCTTTCCTCCAGTATCCGCCCCCGAGAACATTCTTAATACCACCAAAGATTCCACCACCGCTGGCACCCGCGGTGCTTTTTAGGAAATTGACGAGTACTGAGGGTTTTCCTTGGGGATCTCTCAAAGAAATATGTGCTACTCGTCCCGTGGAGAATGTGGCGATAATCCCCGAAGGCTCCACATTTAGGATTTCCGTGGCATACTCGCCAGAAAGCAGGCCAGGCGTAGATCCTTGGATACCATTTTGTTTCTGTCGAGATAAGCCTAGCGAGGCTGCACTGGACACAGTCTCCCAGTAAATGATCTTCCCGGTAGAAGGAATGATGACCAGTAAACCTGGGTACTCTCCGGTAGCTGTAGATAGTAAAACACCAAGCGGAACTGCGCCTTTTGGATCTCTGCATGACTCGGGAATCGATACTGTGAACGTGTCTGATGGTGACGGAGAAGATGTGGATACTGAGTAAGGCCATACGATGGCATGCGAGTGAGTTAGAGCTAGCGCATGGTCGTGACCAGCTCCAAAAAAGCATCTGAGCGGTTCTTCTTTCGGAAGGTCAATAAAGTACACCATGTAAGAGAGAACCAAACGCAGAAAAAGAGGAGGAGTAAGGAAGGTTCAGTAGAGGGCGACAAACCTGACTGTAAGCCGCGAATTTGGTCAGGCAAGGCTGGCAGCTGATTCACGTTGTAGAAATCGGTACTGGACTTTTGATATCGACAGCATTAGCAAACGTGGACAGTAACGCGCAAAACTACGTTACTCACTAGAACGATTGTCCCCTCGTTGTTGTGTCCAAGGCCATCACCTGGTTTTGCAGTACGAGTCGGTAGATGAAGTTCAGTGGTCATTGGATCCGCAGGGGCATTATCATCATTGGGAGTGGGTGCGGTCAATTTGGCCATGTCACGCCCTAGATCTGTGTCGGGGGGGGATTCATCTGGGCGACGCAAGACTGAGCGCTGTCTCTTGGCTTTCGGTGGCTTGACAGAGTCGTCTGAGCTTGTCCTCGGGCGCCGGCGAGTATTGCGGCCACCGGCTTTAGGAACAAACATTTTCGATTTGCGCCTAACTTGGAGTCGCGAATGGGGCGCTGGCTGAGAAAAAAAGAAAAGGGCAGTGATCTCAAAAGATAGTTGAAGCTGTACACTCAACACTTGACACAAGGCCAGTGAAAATATGAAAAAGCAAGAAGTTGTTCCCCAGCAAGAGAGCTGAACCGTGAGGTGATCGCACCGATCAACAACAGATGGCAGATGTCTGAAGGCGGTGAGGAGCCTGCAGGAACTCCATGTCAACCTTGTTCTGCTTGCCCACTTACTTCTGTTCTACTACATACAGCAAACTAAATACATCATTGAAAGTCCAAATACAGAAGGGGTTGCAAATATTGCATGTCTTTGCTTTCTTTTGTTTGTACGCAATTAGGTCTTATATCATCTTTGGGGGGAAGTCTCGTACAACTATTCTTGCCTGCATAGGTTAGATCTCATTATCCACAGCAGATAGAACTAAGCCTAAGGTTTTCCATGATATTCCTTGAGCTTGTATCAATGCCTATACATGTACGAAGTACTGTAAAATAACTTACTGTTATGTGGAGATACTTCGCATCCGATTACCCCGAGATGCTCACGTGAATCCCCATCTACCCCACGCGGAGTTGCTCCCTAAAACACCCTGCCATGGCAATCCCCCTTGGTTTTATGGGATAGACTGCCTCTCTGACTTCGAACCCCAGCCATCATGCTCACATGCTGCGTTGATACGGTCAAGATCAAGACCCCAAGGGTTGCCGCATATCCCCAAGTCTAAGAAGATGCTCTCGAAGTCGCCGCATATTACGGTTCATCTCCGAATGAGATTCATGCGCCTCGGGTTGCAGGCTGCCACAGGATTGAAGCCAACAGTTACTACTTCCCTATCCACCAGACGAGACCTGCATACAGCTCTATTCTTCCCGGGTTCGCTTTTACCGCCCCTTCTATTTCAACCTCGAGAAGACAAGCTGACACACAATAGGACATGGAGTTCAGCGGGTAGGCATGGCAAATGCTTGGATTGAAAGTTTTCCTCGCACGGCCGCTCGGGTCTTGGACGAGATGGACAGCACCCTTGGGTTCAAATTGTCTCGCGTCATATCCGATGGACCCAACTCCAAGTTGAACAAGACTGAAAACTCGCAACCCGCAGTAATGGCAGTCTCCATTTTGATTCTTCGCATTCTTGAAGACGAATTCGGATTTGACGCTAAATCTCGGGTGGATGTCACGCTTGGACACAGCTTAGGAGAGTTCTCTGCACTGGTTGCCGGTGGGTATCTTGAATTCGGCGATGCCCTCAAATTAGTCCGAGGTCGAGCGGAGATCATGGCCCAATGTACACGAAACTTGGCCGAGAAATCCGGGGAAACCTATGGAATGGTCGCACTTCTCTGTGAACCCGAACATTTGGACAGTTTACTTCGGACGGTTCAAGAATTCCTAGGACTTGAGCCCGCAGGCGTCGAAAGTGACACATACCACCCAGTTCCAGCAATTCAGCAGGTGGTGGTTGCCAATATCAATTCAAAAAACCAAATTGTCTTGAGCGGTAGCCTGGACCGAATCAAGACTCTCTTAGTCCAGCTGCGTCAATTTGGAGGTCATGATCCACGGGCTGTCAAATTGAAAAGTGACAGCCCCTTTCATAGTCCTTCCATGGCGCTAGCTGCGGATTACATGAGAAATGCACTGGAACAAATTAACATCACCTTCCCAGCTTCAGTGCCTTGCATATCAAATGTTTCTGCCTTGCCTTTTCATTCCAAGGATGACCTCAAGAATCTCCTCTCTCGGCAATGCACCGATACTGTGAGATGGTGGGACAGCATACGCTATCTTCACCAGGAGCGAGGTGTGAGGCGTTGGATTGGAATCGGACCAGGAAAGGTCGGCAGAAATTTGGTCGGCAAAGAGGTCGGGAGAGTTGACACCAAAGGTGGTGGAGTGTGGGCTGTCTGTGATCCTCGTGAAATATCAAACATCATGATCTCCTTGGAGCAGACCGAAATCGAACCCATGAGCCACCAACGATTGAAATGATGCCCAATATCAGCCTGTTTCTTCGTATTTCAATTTTTTATGACAGTCGAGGAATGGACGTTCAAGTGGAAAAATACGAAAGCTCAGACATGAGTTGTGAAGTTTGTGTGAAATTGTTACTTTCAGATATGAATGCAAATAGCACTTGGTGGGGGTATCTAGTTAGCTATCCTCTTATGTGCTCCAAAATTCCTGTAGGCTTTTGCTTGGCCACACATCCATTCAAAGTTGGGTATCATTATCCTGTCCTTCCATTATACGGCATTTCCGGGTGCCCATGATTCACCAACGCGCTTCACATCCGCAATGAACCTTTGATTAGAGATTTGTTGGCAAGCAGAGATAGAAGCGGCTTTATTGCCAGGAATCGGTACGTGATCGTCGGGGGAGTAGAATGGATTTTGCAAGAGCTGAATATATGCACTTTGCAATGCTCGGAACGCCTATATCAAAATGTTAGACAATGTGCTTTACTGTAGACTACTTCTGACAAAAATTCTTCAAACTCACCGGCTTCATATCAGAATCCCTCAAGCCACTTATTGCAGGGCCAGCTGTTTTCCCAGCACTAGCAGCCTCTTCCTGACCGAATACATCCACAATGATCAACAGCTTGATCCCGGTGGTGGTCAACCAACCATATGCAGCAAGTCGTTCATCAATTGCATGTAACAGTCCAAGGTCCTGATCAATAGATGTTTGCTTGCACCGGATGTCAAAGATGTCGAGGCACGAGTTCAGTAAGAAAGAGAACTCGATGGTGGAATCACAGTAAGGAGGAAATAAGGAAATGTGAAGAGGATTGTCCTGTAGTATTCCATGTCAGCTTATCAGACCAGCACCTGATTAGCAAGTCAATACCCACTGCCTTTCCAATCACACCAATGCAGGCAATCTTGGGACCTGCCATTTTAGAGACGATCTCTAATGTTCTTAATGTTATTGGGGTGAAAGGTCTTGCTGTGTCTTAATCTGGTGAATATTGCGCGCAATACCGTGAATGAATAAGTAGAGCTTGGGTTGTCATACGGAAGAGTAGAGAGAAACACGCGCTCAGGCATCAAGGCAGAATGAGAGCAGAAGAACCAATGACGAGACAGGCAATTGGATTTACGAGCATTTCACCGCCTTTACAATACTCCGTACAACAAGTGAAAAATACCACCATTAGACCAATAGTCATCGAGATAAAAGCTTACATCATCTTTATCGAACCAATACTATACCATCATTCTTCTTCCACTGGAACCCCAAAAGTCCTCCTTGTCTGCAGCACCCGGAGCCCGCCACATCTGCCCTCTTGATTCAGAGTGTCGCCACTGAAGAGGGTCCAATTGTCTTCTCTCTTCCAATTCCCACTCCTTATCATCAGTTCTTGTTCAAGAAGCGACTTTCAAGATGCTGCCCATGGCGAAGCCCGCCATCTCTGGCGCTTTGTGCGGTAGGCGTCTCCTCTTCTCGTTGCCAGTGCCAACCCCACTGATTGAAAACAGCTGCGCGACCTCGCCTTGCACTTTCTCTTCCCCGGGCTCAGCCCCTGGCGGCCCTTTCGACTTCCTCGGTTAAATCAGCGACAGCCCTCGAGCGCCGAACATCAACAGGCCAGCAATTGACTGCGTCAGGCAAGGCCCGGAAGGAAGTGCCTTTGCCAAGTCAGGAGAAGAAGGAGGGTGCTATGCAATATGTCTTGTTTGTTTTCTCGCGGGTTTCTCTTTTTCTCAATGGCCTCCGCTAACCTCCACACTAGGACTACCCTTGATCAGGTTACAAACTGGGCCCGTCAAAGCTCTTTGTGGCCCATGACCTTTGGTCTTGCATGCTGCGCTGTAGAGATGATGCATTTGTCTACTCCCCGTTATGATCAGGATCGCTTGGGAATTATTTTCCGTGCCTCCCCGCGTCAGTCCGATGTGATGATTGTCGCCGGTACTTTGACAAACAAGATGGCACCCGCTCTCCGCCAGGTCTATGACCAGATGCCTGATCCTCGATGGGTTATCAGCATGGGAAGTTGTGCCAACGGTGGTGGCTACTATCACTACAGTTACTCCGTTGTACGAGGCTGTGATCGGGTTGTGCCGGTCGACGTCTATGTCCCTGGATGTGAGTGCCATGCTTTTTCGACTTGATATACAATTTTACTAATAGGAACACCAGGCCCACCCACATCTGAAGCATTGATGTATGGTATCTTCCAGCTGCAGAAGAAGATGAGGCATACCAGAATCACTCGCATGTGGTACCGCCGTTAATTGTTGGATAGTGGTGCGGAGGGTCGTTTCTTTGCCTCTTCAAACATAGTGCATGGTGAAATTTTAAATGACTCAACCCGACCGCCGTGGAGTCTCTCTGTGTCTTTTTATTTTGTATATCAATATCAGGCTTCAGGATTTGATACATTGCTTCCATTCTGCTTTTATTTTATTTGGACTATCTTTCTCAGTCAATCATCAAAAATTTGATTCAAATTTCCAAAAGACTTCCATACATTAGCTGAACAAGGGACACTTGCAACCTCTAACTTTTGCATGAGGTTGATATTGATTTGTTTATGCCAGTTCGTATACTAGAATGACCGAGCATCTACTCATTCAACATATTGTTTGGACAAGGCTGACTTGTTTGGTACTTTAATAAAGTATGCATGTGTCACCCTGACTTCGGTTTGGCATATCTGTCTAGCCGTTGACCATGACACCTCCATTGGGGTGCAGACACTGTCCAGAAATATAGCTGCTATCTTGACTTGCGAGGAAGACGAAGCATGTTGCAACCTCACTGGGCTGACCTGGCCTGCCAATTGGCACTGCATGGAACTGTTCCATAGCAGAGGTTTGCATCGTCGATGGGATAAGAGGTGTCCAAACTGTCTCACAGGTTAGCGGTGGCTTCCTAGGTAGTATACTGTATTTTGAAAGACCTACTTGGCCCCGGACAGACGCAATTAACTCGAATGCCCTTCTTCACCTGCTGGTTTGACAGTGCACGCGTAAAGGCGACAATGGCTCCTTTGGTGGATGTGTAATCCAAAAGATCACCTCGGCCAATGTAAGGATTGACGGATGCACAATTGATGATGGTGGACCCGTTCTTCATATGAGGAAGAGAGTATTTCGATAAGTAAAAGAAAGAATGTATATTGGTGTCAAATGTTCGCTCCCATTGGTCCCTATCAGACATTAGCATGGATATCGCCAATCAGGACGAGGACATACTCATCCAACTCACTGATATCACTCAGCATATCCTGGAATGCTGCGTTGTTCACGAGGATATCAATACCACCCATTTTTTGCAGAGCCACATCAACGATCTTTTGGCAATTCTCCTTTTTGCGGAGATCAATGGCCAAGCAATGACACTGCTGGCCAAGCTCCTCCACCCTCCTTTTTGTCTCCTGTGCATCCGTTTCCTCTTCCGGTAAGTATACTATTACACTCGATGCACCCTCCATGGCGAACAGAATAGCGACAGCTCTTCCAATTCCAGAGTCACCTCCGGTGATGATCGCTTTCTTGTCTTGAAGCTTTCCGGCAGCTTTATAGATCTGATAGCCGCCATCCTCGGTTGGAATATGAGTCGATACGGGCTTGGGATCGTCCATATCGGCCTGAAGGCCCGGCTTTGTCAGGTGCTGGATAGGAATTTTGTGGCCTATGAGTCAAAACCGACATTAGTTGTAGATCGTCACTCGCCTCCAGTGTTGCTCACCCGGTTCAAATTGAGACTTAGACCCACTGGCTGGCCTTTCGGTGTACTGAGCAACAGGCATCTTGGTGATTGGCAAATATGAACAAGTATTTTGATATGTTATTCTTCGATGGATAGATCTGTGGGGGATATGTTCAGTGCAAGAAGCCAATATATAAGGAACTCTACTCCATAAAGACCATTGCTTTCGTCATTATGACATTCAATTCACGTTTTTAAAAGGCTGGAGAAGCCAGTGGTGACATAAAATCAATTGGGAAGTTTGGCCCACCAGAGATATCTCTGCGTTGGTCTTCCTGTGTGGCTAGATTTTGACCACATTGGGTTCTTCGATGCTTTCGACGCTTGCCACTCTGGAGACCAGCGATGTCCCCCAATCAGATTTCCTTGACTGATGTCTACATGACACATTTTGTTGATTCTGAATGAGACTGTATATCTAGAACAATCGATGTGTTAGTTTGCCATCGACCTTATATGATGGAGCAACGGCGTCATAGCAGCACAGGAATTCACGGGGGCGCACCATACCAACTTAAGTCTGAAATTGGAATGATGACCAAGCCGAATATCTATCGAGCTAGGTAAATATGCCCACAGGCTTTTTGGGCCTTAAGTGAACGTTTGACATCGAAGTCTTTAAATTAGTATGGTGAAGAACGTAGACGAGATGACTTCGGGATACACCCCGATGTAGCCCCTCAAGGAAGTACTATTTTCTTATAACAACATAGATATCCTTGAACAAAACAACCAAATCATTGTCTCCAGGTCCTGTTCATGTGTCTGTTCTGTTTTGTTCATGTATATGTCTTATCTTATCAAACTGCCATTTAATTGGCTCACCGCCCGTACATCTTGATAATTTTTTCCCGCATATCGCATTTCCTCTATAGACATCCTTTCGCAATGGGAAAGGCTGCCACTCAATCTGAAATGGCTCTACCCTCCGCTTTATCCTCTCCATGGGAGTTTTTACGCCCCACTAGCGATTTACACACCACCGTGGTAGATTCTGCGAAGCACATTCTGGACTCTCTCGCCGGCTCTATCGTGGACGCCCAAACTACTCGCCGGCAACTCAACAAAAAGCGCAAAAGATCTGACCATGAATCAGATTCAGCTACTCTTCAACTGAAGAATCTCTATGTGGATGGCTTCACTTCGAATCAAATATGGGAGCAGGCAACCCGAATCCTCGAGTCAACTGGCGATGAAGTCGAACGGGATATCACTTTAATCACGCAACACAGTGGTTATTCAGCGATGTCGGAAGACGAGCAAGCTCATGAGGTGTCAGATCCCGAGGCCGCGCAAAGCGATAGTGACAGCAATGAGAACCTGTTGGAGGACGTTTCCGAAGCTTCAGATGTCGAAGGCGATCCCGAAGAGGAATCTCAGATAGGATCTGACGATCTGGAGCACGAGGATATGGATCAGGAGGATGATATGGAAGAATGGGATGACGAAAAATCTTCGATTGGCTCTGCGCAAGAAGAGCCGGAAGTCTTTGTCGAGGACCGGTTTGGATTAAACGATGGGTTCTTCTCCATTGACGATTTCAACAAGCAGTCCGAGGCCCTGGAGCGACAGGATGTCAAGGGAGGCCCCGAAGAGGGCGAGGACAGCGACGAGGAGGATGTGGATTGGCATACAAACCCGTTGATGGCTGGAAGCGCCGCGCCTGTTCGCAACGCTGACACATCGAAGACCTCCCGCACGATTGGGGAAAATGAGGATGAAATGGATGATAGCGAGGAAGAAGGACCGACCTTTGGAAATGCTGATCTCAACGGCGACTCCGACTCCGACGCTATGGATATGGATATGGATACCGGTGATTCGGCTGGCTGGGCGAACACCAGCGATATCAAATACGCCGACTTTTTTGCACCCCCGCCACGCAAAGCATCCTCTAAGAAAATGCGCGCTCTCCCAAAAACTCAACCTGATGCGCCAGTTGAGGACGATGATGTTGATCGTGCCATAGCCGATGTGCGACGAGACTTGTTCGACGATGACGATGCTTCCAGTGCTGGGGAGGATACCGCTCTTGATGAATCTGGAGACTCTGGTGCTCCGCGCTCCACACACGAGAAACAAAGGGCACGGATTGCTGATGAAATCCGTCGTTTGGAAGCGGCTAATGTCGCAAAGAAAGAATGGATGCTTGCTGGTGAAGCCAGGGCAGTTGAGAGACCCGTGAACTCCCTCATTGAAGAGGATCTTGACTTTGAACGAATTGGAAAACCAGTTCCAGTGGTCACCAACGAGACGACCGAGGATATAGAAGAACTAGTCAAGCGCCGGATTCTTGCCGGGGAATTCGATGAAGTCATTCGTCGTCGGCCAGGTGCATCGGACGCACAGGCTACACGGAGGGGTAGGTTTGAGTTGGATGATACCAAACCCCAACAGGGTCTGGCAGAGATGTATGAAGCCGACCATCTTCGTGCTAACGATCCAAACTACGTCGACTCGAAGGACCGCAAGTTGATGCGGGAGCATGCCGAGATTACCAACCTTTGGAACGAGGTCAGCTCTCAATTGGATACGCTATGCAACTGGCACTACAAGCCTAAGATCGCACAGGCCAGCATCAACGTTGTCACCGACGCACCCACCATCATGATGGAAGAAGCACGTCCCACGGCTGGCAGTGCTACTGCTGGACCGGTGGGACTTGCACCGCAAGAGATCTACACGCCTGGTGATGGTGATCGAGTCGCAGGAGAGATGGTGATGAAGAACGGAGAAACTATCTCCAAGGATGAGATGACTCGCGAGGAGAAGGCCAAGATCAGAAGGCACAACAAGAAGACTTCAAAGAAGGCCAACGCTGAGCCCACTCGCCAACAGCCCGGCAAGGCAGCTGAGAAGCAGCAGATGATGTCCGACTTGAAGAAGGGAGGAGTCAAGGTCATTGACAAGGAGGGTCGTGTGACAGACATCAATGGTGGCTCTGTCGACGCGAGCGCCAAAACCAGAGGAGACACCTTGAAACTGTGAAAAGTGGTGGGAATTGGCAGGTTGGGGGTGTAAAATAATGGATTGAAATCTATTTTTTTCTAGCATTGCACATATCATATCATGTCTCTATTCTTTTTTAGAACCAGATTTTTTCGCCCGTATTGTGTATAGAAAGATGTTCTCTCTGTTGTAACTCTCTGCGCCTGGGTCATCACGGATCTCTTCCATGTCGAATGCCTTCTTGGCCATCTTCATGAACCGCAGATCTGCTCGTCTGCGGCGCTTGAAGCAGAAGTAGCACACCGAGTTGGGGCCCAGGAGGTCTTGGAGCGTGGCAATCAGGAGTGGGAATGCGGGTTCGAAGTAAACGCAGTCGGCAGCGAGAATCACGTCGGGTTTTGATGGCACCTGGCTTGGGATCGGTTCTCCCCAGTTTAGTATCGCAGCAGTCGCATTCGGGATGAGGTTGTTTAGTTCAATGTTGGCTTCCATTAGAGAAAACATAGGTTCTTGGTCTGTGATATAGATCCGTTCTTCGAGACGACACGCGCGTGCTATGGCAAGACCAACGAGTCCGCCTCCTGCGCCGAGTTCGACACTGCTGGTTGTTAGTAACCCACAAATGAATTAAGGTTGAAATTCTTGGAACCCACATTGATTTATCAGATAAATTGGTGGCATGGCAGCACAAGAGGTATTTGGCCAGGACCATCCCTGCAGGCCACAATTGACCACCGCATCCATCTTTAAGATCTTCTTTTAGTAGCAATGGTTCTTTCAAGAGCCCATCAAACGTGACCTTGGTGGTCACGGCGGTCTTGTTCTCACGCGAGGGGGCCAAGGATTCACTGATGTCAAAGTCAGACAATTGAGTCGGAGAACTGGGCGTTTCTATCATGGTTGAGGTTTGAATGAGAAAAGGAGAAAGTTTTGGTGGGGGTGTACCTTATCGCAACAAGGATCACATAATCAGTGGCGATTCTATAAATTTCCAGCAGGAGCGGCCACAATAGCTACTGATAATCTGGTTTTTGTAATGCAAAGTAAGACTGTGGCAGTAGCTCTCGAAGCCGATCTTGATGACTGTACCTATATACAGATCCCTTGCTGTCGATCAAAAAAACAAGCTTGGGCCTGTGCAGACCTCTTTTGGAGAATCGGAGAGAATCAATGGGTCTCGAATGATTGATAAGTCGAGTATGATACAGTATATGAGACTTCTATGAACTGAACCTCCAAGGTAAAATAGTACTATGTGAAAGCTGTGCATAGGGTGATATCAATGTGGGGTCATCTTGCTAGTCTAGTTACATAGGTGGATATACCTAAATGTAGATTCACCTGGGCAACATATAGCCCATAAAATAAGCAGTATACAAAGAGGCAAGAAAGAACAAGCCTATTTATGAGCTACTACGCATGGAGATATTAAATACTATGTGCTTACAGCCATGAAACCGCACAATGTCAAGAACTTGAAAGAATAAAAGCGCAATGCGAATCGGACTTGTGATGTCAATTTCGTGTACATTTACACCCGATACTGTAAGTTTAAATATACAAGCATGGCACTGATAATGATGTGTGGATAACAGTAGACATAATCCGAACTAAAGATGACTTCGGGTCATATCATTTAGTCGAAGGGGTGAGTGCGCGTTCCCCACCAAGTCAAGAACAAGCTGAGTCCAACGGTTTCAAATACCCTCGAAACGGCACCAACAGCGACAGTGTCCAGGGGACGTTTCTCCGCGAAGACTTGGCTCACGAACTAGGTAACAGTTAGAAGACATCCAGATCAGAATATAGAGAAACATACGCTTGGAGCAGATGTTGCGAAGAAGATGAGTGTTCCCAAATAGGCGGCACCCTTGTAGCTCAGGGTTCCAGTGGCGTTGATCAATGCAGCCACACCATAAGTCTGCACAGCGCTTCCAGCGAGAGAACTTCCCCAGGCTGCAGCGGCACCGGCAGCCTCCTTTGACTTAATGAACTCTTCCTTTGAGTTGGCAGCCTGAGCACGGTGGTAGGTGTCTCCGAAGACGGGGGCGAGAATACCCAAGGAGGCAGTGTGGGTGAAGATTGTGCCCAGCGCAATAGCGGAGGGCTTCACGGGAGGGAGATCTAGACCTTGTAAGTACCAACTTCAGTTTCTACCGTAAGGTACTCACAGTGCAGAGTAGTCATTGTGAATTGGGTACAGAGTGTGTAGTTAGAGAAATCAAAGTTCGCGGGAAGGCGCTTTATGAATGCAGGGTTAGCAGGGTGACGTCGTCATGATTCAGAAGAGGCTGAAGATGCGGAAGGCCATGACGTCAACTCGCGGCCATACAAGGAAGTTGGCTGTATAGCAAGAATATACAGAGTAGAGTGAATGCATAGATTAATTACCTGATTGCTTCACTTTATTTATCGATTGAGATGATTACGCCGGATCACCGCTGCTCATGGAATAGGATTGACTATCTACTATGTAGCTAGGTACGCAATGCCATTTGATACCATTGAAATCAGAGCATCAATCTGAGTTATTCAAAGTCATGTAAGGAGGTTCTTCTCAATTAAATACTTGCTTCAATTGCTCAGACAATCCAGCCAAAACCGGGCATACTCGGGGTTACATTGGCCCGCTCACGGTCATAACCAATTGCAGACCTAAACGTACTGGAATGGGGTAAGCTATTAATGATGATGGATGTTGATATGCCACATGTATTTCCACAGGAAAGAACCCGATCTGACAGATTGATCCCAGACTGGGGTTGGGTGTGGGGTGAAGGTGATCTGCAGGTTAACCGTACTGAATTATCTCTGTGGTACTGTGGCCAATCTATTCTCGGACACAATCTTCTAGTCGTGGTCTCGTCTCCCATCGTCTTTTTTGCGTGTGATGTTCTATGTGTTCGCCTCAGTTCTAGAAAGAAAGAAAGAAAAAAAAGTGATTGGTTGCGCATGTCCAATGACTTGAATGGTACTCTCTGAACTTATCTCTCTTTGAAGGAGATCTCTATGCACGAACCTACGGGTTCAATAAACAAAAAAGAACTGGGGCTAGCCTGAAGAGGGAAAAAAGTGAATTGATTTATGCAGATATGATCAAACAAAGGTGCGGCAGGGATATCTGTAGAATGGTTAGTCTTGAACCGAGAATGGGAAGCAGATCATGTCTTACTTTTCGGGGTAGCCGTTCTCTGTGCCAAGCTCGTACTTTGACTGTGAGCTCTGAGGGACAGTGTTGATGTTGCAAGGAGTGGGAGGTAGGCCATTGGTGCCAAACACACCCTGGATGCTCTTCTTGTCTTGCTCAAATAGAGCAGCCAAGCCCCGCTCTTCACCCTGCTCCTTGACAGCAACCAATTGCTGCTCGCCAGCCTCTCCAATCTTCAGGATGTCATTCTTGGGAGCTGCCTGGCTTCCGACCGTGAGGAGGCCGACTGCGTCTGCCTGGCGCACAGTGCTCAGTTGAGGGTAGCTCCTTCGGGCATCCCGCTTCCAGTAAGGGTTGTCGGCAATGTCGCCGGCCGGGAGGGTGACCGGGTCATCGTAGGCCAGAGGAGGCAGCGAACCGGGAGTAGGAAGGCGATACTGAGAGTTCAAGGGGATACCGGTCGAACGCTCAGGGTCAATAGCGAAAAGGCGACGGATCCGTTCCCAGACACCAGTAGACTGAACCGTGTATTTCTGGACAGCAATTGAGTAAAAGACCAGCATTGGATGTACGGACTACCTACCTGGTTAATAGAAACGACGTTTGATGCCGCCTTAGCGGCGTTCAGGACACCGCGAGCCATGATGAGAAGACTCTGCTCTATTCTTGAAGGTCAGCGCATTGTCAGAAAATCACAAAACAGAACAAAAATTGACATTTCCTTGCTCAAGAGATTTGACTTACGACCTGGAAGCTTTGGAAATCGTCAAGCGTCTGCGAGCGTTTGAATCAAGCCGATGCAGGGTAACTCCGGAGGTGCGATCCCCGGTACGGATTATCATCACACCGAGCCACACAGCAACTGGCATTACTAACGTCAATGCATACATGCATCTGAAGTAGAGGAAGCAGTCTATTTGCCCTTTTTCTCTTTTACTTTCCTTCTTATCAATTCCATATTTATCTGTAATACCAATTCAATTGCTCGCAATAAAGTGTCATCATTTGAAGACTGCATATTTTAAGTAAACATATGATTTTAGGCCGTGCTCCATGGCTTTCCACTGCCGCCTTTTGCTCAATGAGCAAAGGAAATGGCCAAGCACGCATTGAAATTCATGCAAAGCCGTGACCATTTTATCGCAGGCCAAAACCTTGGAGTATGGGGCTCTCCCCCACCAGCTGATTCACCAATGTCTTTCGCTAGACCACCCAGGCTGGTTTTACCCAAGCTTCAAAGAAACACACAATCCATGGCGGACAGATACCGAAAGACTGATCCATAATATATAACCTTGGAATGACCTAGACTAACGAGGATCTGTAATTTGTGTAAGGGCCCGGTTTAGCCCAAGTCTGGTCGATGACGAAGACACCAACGTCAGGATTGAGTTGAATCATTATTTAGGACTGAGGATTTTTTTTGCTTCTTCACTTTCTACATTTCCGAAGATATTCAAAGGGCTTATACAATACAATATAACCAAACTTCCACCGAAACGCACATGGCCGAAGATTCCTCCCACAATAGTATACAAAGTGTATACGACCATTTCGACTTTAGAGGCGATGTGCTTTGCACCGAGTTGCAACTTCACGCTTGCCTACTGAATCGAATTTCTTAGGGTGCGTGGAATGACTTTGCCTGTGACACCCCAGCGGATGTTATTAGGAGTGAAAATCTTCCCATGGTTTAGAATACACCTATTCCGTCGACTTCAGAATTCCCGTTGGAAAATCTACGATCAATGCTGGAAGCTTCATCCGCTCTGTTTGGAATACACAACCGTTTTGGATACTGCACCATAAGGTGTGCTCTGATGGCTGTCACACTGTGGGCAGCCGGAAGTGCTAGTTTCCGTACGCTGGTGAAGTTGATACATGTCCTTGTAGCAGTCTTAATATACACCACAAGCTGCTAGTGATTCCTCTATGCCAACATTAGCTCTTCGATTCTGAAGGTGGTGTTCAATGCATAACAAATCGCAGCTGCAAATGTATTGAGATGATACTACACACATGTACCTTCAACAGGAATCCTATCGCACAGGTTCAAATCACCGTCTCCTTCTCTTTTGATTGCCAAGACCAGAGTCATGCGTGCGTACTCATTTGCTATTTGATTTTACGAAGTCGGCCCCTCCGCAGCTGGAAAACTTCTGGAACACGCGGCGTGATATATGTGTGCTTGAAAATACTGGAAAGTGGGTTGACCTTAAAGTCAGGAATTCTTTTGGCAGAAAAATGGACTGAAAGCCCTGTCAATGATATAGTTAGGATGTGAATGACGAAGAACCACTGGAGAATAGCTTAAACCGCAATCGGGGGAAGCGTGAATGACCGAGCAAGAGCTGGATATGTAGCTGTCACAACTCTTACGTACTATTCGTTGCTTTTTTTTGGGCATTCAACATGTCAAAAAAGTATATAAGGCGAGTTCAGCATAAAATACTGGTTAGTTCACTCTTGAATACTTCCCACCTCGGACCCTATGTCTTCAGTAAAAATGAATAAATAAATATCAACCGTTCTCGGTAGTAATGCGTTATAGTATAACTTGATAATCTCGCCCATTGGTGTCTCTTTTCTATCTCAAATACACGCGAGCAGGATAGCTTTTATTATGCCTCAAGGACTCGCCATATCATGCCAACGTGATCGAAGCAGTCAAGTGAAGTGTACAATTAAGTGGCGGTTTTGCGATCGACTTCTCTATAATTTACCCCCGCTTCCAACAGTTTTAAATGCTATTTGATAGCCCAAATCTACAGCAATGATCCTGAGTTTACGGCCCTACTTCCATATGATATTATCAAGGTACCCGAGGCACACAAAAATTGGTAAAAAAGACGTGTCAAAGGAGGGGCCAAGTCGAGGCTCAGAAAAAAAAAAGAGGCATGAAATAGTACACCCACTATGATCATTTAGTACAGAGATTGTCTACTTCTTCATAGTAGAACTATGTTTAGCTTTGATAGAATCACTAGCCTTATGGCTCAGGGCTAAACCGTGAGCCATTATTTGTTACTTAAATTGGGAAGGTGTCAAGCTTCCAAAAAGTTTTCTTTCTATTTTCTCTTCTTCACACTCTTGCCCCCATATTGCCCGACACGAATCCGAAATGCCCTACCATCTCAGCCTAGCCAAGTCCATTCGGAAGCTTATGCTATCCACTCGGCTTGGAAATGGCACAGTACGTGCCCGTTCTCTCCATGGAACAGAGCCCAACCTCACTATCACCATGGAAGATACCTACGATTACAGAATTGGAGGCACGGACTTCGATCCTGAAAAGAACTATGCCAAAATGGCGCCATTTGGTAACCAAGTCCCTGAAAACTGTGTTCTGAATCTTCACGAGTAAGCAGCATTACTCGAGGACTACATCTTGCAATGCCTTTTCCGTATGATCTCAAGTTCCAACATGATTTCACGAGCGAGAAGTAATTTCAATGTGACATCTAAACTTTGTACAGCGGCTTTCCGTGATGAGGATGTACCCGAGGAGATTGGGGAATCCGAAGAGAAATTTCTCGAACGGAAACAAGCTCTCTTATGCAACTCACCTGCCGATGTTACAATCACATCCATTCTCCAGAGTTGCCGAGAGACAATCCAGCATGCCAAAGCGGTATCATTCCTGATTCAACAATTGTGCATCATCGGCAAGGACCTCAGCGAATAGATGACAGACGCATCGTATTCGCACCAACAAGATAGACGCTGAAAGTATGGAATGGGAAGATAAGTGGCATGTATCGATTCGAGGATGTAAGTGCAGGCTTCCATACATTTCCTCATGCCTCTCTGATAGGCTACAAAATGAAAGCAATGATACGTGAGCTACAATCAGACTTGACGCATGCATAGAATACCGAAGCCATCGATCCTATGTCTCTTGCTGCAAAATACACCCATATTTGGTAAACCATCAACCTTTTGTTGACGGCAATGGGCGCATGTGTCGACTGATACTTAATGCGATGTTGCTTAAACTTGGGAGCTGCCTTATCTGCTTGGGGAAAGAGAACCCGGCTGCTTGACGTATTTGAACATTGTGGGCAATATCTTAGCAATTGAAGCTATGTACGAGGACGCCGAAGAAGGAAAAAAGCCTAAGGCCTATTAGGAACTGGCAAGCCTGGTCCTTGCCAACTCGGAAAAGAAAATGCGCGAGTTGATTGCCTTAGTGCGCCCTGGACAATACACATAGAAGAACGAACTATTTCTAGCGGTGAAGTTTTCACTATCATTAGTTACTTATTATCGGCCTAAGTGTATATTGCAGGCCTATATATGCAACGCTCAATGTCCAGAACATCCTTGAAGCATACTTCCCATTTATGTACATTGCCGCCCAGTGCTAGCCAATATACTACAGCAGCGGCCATAAGGCTTTTCAATCCCTCCATGATATAATGATCTAGATGACCAACCTGAAGCACTCGAAGGTGGGCAACAAAGAGAAGAAAACTAGGTGAAAAAGGAGAAGCCAAGTTAGGACACAAAGAATGCATCAAATAACACACTCGTTTCTAGGGTTTCACATAGAAATTGTCTAAAACTTTGTGACACTGTGAGCAGATTCATGACACCGGTTGTCCGGTCTTATACTGCAAAGTCCAATAATTACCCCAAGATGTAGAGCAACTTCCCCGATTAACAATGGAACTGGCAAGTAAAACGATCAATTTCAGGAATTAGACATTTTCTATGTTATAAAGGATACACTTTTCTCAAAGTCTCAGAATCTCCTTTCAGAAAAGGATGGGCTTTCTCAAAGTCGATAATGAGTTGTTCGTGCTTCTGGCTTCGTGGGATAACCGCAGCCTCAAACAAAACAGGGTGGCTCAGAATACCCGGTGTGAAATCGACAATCGGTTCAATGAGATTTCCATCCTCTCCGGTAGGCTTCTTGATATCGAACACGGCTAGTGTATGTGCAATCATCAGAAAGATAGATGTTTCGGCAATCAGACGCCCAGGGCAAACTCTACGACCGAAGCCAAAGCTCACATCACCGGGATCTATGGCAGAGGAAAGGAAACGCTCCGGCTGGAAATCCCGTGGGCTAGGGTAGATCGCAGAGTCGTTATTGAATGACCTGTAGTTGTCAGATATGCAACATGATAGGGTAGTAAGGAATAGTTGATACCAGATGTTTGGTACAATGATTGCATCCTTGGGAATCAAGAAACCGTTGATGATGTCGTCCTCATCTGTTCTATGAGGAATACCTAAAGGTGCAACACTATGCCATCTGATGGCTTCTTTCACAATTGCATTCACGTAGGGTAGTTTGTCGCGATCGGCCACTGTTGGCAATGTAGGCCCACCAAATATATTGTCCATCTCGGCTTGAGCCTTGCGTTGAACATCAGGATATAACATCATTGCTAGGAAAAATCCTTCTAAGATTGCAACAGTCCGTGGAAGACATAAGCTTTAGCCTTGCTTGGGGCTTCCGAGGAGGACATACCGTATCGGATCCTCCGCCATACATTGCCACTGCTGACCATTTGATGATATCCTCATCTTCTCCTTGTTTGAGAAGTGTTGATACAAAGCAACCTCGGTCTTCTCTGCTCATTTGAGACTTTGCAAATGCAAATGGGCTTTCTAGCAGTTTCGTGAGAGTTTGAAAGTGATCACGAGCAATTCGTTGAAAATTAGCCCCCGGCATCCATTCTGGGACATATTTTACTGGGCAAAAATGAGCAAGGAAACGAAAGAAAAAAAAGATACAATCAACTTACACGCTGGGATCAAATCCACTAGCCATGACCCTGGAACGACGGCATCTGAAAACTGCTTGAGTGCATGATCAGCCAGACATACTAACGGGTCTTCGCCTTGGGGCTCGATGTGATAGCCGTATGTTATATTCAGAATGAAAGCACCGGCAGCCCTGTGAATTTTAATAAATTGGCCCACTGAAATTGGGTTCTCGCTTACGTCCTGTTATGTTGGAGGAACTTCTTAGGTTCTCGAAACACACGGCATATAAACCGTTGTGCCTCCAATTCGAGAAGACCATTGAATCTGGATGCGGATTCTCGTGTTCCGATGACTCTTGTCACGGCTCGTCGATAGGCCCGAAGAAGTGGTGTATTATCCTGACTTGACATGAGTTTGCCCCATCCAGATCTTTTTTAAGTCAGGACATCTGGTGAAGAGAATGCTGCACACAAACTCACAATTCATCGGCGAAGACAAGGCGCGGCCGGGATGAATGTTTTGCAGAATTCTTTTCTAGGATCTGGAACGCCAGGTCTCTATCATTGATTATGATGATGGTTTTCCCCAGAGCTGTGATCGAGCTGATAGGCCCTGCTAGGGTTTAGCTTTGTCGAAATGGCCCCAAAGAAAACCCACCGTAGAGATCCTTGTGCTTGAGCCAGTGTTTCCATTCTTGCATTCCCGGCGGTGGGAGGTCGAACAAATTGCCAATGATAAATCTTCCTTTTGGCCCTGGAGGTAGATTCGTTCTCCTTTTGGTGAAAAGCCTCAGAGCAACCAGGCCCAAAATGAAGAAAACCAAGTGTGCCAACATCATTGTGAGCATGAAAAGTGAGAGTCGGAGAAAAAGATACCAGAAAGGGAGGGGTAGGCCCTTGTTGGTCAGTTGGTGTGCTCTGTAGTTGATTGGTCGAATATGTGCACTCGGACTCTGCCAATATCACACGCCGCTTACCTTGAAACACCCGATGATAGGCTTTTGTGGCACGCCTTAATTGAGCTATATCGGGTTTCAACTTGGATACCCGAGTTGCAAGGTTCAGATGAAAATTTGATGAGGTTGAAACTGTCTGTAAAAGCCACTGTCGCACATGCATTGTCTGGTATCTTAATGACGCTGATATTAAAGGTACATGCGTGAAATCACTCGGTTTTATCATCTTCCTTGCTGTCATCCTTGGCATTGGCGACAATCTTTTGGACTGCGTCAACAGTTGCGTCTGGGCCACCGGCCTCCCGAAGCAAGACTTTGCCCTTCTTATCCACGGCAAAAACACCGCGGGTCGTTCCCTTGGGAGACTTCTTGAATCCAATAGCTGCAATAAGGGTGGCCTTAGGGTCACAAATCAGAGGGTATGGTAGGTTTTGTCTTGTCTGGAAAGTGGTGTTGGCCTTGGGAGAGTCCCCTGAGAGGCCATAAATGGAGAGACCAGTGGAGGTCAAGTGCGTGTGGTTGTCACGGAACAAGCATGCCTGCTTAGTGCCTGTGTGTATGGTGAGCTAGTGTGCTTGGAGAGGACCAATTGAGTGGCGTGAGGTAGTAATAAAGAACGTCACAGCATGAAGAACCAGGAGCACGAGCTCCCAACGGGCAACGTTCCAGATTCCAGATTGATCGAGGATTGGGATAGGGACTTACAGCCAGGAGTGGAGGCTTTAGGGTAAGTAAACAACACCACACCTGCCTTGCTCTCGTCGACAAGCTTCTGCAAGGTGGTTTTCACGCCGTCATTGGTCTCGATCTCACCCCCAAAGGTCTCCAAGTCGATTGTATCATCGGTCTCTGGGACCTTTGGCGCGGGGCTTTCTTCAGTATCAGCCTCTGGCTCCTTGGGCTTGGAAGCCGGCTTGGGCTTCTTTTCTGTGGTAGGAGGCTGAGCTGGTGCCTTGCGCTTCCTGAGTTCGACCATGTTGAGAGTGAGTGATCAAAGATCAGTGCTGGAACATAAGCTCCAGGACTGGAGAACTGGGCCTTAGTCAGCCGGGAAAACCCGCGCCCTGACCCGCGAAAAATTTAGATTTTCCCCTCGACTGACGGATCGTCCGAAATCCACCTTTCTCCATTTTTTTCGATTCTTACTCATATTCGCCTCCTTGACTAGATTTCTTCGACTTTCTTCTACTTCTCAAGTCTCCTCACTTCCACTCCACCTCACCGCACTACGTCTTCAGGCATATACGTACTCGCCTTCTCGCCGGCTTACCCGTCTTCTTCCATTCCGGCAATCACATCTCGCTCTATCGTTTGAGGTTTCATTCAAAACTCCTACTACTGCGACGCCTTGAACAGTGCCAGGGTGAATCAAGACCCGCCACAATGAAGGTTTTCTCCTCTGGATGCACTTTCGACTACTCGTGGGATGAGGTGTCCACAGCAAATTGGCGCAAATACTGTCCCTGGAACGACAAGTCTACCCACGTCGTGGGAGTTGACACACTCTCTCGATCGGTTGACCCGAGCACTGGCATTGTGAGTTGCTTCGCCTTGACATGAGTGAATCCGATGAATCCTGACTTCTCTATAGTTGCGAACCGAACGTCTTATCACGTGCAACCAGTCTGTACCACAATGGGTTCTCACTTTGCTTGGTGGAACTACTACATCCCACGTTTACGAAATCTCCTATGTCGACCCCGTCGCGAAGAAAGTTACCATGTGCTCGACGAACCTCACATGGTCGAATGTCCTCAGCGTCCGCGAAACTGTCACCTACCGTCAATCCTCCCTCAGCCCGACCACCACTACTGATTTCACCCAAGAAGCAAAAATCACTGCTCTTTGTGGTGGATGGCAGAAGATCAAAAACAAGGTTGAGGACGCGAGTGTGGAACGATTCCGTGAAAACGCCAAAGTTGGCCGCGAAGGCTTCGAGGCTGTCCTCGAAATGAGCCGTCGCGTATTCGGTGAACAACGTGACCTCGAAAAGCAACGAATGCAGGCATAAACCACCTGTCACCATGGACATTTTTCAGCACCGTCTTTTGATACCATTTGCATAAAGCGACTGCATATTCCGGCGTATGTTCTGCCTTTTGAAGCATGTGGCGCGTGGAGTTTTTGTTTCATCTGTCTTTTCACCCTCGGACTCCTGTGGACCAAACACCACTCACGGCCTTCAAAAAGTTTGCAACCTCATCTTTCCAGCGCATTGCCTTTTATGATCATTTAATTTGCCTCAGAAGAAGGCAGGAATGTACCATTAGAAACACTCGAACCTAGATTTGAAATTCTATCATCGTACAACATGACCTTGAAACCAATCCTCAAATCCTTATGTCCTGAATCCTTACGCCCTGAGACCACCCAAACTCCAGACCCGAAGGTATATACGCCCCATGAAAACGAAACACTATCCTAATAGTCCGCCGAGAACCACCCGGCTGACGCCAGCTACTTCATTCTTGACGCTATTCCGGCTCGCGTCTTCAAATTCCCGCACAGCGCCAGCTACCATAATCTTCCGTAACTTGGCATCGGCTTTGGAAAAGGTCTCCCCCAGAGCCACAGTACAAAGTGACGGGGATGACACTAGCGTGGTGAGCCGACTATAGCAGTCAATCAAAACATCGCACAGGGTGGCGAACGTCTCGAAGAAGTCGGGTTCAAAGGGTAATGAAGGGGTGAGAAGATAGGTATATTCCTCTCCAGGGAGCAGATCAGAGGACTCTGTCAATGGAAACGACACAATAGAGGCCGCAGAAGATGAAGTTGATGAAAGATTGCCCGCCGTGTTCTTCAAGTCTGATGGATCACTGGACTGCATTGGGAGTCCAATCTCAGTTGCAGAACTTGCACGACGAGTCTTGGTCCCTGCATGCGCAGCACGCTTGAACATTTGTGGGATGCGCGCCCTGGCAAGACTCGATGAGGAACTGCCATCCGGAGGGTGTACTTGCTGGAAAGCCTCAAATTCCAAGAGTAGCGCATTGAGGGCTTTTAGATACTCAAACGGTGTTGAGTTGACGTCTAGGATTGGCGGCAAGGACAGGCCGAGCAGCAAGTAGTTGATTGCTCGACGAGAGAGTTTCCGGGCCTCGAAGTATGGCAGACGCGCGATATCAGCTCGAGAGAAATGCACGGTATTAAACCAATAGACCCGACCTTCGTGACTGCGAGGAGAATTAGTTTGTTTGGCGAGAAACTGAGGTGTCCACTCACGCTTTTCTCAAGTAGTCCAATGTCGATATCCGTTTAGCGGCCATCTCATGGATCTGTTGATAGATTGCGCCTGCACTCTGCGGCCCGAGCAGACCACCTCCGCTGGATACTGGTGGTGGGATGCCATGGGAACTTTCAAATCCACCACCCGACTTGGCTGTGTCCCTCCGCGACAGACTCGGGGCAAATGTAGCTGGCACCATTGGCGTCGTTGCGTCGTTGGGGGCGACGTCGGGGAGAAATTAAACGATACGGGGTGGTCGACAGGGGTTGCGAACAGGGGCCCAATACGTGGGGTTGAGGGGTCTCCGAACGAAGATACGAAGTGATCAATCAGATCACAGTAAACGAAGCTCGAAATTCGGCGCAAGGATGCCCTGCAAGACAGATTTAGAGAAAGTTCCCCGCAGGTCAGAATGTGAAGGGATTACATACCGTGTACCCCGTGCTCTCTAGTAATTTATCCCGTCGATCATCCCCCTCCACCCCTCTTGCTTTCTTCCCTACAATTATTTCCTTGTCTCGCAATATCAGCATGGACTCAACATCACCCGAAGATCAGATTCCTTTGCCTGGACAATGGCCAGTTGACCCTCAGGAGGATGTGCCAATCTCGGAGGATCGACTTTGGGTTGATGGATGCTTCGACTTCAGCCATCACGGTAAGCCCAGAGTTTTACCTCTTATTTATATCGCTGGAAGCTGACCGGAGTCAATCTGCAGGTCATGCCGGTGCTATGCTCCAGGCCCGTCGGCTGGGAAAGGAACTTTACGTGGGGATACACTCTGACCAAGCAATCCTCGAAAACAAAGGCCCGACAGTGATGTCACTTGAAGAACGGTCAGTTTGCATTGTCCTGTTCTATACTCTAGTTACAACTGACATTCTCATTCTATAGTGTCGCAGCTGTCGATGCGTGTCGTTGGGCTACTCAGAGCGTTCCATATGCCCCCTACGTGACCTATCTACCCTGGGTATCCCATTACGGATGTAAATACGTTGTTCATGGAGACGATATCACCTCTGACAGTGATGGAAATGATTGCTATCGATTTGTCAAGGCCGCTGACCGATTCCGTGTCGTCAAAAGGACCCCTGGGATATCGACTACGGACCTTGTTGGCCGTATGTTGTTGTGCACCAGGAACCATTTCGTTAAATCCGTCAAGGGTTCTCTCGCTGGAGAAGAAGGATTTGGGAGCCCCGAAGAGCGCAAAAATTCCGCTACGGATCTTCTACAGAGGATTAAGGATTATGCGACAGATGAGAGCGGCTTGCAGCCTGGTCCTCAAGTTTGGACATGGACTGGTTCAGGCACTGCCAAAATGGACCACGTGGTTGAGGAGCCTGGCCTTTTCGAGACGCTGGTCGATGGAAAGGGTCCCAAGCCCGGACAGCGCATTGTTTACGTTGACGGAGGCTTCGATCTCTTCTCGTCGGGTCATATTGCGTTCTTACGCAAAGTTATGGAGCTTGAAGAAAAGCTTGGCCACGAAAATGGCTGGTATGAGCCAGAACAGACCGAAAAGAGGTTGAAGGACTTCAACGAAGACTACTCCCCCGCCTATATTGTTGCAGGTATCCATGATGACGATGTGATTAACCACTGGAAGGGCTTGAACTACCCAATCATGAACATTTTTGAGCGCGGTCTCTGCGTACTTCAATGCCGCGTAAGTCTACTCCTTGACGCACTAGAACCATGCTGACTTTGTTTTAGTACATCCATGCTGTCATTTTTTCTGCACCTTTCACACCCAGCGAACCATACCTGAAGGCAATTCCATGGGGCACTCCCGACGCTGTCTACCATGGGCCTACAACATTTATCCCGTTGACATATGACCCATACACTGCCCCCAAGCAAATGGGAATTTTCCGAGAAGCTGAGCAGCATGCCTTCCAGCACGTCAACGCTGGCGAGATCGTTGGCCGGATTTTGAAAAGCCGAGAAGCCTATGAGGCCCGGCAACGTGCCAAGCTGGATAAAGGTGTTGCTGAGGATTTGGTCAAGTCGAGAGAAGAAGCAGAGCAAGCCTTGCAATAGGCAGACCGGGAAATACTAATGTAATGAGATCAACTGTACATACAAAGCTACACCTCATCAACTGGGGTTCTAACAAGGCGCCAGCTCATTCTTTTGCGGCGCAGTAACCATCGCATTCTAGAAGACCCAATTTCACTATACAGTATAGATTGGAGATGATTGCCATTCGTTGAATTTTCTGACCGAGGCTTCCTGGCCCGCAGTATATTCCGACCAAATACATTAGAGACAAGTAGTTTTACAGAGACAACCATCTATCAGATGGAACTAACGTCTTTCACCTGGGCCTATTTATTCATCGGCCGCGACCAAGACACCCTTAGTCTCGAGAAGCTTTGCAAGCTCGCCATTCTGGTGCATAGACATCAGAATATCACAACCACCAATGAACTCCTTCTCCAGGTATAGCTGGGGAATTGTCGGCCACTCTGAGTACTCCTTCACACCTGATGATTCATAGCAATTAGCATACCGACAATGAAGGGAAATCCCCACACTCTAAGTAATCCATACCTTGACGCAGCTCAGCATCCTCAAGCACGTTGAATGCAACGAACTTCTTGGGGTCAACGCCCTGCAGACCCAAGATTTGAATGCTGGCCCGCGAGAAACCACACTGCGGTGTCTCGGGGGTACCCTTCATGAACAGAACGACCGGGGCGGAGGCAACGGCCTTGTCAATCGCTGTCCGGGTCTCATTGGACAAGAGGCGAGCATGGAGAGCAGAAGGGATAGAGGGACCGGAGGGGAACTGGATGGCCGAGCGGACGGGGCGCAAGAAGGTTGGCCGTGAGACCGGGCGGAAAGCCTTCAAGTGTCAGTTGAGTAGTATTTCATTCGAAAGCATGATACATACCGAGGCAATAGCTCTGGAAAACATGGTTACAATGTGTGCAAAAGGAAAATAGATGGAGAGTTGCGAAAGACTCCGGGAGGGTTAGTATTATTTAATCAGCGGTTGGTTAGTCCCAGTTACGTCGATCTCCACTCCGAACTTGATCTCCCACCTCCACGGGTGTATGTATCCATGTATCTTCCAAGGTTGCTATCTTTTAGCTAGGAACATTATATGTCAAAGCCCGAAGAGGTTGTAATTTACTAACAAAGGTTTTACACAGTAAGCCAGATTGAAAAGTTCACGTAGGCAGTCGAGTTTACATGGAGGAGCTGAAAATTGCGCTTGAAATCAGGTATATTGTTACAATTCTTACTGCGTCAGCTCGGCCACCGAGGACTCCGAGTTGCTGTATAGACCAAGGTACTGCATGGCATATTCGCCCAGCAAGCCCAAAGAGATTCCTCCACCGGTCAACAAGCATCCGTTCTTGAACCACCACCAGCAGTTCCGAACATTCTTCAATTGGACCTTCCAGATCATGAGGCCAAGTGATACAACTGCGCTGCCACAGCTACCCACGAAGAAGACAGGCCCACAACCAGCGGCAACTCCAGCGGCCGCAAGGAGTGAAACCTGAACTGCTGCAAGGCCACTCAGGACAGCTTTGGTATTGTGTTCGTGACGGAGGGCAATCGACTTGATCCCAGCGGCGACATCATCTTTGATGTCCATGTGTGCATAGATCATATCGTACAAAACCGTCCAAGCAATGCAGCTGGAGTAGAGGGCACCCGCGGCCATCAAAGCATCGTGGTTGGAAAGCAGATCTATATTCAACGCCGGGAATCCCATGATCGCTCCCCAAGAAAAGGCAAGACCCAAGACCGCCTGTGGATAGTGGGTCACACGCTTGGCCAGGGGATAAGCTACCACGATGGGCAAGCTAGGAATTCCATACCAGAGACACTGGGAGGGAAATGACAGAAGCACACCCAGCCCAGCTAGCAGTTGTGACCCAGTAAAGAGCACTGCATTTTTCGGCGCAAGCGCGCCTCTGGCAATGGGTCGGAATTTGGTGCGTTCAACATGGGGATCTAGGTTCCGGTCCCACAAGTCATTGATCGCGCAGCCTGCACCGCGCATGATCAGCGCCCCAGAGAAGAAAAGTCCCACTGTTCCAAGGACCTGAAGTGGTGTCGCGCCGGCAGCCATCGGTGCTGCGAGAAGAGTGGAAAAGAGTGTTGGGAAGAACAGGTAGTATGTGCCGGTGGGCTTGTCCAGCCGCACCAACTCTGCATAAGGAATCCATGATTTCGGCAAAGATGCGATCAAGCCAGTCTTTGGCGGACTATAGTGAGTGGCAGGGTTCTTCTCTGTGCCATCTGACTCGACTGGCTGCGCCGCAGGCGATTGTAATTGTGAGCTATATCGGACTTTGGCGTGTGTTGTTCGCAGAGCCACACTAGAAGATGAGCTAGGGCCACTGTGCGCTTTCAATTGCGTCGTTATACAGGCATTGTGAGCGAGTGGTGAGAGGCGACCGATGGTCCGGCGAGTGAAGGCAGTATTCAGGCTGGTATATGGGGATAATTGACGGAGGGAACGGGGGGCGGTGGAAAGCATTTTAGAATGGCGCAAGGAGGAAAAACTAGAAAGGCAAATCAATCGCAATGTTCATCATGATCCCAATGCCATTTGAGTGTACTGGAGAGCTCCGGGAAATACATCGTCATGGAAAAAAGCGGCTCCCTCTAAGCCTAATTGGGAAATATCCAGGTCCATTACTGTATATCGCACAGTTCAGCACCAAATGATCTTTTGTGTCGACTTTAATGGACTTTCAACTTTGAAATCCTTTACAGGTATTTTTGAAGGACTTTCCGAGATCTTTTTCCATGTTTCCCGTGACTGTTCGTGAATCTTCAACGCAAAGTGATTTTCCTGTGGTTTCTGCCTGAGGCGCCTATCGACGCGGTATCCCGCGTTCCCCAGACGAAGTCATTGCGATGCGACAGTCTTCGTAGCTTTCACCTCTTCATTCCTTTCCTCTCACCATCTTCTTTCGCATACACCACCCTTCTTTTGAACCTCTGGTGTCGTTTATGCCTACCGCGTCCACCGTGTCAGTCCCATCTATCGTACCATTGTTCACTTCCGATAAGCTTCACTGTTGGTCGTCAGAACTGGCACATCCTCATGTAATTGAGCTCACGTCCTTCTTCTCGCAACCGTCTGACATTTATATTACCAGATCTTTCTCACTGTCATTTCTTCCTTTCTCTTTCACGCAATGCACCTCACCGTCTACCATCCTTTGAAAAGAAGCGCAAACTAGTTCGATCATATCACATCAAGATGCCGGCTCACCGAGCCCGATTGGCGTTCGAACCAATGGCTCCTGACCTTGATATCGATTATGTCGTCAACACAACGGAGAATTTCCAATTCGCAGACCGAGTCACTTGTGACTCGCTCGATAGATTCTCACTCGAGCAATTTGAAAAGCTCGCTCATTTCCAAGTGGTCTTAACCGGCAGACCGCTTGTTGTGGAAGGCTTTCAACACCGGTTGGACAAGAACCTCTTCTCAGAGAAATGGCTGAGAGAGAATTATGCATCTAAAAGTAAGCTGGCTTACTTGGTTTCATGTTCCTCTTTCTTGGCCAAATCTAACTACAATACGCTGTGACAGTCGAAGATGTTCGCGACCTCGGCAAGAAACACAACAAACCATTCACCATTGGGCATTATTTGAAAAGCCTTCCACTCTTGTCCAAAAAAATCAACCCTGATAACTACATGGACAAAAATTGCCAGCGCCTGTACATGAAAGACATCGACTGCCCCTCAGAGTGGCAGGAAAGCCTGGAGCAACTGATACCACCAGCCTTGTTTTACCTCAATGATGCCCCAAGATCTTTCTCTGGGCCTGCATCATCAGATACGAGCGTGTCATCCTATCCAAAATCTCCACAGGGTGAGCCACTTGCCCCTGCCGGTGACTTAATGAGCAGCCTTCCACCTGCCATGCGGGCGGAAAATCTGATGTGTTACATCGGACATGAAGGCACTTATACACCAGCCCATCAAGAGATGTGTGCCAGCCTCGGTCACAACATCATGGTAGATGCTTCGGATGGCACCCCGGAAAACGGTCAGAACACAGACCCTGGTTCGTCGATCTGGTTCATGACAGAACAGAAGGATCGACGCGTGGTATCGGAATACTGGATGTCCGTCCTGGGACACGATATCGATATCGAGGACTATTTCGCTCCCCTGCATGCCTGGGCGATTGCCCCCTTCAAGACCTGGGTTGTGCACCAGAAACCTGGTGATCTCATTCTCGTTCCACCCCTCGCGGCTCATCAAGTTTGGAATCGTGGGACGCGCACTGTCAAGGTGGCGTGGAACCGAACTACGATTGACACGCTAGAGCTGGCTCTGGGCGAAGCACTGCCGCATGCAAGAATGGTTTGCCGAGATGAGCAATACAAGAACAAAGCAATTGTGTTCTTCACTCTGGAACGGTATGCAAAGATGTTGCGCCAGGCAACAAAGGTTGAACACCCGGCGGTCGACCAGATGTGGGACGCCTTCAAGGGTCTTTTCAAAATGTTCATGAAAATTCTATTGTCAGAAACATTTTCGCGGAAGAATCCAGAGAAGGAGGTTGAATATCATGCTTTCCAGAGCAATGTGACCTGCTCGTACTGCAGGTGCAACATCTTCAACCGCTTCCTTACCTGCCCCGGCTGTGCTCATTCACTCGGTGGAGAGGACGACCCATACGACGTGTGCATGGATTGCTATGTTATGGGAAGGAGCTGTGGATGCATCTCCAACCTCAAATGGGTTGAACAGTTCTATTGGAAGGAACTGACGGACCGTTACGAGTCTTGGCGGCGCTTGATCATATCTTCCGATCCAGGAAATAAGGAACTGAAAACCGAATACCCCACGTTTGTTGTCGCTCGAGGGAAGGCCATCACGAAAACGACAGCGGAAATCTGTCAAGAACAACTTAATCATCGGCCCTGGAATGATCCAAACAAGTCCAAAGCTGTCAAAAAAGCCGAGATAATTGACACAGCCAGTGGTTCAGAAGACGACAGCCGATCTCGAAAGCGAAAAAAGGTCCGGAAAACAAAAAAGCTCGGTTCAGAAGATGCTCATCGCTGTCACGTCTGCTTTCATTTCGAAGTGAATTGGAAGCTTGCCGCTTGTTCAAACTGTGATTCACGATACTGCTATGGCAGTCTATTCCGAGCTTTTGAAATTCCACCACAAGCCGTTATGGAGAAGTATCACTGGTTATGTCCCAAATGCGAGAAAATATGCAGCTGTGGAGCATGCAAGCGTGATCCAACAATGAAACCTTATGAGCCGAATTGCACCGTACTTGGACATGACACAAGCAAGGTCGCAGACCCAAGAAGCGTTGAATCTCTGGTAGACTTTCGCAAATCGAACCTGTGGTGGCTGAAAAAGTTCGGTGACGATGTCCATGGACGGATCAGAAAGCACCAGGATGAAGCTGTGTCCGCTGATCTCGAACGTCAGAAGACACTCGAAGAGCATGGGTTCCTCTTCGAGACCAGCCCGTCTGAACCTCAAACCCACACGAGTAATGGCGGCCACACAAACGAAAGCAGCTCGGATGATGCCGAAGAAATACCCGTTGACCCCTCGTTAATGTTGAACGAATCCTTTGCGAACGTTGATAGCTAATAATTCTCCCGGGCATGGATTGCAGGGAGAGGCTTTATGATTACTGGCGGGCATGTACATGTCAATTTAAGATTCCCCGAAGGGCATGGCCCTTCTGCAACGCTTTTTTTACACAAATATGGCTGTACTGTAATAAGCAATACATAAACCAGACATCTGATTTATCAACATTATCTCGTCGGTCTGGCTAAGCACCTTTGTATTCGTACTGTAGATCTTTAAGAGATGTAAGGTCTACAGAGCGCATCAATCTTTGCGCGAGAAGAATTGTCGCAAGCATAGCTATAATCGAGGATCAGCACCGTTCGCGAAGTGCAAGATAAGGAAACATACCTCCAGGTATCAAGTAGAGCACTGGCCGAATGCCCCACGATGATCCAGCGGAAAGATACACCAAAGCCAGTAACAAGCAAACTGCACTGGTGCCAGGCACCAAACCCGCATGCAAGCGAGCTATCCGCTCATTATGGACCGTCATGGGCTTCTTGCCTTTGCGGTCTGGCTGAAGTGGGGAGGTTCTCATGATGTACGCCGTCGTCAACAACGAGACCAGCCCGAGGAGAGAGAAGAGCCGTTCGATATGACTCGAAGGTGCCAGCACCGAGGGTACAAATACCACGGCAGTCATCACTGGGAGTACAGTGAAAATCATCTAAGCATATTCAGCGCTGGCCATCAAAATACATAGGAAGATATGTACACTGTACTGAGCATTGCGGGCATCGTTCTGGCTCTGCAACTGTTCGATGACCTGTTCCTGCTCCTCCTCGTCTAGCTCTTCACGCTCGCCATCTGATTCCTCGGGATATCGAAAAGCTTTGCGTAATCTCACAGTAGCCATGGTAATTAAGAAGAGGAAAGCCGACGTTGGGAAGTATAGGTGGTGTGACGGACTGTTTGTCATGTTTGCTCTTTTCTTGCCGATACTGACAATTCCCCCCAATTCCACCTAGGCCAATACATCCCGATCTCCAATTTCGCCATGGTCTTCTCTCAAGTATTCACCCGGCGTGCTGGGCTCGCCCGGCTACCAGGCCGCCAACGCGTCCCTTCACGGCGCACAATGATGCCGGCACCAGGCCCGAACACCGGTCCGCTGATGGAACGACGCGCAGACCGCGAGCTCCCAAACCCCAACTCCGGCGGACGGCGCTGGTTGTACACTCTGCCTATCTTTGTGATTGCTACTGGAGCTGGCATGCTTGGAATCTTCAACTACCAAAAGTCTTCCTCGAGTGTGGTGAACAGTACGCTCTATGCTTTGCGGACATCGCCGCGGGCCCGCGAGATCCTAGGCGATGAGATCTACTTTGCGCAGCAGATCCCTTGGATTAGCGGCGAGATGAACCAATTGCATGGCCGTATCAACATTTCATTCTGGGTAAAGGGTACCAAGGCCCAGGGCAAGATGAAGTTCCACAGCATTCGACCGGATCGTATGAGCTACGTAAGTACTCAAATCCTCATCCACGGACATAACGTTGCATACCCTGGACCGTTCCGACTGCTAACCGTCTATTCTAGTTCCGCACCGAGGAATGGAGCTTGGAGACCGAGGACGGAAAGGTGGTTCAATTGCTCGACAGTGAAAGTGATCCATTCCGGCAAAACTGAAGACTGGTGGCAGTGTGTACAGATAAAGTAGTGCATGGGCTCAGGCGTTCTGGAACATCATTTATGGGACCATTTATTGCGTTATCAGCCGAATTGGCAAAGTTCTCATGAGGAACAGTGGCTATCGAGAGAAAAAAGGAAGAAGGATATCATTTTATGTATCATATACAAACGCCGCTCAAGTGAAACAATATCGCGCGTATGGTGTAATAGTACATGCCATCTAAAGACCGAGGGAAAATCTCCAATCAATTAGGCAGTTGCGGCAGCAGGTTCCGCAGTCTCTGCTGCAGGTACCTCGGGCCAAGGCTTCTTGATAGCATCCTGGATTCTCACGACGCAGCCCTTAGGACCACTGACAGCACCTACAGGTTCCAAACGTTAGCAAAAGGTCACCTAGCGCAAATCAGCAGTCAAGTCACATACCGCTCACAACAACGATTCCATTCTCAGCATCCACCTTGAGGATCTTCAAGTTCTGAACGGTGTTCTGCTGGTTGCCCATGTTTCCAGCCATCTTCTTTCCAGGGTAGACACGAGAACCACCACCCTGACCGGGACCAGAAGAACCCATAGAACGATGCGTCAAACTCACACCGTGACTACGGTCCTGACCACCGAAGCCGTGTCTCTTCATGACACCAGCAAAACCCTTACCCTTAGTGTTGGAGCGGGCATCAACGAACTGGCCTTCCTGGAACCAGCCAGCCTCAATGCTTGAACCAACAGGGAGGAGACCGGCCTCATCCTTGACACGGAACTCGAAAATGTGACGCTTGGGCGAGAGGCCATTCACGGAAAAGTGACCGAGGAGAGACTTTGTGACATTGTTGGGGTGCTTCCAGCCAGCACCAACCTGGACAGCGTAGTATCCGTGTCTCTGGCGGGTCTTGTGGGAGAGGACCTCGACACGGTCGAGCTGCAGAACAGTGCAGGGGATGCGCTTGCTAGTCTCAGGGTCGAAGATGGCGGTCATGCCCTTCTTGATTGCAATGGCACCGGTGCGGAGAGGGAGGGAGAAGGCCTTGCGGCGAAGGGCTGCTGTCGACGTCGACTCGAGAACGGGCAGGCCGGGGCCAATGTTGAAGCGACTGGGCTTTGGGGGATTGAGCGATCTGATACCGAATGTCCGCACAGGGACATGGGGCGTAATCAATGCATCCCAGACTGGCGAGCAGAGCTGAAGCCCTCCTAGACGCGGCGACATCTTGGTTGATATTGAGGGTTAGTCGATTTGGCCTGAGATGCGGGAAGTTTTTGGTTGTCGGGCTTAGTCATCAAGCCTGGAACTATACGCATTATTTCACCACAACATTCACAGCTTCCAAGGTGTACATATATTGATTGGTTTGAAAGAGCATGAACAACACCATGAGTATCCTATAGCCATCTACAGACCAAGTTTCACACCCGCCTGTCCCCTTATTCCCTAAGTCCGATATACGCAGTCCGATCGGACCGGAAGCCGAAAACGCCGAGAACTAAAAAAGATCCCGTCAGAAATCCTTCTGACTCGACACGCCCTCCATAGACACACACTCACCCCAATCGCCTGAATCGGAACCGGGAACATAAAAACCATGTCCTTACGACCAACCCTCCTTTCAAAATGGATCTCGCGCCCTAGCGAGATCCTCCAAAGAGCAACCAAAAACAACATATACATCAGCTCGACACGCACTTACGCGCCACGACACACCTCCATCCTATCCCAAGCAGCACGGCGAACCCTCGCCACCACCCTGGGTCAGACAAGCCGACTGACAGCACGCCCCCGGTGCCGAGCCGGCCCCAACACCTTCCAGCAGCCCAAGCAGCGGCTGAACCGGCGGTTCAATTCCGGCTCAGCTGGTAATGGAGGATCGCAGGCGCGGCCGGAGAAGGATTCGCTATCGCAGCGGTTGAAGAAGCTTTCCAGGGAGTATGGGTGGTCTGCGCTTGGTGTGTACCTTGCTCTGTCTGCGTTGGATTTTCCGTTCTGTTTTGCGGCGGTGCGCTTGTTGGGTGTTGAGCGCATTGGATATTGGGAGCATATTGCTGTTGAGTTCCTGAAGGATAAATTCAAGGCTGTTTGGCCTGCCGTTCAGACCGGTGAGGGCGAGGATAGCCCGGGTCAGCTTGAGAAGGCTGAGGAGCGGAACCAGGAGGAAGCCAGTAAGTTTTGCTCTGTTTATTTTGAGTTGAGATGGATGACTGACTGGCATTTTTCACCGCAGGTATTTGGACTCAGCTTGCTCTAGCGTACGCCATCCACAAGAGCTTTATCTTCATTCGGGTTCCTTTGACGGCTGCCGTGACACCAAAGGTTGTCAAGACACTCCGGGGTTGGGGATGGAACATTGGAAAGCGCAAGCCTAAGAGTACATGATGGTGATTTGATTATATAGCATAGCGGATACAGGATTTGGATTGGACCATTGTACATTATTAGCTATTCAGCTCTCTAATACGGCAATTTTTGCCTTCTCCTCTCACCCACTTTCCAGATCTACAAAGAACCCAGCCAACCCAAACCAAGACCAGATCTATCTCCAGCGCCATCAGACAGGAAATGAGAAAAGAAAGGTAAATAACAACAAGATAGTTGGCATATGCTGAGAAGTCTGCCTGATATACCCACCCAAAAACAAATAGAAAAGATGGCGTGGCAAAGCTACCAAAAGCTCGTTATTCGTTGCGGAAATCATATTGCGACGTATGTAAAGGTGCTCGCGGAAGAAAAAGGTGGTTCACATGTCAATCATATCGTTGAATCTGAGGATGCCGTTGGCTCTCATCACACCGTTGACACCGTCGGGCATGCGGTATGCCCATTCCGCGACGCCCATAGAACTGGCGTTGGGCAGCTCTTCTTCACGTTGGTCTTGACCGGTCTCATCGGAGGTATCGGCTACGAGCACAAGGCCGAGCTCTTTGATAGTTTCAACAAGGGCAGGAACAACATTCTGCAGTATGGTTAGTAGAGAACTCAACAAGCAAAGGGGACCAGAAGGGCCTCAAAGACGAAGAAGGACTTACCAAGAGACTGGATCTGCAGATCAGACCCATGAAGTTGTTACTCTGGGCAATACGTGCAGACTCCTTGATCGACATCGAAGCACGACCACTGCTATCAACATGGGGTTGCGAGTCAACGTTGCGAGTAAGGTCACGAATCTGCCCCAGGTCGTTGCAGAGAAGAACGGGATCTGATTGAGATGAGCAAATGTTCGATATTCAAAATCGTCACCCAAAGACAAACTTACAGTTCGGCTGCTTCCAATTGAGTGCAGTACAGATATTCGGGTTATAGGAAGTAAACACGACGGAACGCATAAAGTCCGGGTTCTTGTCTCTAGCCACACGAGCGTGGTCAAAGACATCAGTCAAAATAGCATCGGCGAAGCTATTAACATCCGCCAACGAAGTCATGTCGAGCATCTTTTCTTCTGCGGGTGATGGGTATAGAAGAGAGACGTTTACATTCAAGTCGATGGGGAGCTGACACAAGACATCACGCAGTGACAAGAACGACGCGGCGAGGAGTCGATGAGTTTTCGCCATATCGATGACAGCTTCTGTTTCCAAGAAGTGAAGGATCTGGCTCTGGTTGACACCGCGTTCAGCCCCAATGGCTTGGAACTGGGAATACGTTAGATGAGAAACTGGGATCTCCACACCATGGTGGTTGATCATGAATTGAGGATAGAGAACTGCGACACGGTCTCGAGTCAACTGCGCAAAGAGCTGCACGTAGTCTCCCGACAAACTGGAACCGGTGACCAGTCCATTGTGGTCCGAATCAATTGCCCCGGTAGCCTTCCAGTATGTAGCAAAGTGGGTAATCTCCAAGGGGTCACCGTGGTACGGCTTGATGACCTGGAAGTTGAAGCGCAGCTGACCAATTGCGCGGAGTCGGGGGTCAAACAGCGGCAAGCAACCGGTGCCAGTGCTAGATGATTCGGCCCGGAAGATATCTGGCAGAGCAACACTCTTGGCGATCACCTTGGATCCGAAAGTAGGGAAGATCTCAAAGTCAACGGCAAAGGTATCCAAGTTGTCCACATGGAATGATATCGTGCGCGAGTCATCCTGGATAGGGAGCATAATTGTGCGAGGGATAAGATCAGATAACTTAGACGAGATAGTCATCCGAGCGGCGGGATGGCGTCCTGCCTGATCAAAGACAATCGACCCGACATTCGCCTGATCAAATGTAAGCTGGACAAACACCTTTTTGTCAAGGAAGTTGTGTCCATAGCGACGAAGAGGGATGATGGGTGGAGGTAGCTCAAGATCAGGGATGCCGTCAACCATCTCCATTTCCGATGCGCCTGGGTCCATGGACATTGGCTCACCCATTGGGCCAGGCTCTGCCATTCTCACGCCATTGAGAATGTCGAGCGGGCGCTGCGAGGGTCTCCGCCCAGTGGGTTGAGCCCAGAGAAGAAGCATACACTCCAGATGCCCTTCCCAGGCAGCGTAGTACATGGCTGAAAGACCCTTTTCATCTGCAACCTGTGAATCGACCCCCGATTCAAGGAGTGTGCGTAGACAGGGAACACAGCCTTCGCTGGCTGCGTGGAACAACGGAGTCCACTGATAAAGCTTGTCCTTTTGGTCGAGATCAGCACTGTGCTGCTTGAGCAGTAACAAGAGTTGCGGAGATTGCGAAGCACGTGCAACCATGTGCTGCGGATAGAGACCTTCAGCGTCCGGAAGCAACTTTGCATTCCGCTCCAGCAGCATTTTCACAATAGGAAGGGAGCCATGTTGACAAGCCAGGTTCAAGGGAATATGATCTGTGTCTGAGTTTGGGTTGATTCTGGCATTACTGCACAAGACCTGCTCAGCGCATGCCAATTGGCCCTTGACGATGCTGTGGATCAGAGGGGTGAAGTTGTCATGGTCCATGATATCCACGGTCTGGGGACCAGCCGCTAGCAGATCTCGGACCATATCAACACGGCCATGCAAACAAGCATAGTGGAGAGGAATACGGCCATAGACATCGGACAAGGAGAAATCAACGGATGCCTTGAGACCAGCCTTGAAAACAAAGTCTCGGCCTGAAATGGCGGCTTCGTGGAGGCAGTTCCGCTCATTGATATCGTCCTCGGCGTGGATATCAACCAAGTTGCTTTCTAATAAAAGAGCAAGAACCTCGTCTGAGAATCCATTGATGGCGGTCAAGAAAGTGCGAGTAGCACGTTCATGTGCATCTGGCAAAGACTGTAATCTGGCCAACCATTCACGCAGAGTCTGCATATTGCCTGTTGAGGCCGACTGCAGCATCTGAATGTCCAACTCATCCTCCTCGGATCCAAGGGGCGCGGTCCGGTCCACAGGACGCGAGGCATCATATTGGATGTTCTCGCCCTCAGCCCAGGCCTCCAACTCCAATCGAGCGGTGGTGGCCCGGTCCGCAAGGTCTCGGAGGATATCGCGGTTGAAACACGGTTGCACTTCCACCGCTCGGTGTAGATACAGCTCTTTCATGCGAGACTTGGATGTCTTGTCCCATTTCTTCAATATCTTGGACATGGCAGTCTCGTTGATCTCAACGAACTGCTGCAGCTTGTTAAGGTCACCATCGAATTGCTGAAACCCCTCAAATAGAGAAACGAAATTTGATGGCGCTTTGGAATTGGAGGAGGTTCGGGACTGGATCACCCGCTTCTTGTCGACTAGTGTCCGTAGACGCAGCGAGAACTGAGACTCGTTAGCCCAGATACCATTATCCATACCAAAAAAAAAAAAAAAAAAAGCGTACCTCTGATTCTTTCTGAAGGTAAAATGTATTGACTTTCTCAATCTCTCGCTCCTACATCTCGAGGTCAGCACATTGACTCATCTGCAAGATATGCCCAAACTTACCAAGCGGAAGAAGAAGACCTCCTTGTTTGCGCGCAGAGCAAACTGAGGATCATCATCCCTGGCGATCTCCTCGGCGGTTCTTTGCGCAGGGATAGTAGGGGTAGCGCTGAGCTGCTTGATAAGCTGGAGCGGGATCAATTAGCCATGCGCGCAATTCCGAGCAGGATGAACCAAGACCAACTTTCTTCAGCGCCTTGTAGTTAACGAAGCTGGCGGCATATTCGGGAAGATCTAGCTGCCTGCGCTGAATCTGTTTGCCGAACTTCCTACCCGCCGAAACCAATATCAGTAGTCGCTCAACCGGGACTCGGGATCGACCGTGTTGGCACGGTATTGTAGACTTACATGACTGCACGATCTCGGAGAGAGCTTCAGCTCTCCCGAGCTTTGGAGATTGGGGTTGCTGTACTCAGGTACTCAGCAAGACGAAGCCGCGAGCTGGTGGGATGTGGACTTTGCTGTACAAGGTCGAGCGCGGTGGTGTGTCAATGGGAGGAGAGGGAGGTGGGAGGACAGGAGGGACACGTCCGAGACCGAGTCAAGAGAACCAGCGCCTCGTGTCGAACTAGGAGAGGGCCGGAGTTTGGTGGGGAGGACAAAGAGTGGGACAAGAGAGGGAGACTAGAGGCGGAGTAGCACCGAGGGCAGATAAGATGTGTGACGTTGCTCCGAGGCGATGAGGCAGTGAAGCAGGGAAGAGCGAAGGAATGCGTGAGTATGTAGAATAGAGAAAAAGATGGCGGGGCAGAGAAGCCAGGTACCAGGTACCTATAGAGCCATATACTTCTGCGCTGAAGGGAAAAAGATGGAGGTTAAGCCGAGGGTGGGGAGCTCGAATGCAGTTGCCAATCACCGCGAACGGTGGACGCACGTTTCCTGCTGACTGGCACTTCCGAACATCACCCGTTACCCCTACAGTACGGAGGATATATGGTTACGTTACTCTTACTTATTCTAGGGCTTTCTATTCCACAGCCACATATGCATATATTCTACCAAGTCGAATACAAGTACGTCTGTATACTAAAGTCGAAGAATCGAGGTAATCTCATTTCTAACAAATACAAGCCTGAGAAAGCTGGGTAATTCCACTCTAGACACGCGAGGTATCATTGCAAATCTCGAGTATGTCCAGTGCATGGAAAACTCCACGCTCAGCAGGAAATGTACAAATGCGGCTCCATACAATACCCAAACAAAAAAGACGAACATAAGACGAAGGTGGCAATAAAAGAGTAAAAAGGCAAGCGATGCAGCTGGGACCAGATGCGCGGGATATATCAAACAGATGACCGAACGAGAATCAAAACCAACACGGGCCGATTATGGTAGAAATAGGAGGGGAAAAGGGTTAAGGGGGAAATAGAGACATGACGAAGTGAAGGTCCATCGCGCCGGGAATTGGAACATGAGAGACCCGAAATGAATGAATGTAGTCGGCGGTGGTGAAGACAAGGAGTGTCGTATTGTGCAAGAAGAAAAGAGAAAGCCGAGCTTTTGGTTGAGATTAAAGAGGAAATCTGGCTTAGAAGTTCTGGGCGATACCGGCATTCCCTTGTCGGGGGTAGACACCGGGGTTTTCGATGCGTGTGTTGCGACGTGCCTGGACGTCGCGGATAACGGGCTGATAGGACTCGTCGCCGTAGGCACCGTGGGTGTTGATGTCGCCGTAGTACGGGTTCTCACCGTAGTAGCCACCCGACGGGTGTGCGGCAGACATGTGGCTTTCCTCCGAAGCCTCGGAGCGGTTGGCAGCTGAATAGGCAGAGGATGCGTTGGAAGGGCCACGGTGAATGTCGCCAGTGCGGTTGTTGGCGGCTGCGGGCGCGGCACCAAGGACACCAATGGGCTCAACCTCGCCAGAGTCCGGTCGAACTCCATCCGAGTATTGCACAGTGCCTTCGCTGGGAGTCGCGACATGGTGGTAGCCGGGGCTGCTTCCTTCCGACATGGCGAGACCGCCCATACCGCTGGAGAGGTTGGTGGATGCCTTGCGTCCAGCAGAAGTAGTTCCCCATCCACGGTATCCAGAGGAAGTGTCGTCCTTCGGTGCCACCACGCCTGCCATTCCGGGGAGAGTTGGGTCGTTGTTGGGGTTGAAGCCGTACTCCTCCACCTCTTTGCGGCGCTCTTCCTCGTTCGCCTTGTTCGCCTTGCGCTTGCGCCAGAAGAAGATGGCTGCCAAGACGATCAAGGCCACGGAAACCACTGGCACAACGACAGCAACAGCAATTGTTCCGCTGGGAGAAAGACCGCCGGAGCTGGCTGCTGCAGTAGAGGTTGCGAGAGCGGCAGAGTCGGTCGCGCTGGAAGATGTGATGGAGGCACTAGTGTTCTCACTCGGGGCGGCGGTAGACGTAACGTAAACAACGGTCGTTCCGGCTGAGCCACTGCTAGTTGAGGGAAGTACGGTAGTCGAAGGGGCCTCGGTAGTGGTCGGCTCGATTGTGGAAGAGGTTGATGATGTGGATGTTGTAGACGTAGACGAAGAGGTTGTAGTAGGCACGGTCGAAGATGTGCTAATGGTGCTACTCGAACTCGAAGTGCTGCTGGTACTGCTGCTGCTGCTAGTAGTCGGTTCGCTGGAGGTTGTGGGCTGCGCAGAGGAGGTGGTTTCGGCCGCAGAACTGGCCGTGGTTGCAGCCGCAGAACTGGTCGGCGTGTTGGCCGCAGTTGCCGCATTTGTTGCCGCAGGTTCAGCAGTAGGAGCCGCACTGGTATTGGCAGCAGCAGCAGTAGCTGCGCCTGAAGACATCTTGATTTAGATTGCCGGTTAGACGATGCAATGATCCGACGCGGTGAGATTGGTGGTCGGGATCAATGCGACCCTGAACCAGGACACCGTTCGGCGAGTTTTGAGATCCGATTCGAAACTAGGATGAATGAGATCGAGGATAGGATGCTGAGTGGATTCAGAGTCAAAAAGTGAAACCGGATTGGATAACGAAAGACTATAATGCACGCGTTTAAAGAAGGACTGGGTTATGGTCGGGGGCTCAGGGGGGAGTATCGGGTGATATCCCAATCGAAGTTTGAAAGACGAAAAAGGCAAAATCAAGAAAGAAAAGAAAGAGGCGAAGAAGAGAAGAAAGACTCACAATCTCATGTAGCCATGGGAGAGAGGGAGATGTGTGTGGAAGAGGAGGAAGAAGTGGGAAGTGGAGATTCCGTACGATTGCAGCGTATGCACATTCTTAGCGGTAAGAATAGATCTTCATTTGGTTTCTGACTTTGTTACAGTTGCAGTAGCAGTGGCATCCGCATGCAGTGTTAGAGAGAATAGTCAACAAACACCTGCTTATGGTAATCCCTTGCAACTGTTCCCCTGTGATTATAGGGCTCAGATTATACTGAGATTTCACTGCTTACACAGACTCAGACTCAGGCCTTCTCAGGCCTACCGCGGGTCAGCAAGGGAGAGACTGGGCCCGGGGACATTGCCCCATCCGTTTCTGCCAGTCAGAAACATGAATTTGGTTGATGATGCAGATTGTCTTGGTCCACTCTTCGCTTCAACGGTCTATTAAAAGGTTGGAAGTGCTAAACTCCTATCCAGTTTTCAGTACAATACCGTACTCGTAGTCTAGACACTTTTTTAAGTTAAGATAATATTTAGATCGAATATGTACAGCCCATCGGGCAAACGAAGTGAAATTCGATCTATTTACGCCGGTAGATCTCCAGTGGAAAAAAAAAAAAAAAAAAATAAGATCCCAGAGGCAAACCCCAAAAAACAAAAAGCATATCATCACATGCTCTTATATAACCAAAAACAGAGTCATGACAAAACGACTGAACCCGTCTATTATTTGTTGTTGTTCAAATCCCAGTGCGGTCGCAAGCTGGTCATCAAATCATCCTTGGTGCCCACCGTGTCTGCGGGCAATCGACTGATGCGGTAGTTGCCATTGCGGATGTTGTTCATGTGGGTATTTGAAACACCAGTGCGGTTACTGCGGATACTACCAGCGTCACTGCCGGCTCCCTCGTTCTTGAAACGTGGCGGGGGTACGAAGTCCAAGTTCGTATACGTTCCCGACTTTCGCAGAGCGTGTGGGCTGGGCATGACGGCAAGCTCATCGAACGCAGACGCCAGCGGGGTGTGTGCGCGCACAGCGGGACTGTAAGGTCGCATACCACCAGTGGGCGTCTCCGGGCGACCCGCACGCTGGTCGCGGAAGCCGTTTGCGGGTGCAAAGTCGACGGCGGACATGAGAGATTCGTCCCTCAGCATGTGAGGAGTGGGAAGCATCTGAAGCGGTGCCGGGGGAGGCATCGGCTTCCGGGGGGCTCTGGGCCCAGGCATACGACCGGAGGCAGAGGAGAAAGCCCGGGGTCCGGATGCAGATGAGAAGGCACGAGGACCAGGGGCAAAGCCATTGAAGCCAGCAGAGTTCGTGGCCTGATGACGAGCGGCACCCTGGAAGCGTGGAGGAGCACGAGGCGGCGGTGTCATAGCACGACGGGTCACTGGCTCGGCGAAGGGAGCTGGCGCAGCATCAAAGTAGTCGCCAGTGACTGGGTCATAGACGAAACCACCATCCTCATAGAACTCAGGACCGAAGTCTTCGTAATATGTAGTCTCGCGGCCAGTTTTGCTCTCATCGAAGTATTCCTTGTAGAAGGAGCGAATCCGATTGGCACGCTGCTCAGGGTTGTCGGCAGGGTCCTCTGGGGGCAGCGGGCGCAAACCGAGAGTCATCCGGCGGGTGTCGCGGTGCTCATCATATGGCTTGTCTAGGGATTGAGGCTCCTCTGGAAGTTCAGGGTGCGTTTCATGGCTTGGGACATCATGTCTGTCCGTGGCATGGACGTTGACAGGAGGAATCATGAGCTCCGACTTGCGATCGTCACCGTAGTCACTACTGGTAACATCGCTGGCTGGCAGGGAAATACGAGGAAGATGCGGTGCATGGACAGACTCGTGTTGTGAGTGTGAAGGCTCAGGTAGCGGGAAGTTCAGGCGTTCTTCAGGCGCACTGGCATGGTTGATCTCGGTCTCAAATCCGAAATGGAGACTTGGGGTGGGATCAAGGTGAGGCAGAGGCTCCGGGGATGCGAAGCTTCGGTCAGTTGTGGCACTGCCAGGGGCCATGCTGTGTTCCTGTGCAACAGGGGCCGGAGGAGTAACACCGGGAACCGGCCCAAGGAAATCCTTGCGCTGATTCACCGGGCTGCCTCTGTGAGACTCGGTGGGAGAGCTATAAATTGGCGGAGATGAGCGAGACATCCGCTGTGCATTCTTGAGAAGACCCGAGTCGGGCTCATCAGCAGCTCCATATCGAGTTGGCGAACCGCCAAAGCTGGAAGCATCATCCCGGTGTCCCCTGGGGAAGGACCGGACAGAGCCACCATCACCAACGAATGCGGCGGGTCGGTACTTATCATCGTCTATGGAACGAGAAATGGAGTGCAGAGAGTCCCTGGAGCTCTTCATGCCCGGGGGAATCAGATAAGGACCAACGTCGAGAGACAGACCCTTAGTATGGGTGGGTTCTGACATCGGGGGCATGGCTCCAGGGCCTCGCCTTTGTGTAGCTGGTCCAACTGTATCCATTCCAAAATCGAGTGATTTATGCTTATCATTTGCATCTTCCCGTAGAAGTTTCTTGACATGTCTTCGGTGAAGCACAATCAAAACGACAATGGCACACAAGATAGGAAGACCAGCACCGAGCACGACGGGCAAGACCGTCGTGGTCAGGTTACTGGTGGGCTTTTCTCCGTTTGTCGTGCCAGATGCTGAGGTCTCTGGAGCTCGAGCCACGAGAGACGAGATTGTGGCTAAAGGTGTGGTACTAGGGACCAAAAATGGCAGGCGATGTGAAGGGACGACATCCCGGCGAACCGGGACATGCCTCATCACCAAGCCGGCATGGTGAGCGAGAGACATAGTCAAGGCCGGTCTAGAGGGCGTGATCAACACGGTAATGGCGGAAGCCGATCAGATGGTGCTCGTCATTGAAGTTCGACACGATATAAAAAGGAATGGAAAGGCAAAGTAGCCAAACTAAAGACAAGTAAAGAGTGAACGGGGACGAAGTCCTCAAAAGAGCGGCGGCCAGCAGCCAAAGAGAGTGGAAATGAGAGTTGGGAAGAAGAAAAGAGGAGAAAGCGAGATGAGTTCTAGAATATGGGGCCCTAAGCACACAGTCATATTACCGTTCTCCGCATCCCCCTGAGAGCTGTACAGTGATACCTGATTTCTTTATTTAGGACGACTCTCCATACACATTGTTTACAGCCTCCCTATTTTTCTTTTGTTTATTGTCTGATCTTTCCTTTCTACTCTGCAGCAAGCAAGGTGAATTGTGAGACTCCAGTACGAAGTAGATAGGGGCCTAGCGGAGTGCACCAATGAGAGAGTGGCTGCCCCTGAAGCCGTCGAAATTACTTGTATACACTAATGTATCTTCACGGTAAGGGCCCAAGGGGCGTTTTTTTGCTCCACCAAGCCTTCTGTATGATTCTGCTTGGCTATGCTTATAGTCTTGTACTTGTAGCTGTACTCCGTAGTAGATGTTTCGTATTCGGATACAGTCATGGTCCTTATAGGGAGTATAGGTAATTGTCATCTCCTTTAATTCGAGACGCCGGCGTGGCCCCGTCATTTCCAACGTCCAATGAGACGCAGATAACGGATGAGTTAAATGTTCAGTACTGTACCTGTCGCATCTCCACGTGAGACATTTCCCTCCAAGTCTTTTTCGATGTTCCGTTGGGGTTTTTGTAGAAGTATAAAGCTAAGCTCTCCATCATTCTGTTCGCAAGAATTCACGACCTCCCTAAAGAAATTTTGCCTGATAAGTCATTAGATAAGAGCATTTTTAATAGCGTCCATGATTGAGTGGCTATAGTGCCCGAGCTAGTAAGGAGCTAATAAATTGGAAGGCCTAGATTCTATCCCGTATCTACGGGGCACAGTCGTGAGCTTCATTGTGTACCAAAGTTCGTCAGCATCTGAGAGAGTACCGGGGTAAACTACATAAATCATGTTTTAGTTCAAATAAATTAAACATATGTGAGCGTGTATAACTTATATATTGACCATGGTCAATAGCCTGAATGGTGTTACTCCTGTCGAGGAGAAACATACAATCGTTGTGAATGTGCGTCATTATAATGATAAGATGCAATCTTGGAGCATACAGATATATATCACTCGAAGATGCTGCTCAACACTGACATTCACAATCTGAACTTGTTAAGATTGGAATGGCGAAAGCAATCCCACGCCGCTATAGATTCCTTGAACCAAACGTATCGAACCATTGGACAGTGGTAGTATCTCGGGAATGGTTATGATGACATGTAAATATGCATATTCCGAGACCATCCTGTCTCCAGATTCGCCCCTTTTAATATATTGACATGTGAAAGCGACCGTTCGATATGCATGCTTTTCCTCTGCTAGATTTTCTACTACATTCACTTCTCATAGAAGGTGATGAGGGCCATACCTACTGCAGATTGTCATGGACCCATCGCGTGATCTGGAGAAAGGAGAACCAGCTATCACCGCACAAGAAGCCGAGCATAAATAACAGCGTCTATCACCCCTCCTCGACCTCATCAATTGGATCACCGAATTCATCCTTTCACGATGTAATTGACTGGATAGTGTCCAAACAGCACAAACCCAGCGCGATGTTGGCCTAGAACGAAACCTAACAGCTCTCAGTCGAATCGCAACCCAGCGCAGACAATATCATGCAACAGTAGGCGCTGGACTCAAGCATCGGGTGTCAGTCAAACAACTCCCTGAATTCGGAGCTGGCAAGTCATAACCTCTGTATCTCCTGGGAAGGGAAGACTATGTAGTCGGATTGGCAGGCCCTGACGATCCCTTGCATCCTCGAAATTGGCCGACAAGAAATAAGTATGTAACTAGTGTTGATATCAAATACAAAAGATAGATATCATTACAATTTATCAAGGGTTCTCACTGTTGTGATGCTCGTATATATATAACATTCAACGCTACATTCACCAACAGCACATACTCCACCGGAATCTCCATGATATCACCAGAGTTCAATGTTTCCACCGAAGTCGGCACACAAGGACTGGATTTATATGTGCTTGGATTCGCGACAGGTCCAGTCATCTAGGCACCACTATCCAAACTTCGAGGCCGACGTCTACCAGTTTTGATTGCGATGTTCGGCTTCGTATTGTTCCAATTTGCCGTTGCAACCACAAAAGACCTTCAAACCATCATGCTATGTCGATTCTTTGAAGGATTTTTCGGAGTACGTCCAATTGCAATTGTGGCTGCCATCTCTCTGGACGAGACCTTTCCACCTGTTGACCTAATTCAAAAAGCGAATGAGCTTCGCCGACACACGAAGAATTGGGGCATTCACGCCAAGTAAGAAGAATTAAAATCGATCTAGGCGAGCTTCTTCAGAAGAATTACGGTCGGCTGTGTGGCAGCAGCTCTGATTCAGATTCCTACATTGTTATATCTCTGTGACGCCCGAATTCGAGCTAAGAGCACGATTGCTACGGACTGTGTGATGACAACGAAGGCTCATGCCAATGAAGAGATGGTATAAGCCTTAGAATTGATATAGCTGCGAGTTAACGGTGGCAGAATTATAATAGAGTACGCTTCTTGTGGTAACTTATATGGGCAGCGCTAATGTACATGACTTCTATAATGAGATAAACAAGGACATAAGACTGCCGAGAGTCTGCTTTCTTCTATATCTTCACAACCAAAGCGTGGTTCATAATATCTGTCCTTCTTCACTGTGCGTTGAGACAATCTGGTTACAACATTTTGCGAAAGATTTGATTATTAAACTTTTTTTGTCATTGTTGCGTTAGATTATTGCAAATGCATAGAAATACTTCTGTCCCCAGTTTAATCATCACAGGGTTGGGGTCAGTGTTTTTCATCTTGTATGGGCCTTCGTGTGAAAACATATCAGTGCAGGTCCGCCTAAAACAAGGAATGCTCCGTGATTAATACAGCGCAATTAGAAGATATGAGCTGCGCAAATATGAAACATGGCTGAAAGGAATGAGAAGACTGAACAAAAAAAAAAGATAACGTTGGGAGCCCCCGGATTGAGACAGACTCAAATGTGTGGGCTACACACTAGGTAATTGAAACATCAAGGAAAAGATGGTTGGCAATGTACAATGGGGTGAGAGTTGTACACGAGAAAGAAAAAGTAAGACCATGGCGCTTTTGATCACATCGCGTGAAAGAGATGGGGGTTTGCGAGAGTATGCAAAGGGGCGAGATCAACGGTGAATCACCGAGATATTAAAAGAATAAAGGAGATTGCTCATGCAAATGATCTTCGGGTCGTTTCATCTGATGCTGGGGAATCGTGGAGAGATATGGTGACAGGAGAGAAAAAAGAAATCAGAGAAATTGTTAAAAGTCGGCGAGAGCAGCTTCAAAGCTGGCAAGGTCGTCATGGGAGGGTTTGTCGAAGATGCGTCGAAATGGGGGATCTTGGGGGAAGACGTCTTGCGGGCTGGTTGCGACCCCTTCTGCTTTGCGAATGACTTCCTTCAGCGCGCGCGTCACAACACCAGCTCGAACCACCAGATCTTTCAACGAAGATGTGTCGAATGGAAGTTTCTGAGCACGCGGTGTGATGTCTAGCGGTTTATCACCAGTCTGCAGGATTTCAAGCACGGATTGCGATTTGGGCGAGTCTTTCGCAAGCTGAGTGAGGGGCGAGGGAGTTTCACGTTGACGTTGCGGCACATCGCTCCATGATACTTCGCTGTTACGCTTGGAAGATGCATGAAGACCCTCATCCTCTGATTCATCGAAGCTGAAAGTGAGGGATGATGGAGATCCTGGAGGCGAGCGATGCTCTTCTTCGTCATCAATAGTAGCAAGGTTGACAATCCCCTCAGCCTCTTTCCACAATTCACAAGAAGGTCCGCTAACGAGATCCAAGACACTTGCCTGGTGTCGGAGACGTTTCAATTCCTCAACGAGTAGCGTTAGTTCCTGAACCTGCCCGAACTGACCACGAAGACTGGCTTGTCGTTCCAGGATGGCTTTCGGAACAGTCATACTTTGACGAATAGTTTCTGGTTCAGATACCTGAGTGTTTTCGGCAGTGGGCGTATCCTCGCATTCGTCGAAATCGAAATCACTGTCCCAGTCTTCACTGACGCCTTTACTCCCCAAGCCCCAGGTCCCAAACTTTCCAGATGTTTGGCGCGAGTCACTTGTGGGAATGTCACTCACAACTGGGACACTCTGACTGCGAAGATGTACAGTGGAAGGTGCTTTCCGGCAAACAGCACGACTGCTTCTGTCAAGAACACCTTCCTGCTTCCCATGCATGGTTCTGGGACGCGTTTCAGTGTCGGAGGCTTCACGATCAGGACGTGATTGTTCAGACCAGTCGAAAATATTTGTCTTCTTGTTTACAACGGAGTTGGACGCGTCTACCTTTATCCTTGAGCCCTTCGCTGAAGTCAGGCCAGACTCGGACTGTTCGGCGAACTTGGACAACGCAAGCGACAAAGGCGACTGGAATCCACTGTCGGATTCGCCAGGCAACGCCCCAATCATGCTCAGGGCGTCATCATCCGGTCCATCGGTCAAAACTGACGAGTTATCAACCATTGGGACCTGATCCAAAGGAGGCGACGCCAGGAATGGATCAGTGAAAAGTTGAGGATCCCGCTCCAAAGACCTGGCGGCGAAAGAGCCCCGCGGCAGAAGAGTCTCCAAGGTCGTGACTTCTTCATTGGCTAAACTCGTGCCTGCTTTGTCAAACATCGTCTCAATCCGAAGACCCTTCAGTCCACTACCGGTGGTTTCGCGTGTGCGGACTGAGTCCCAATAATCACTCATAATATCGGTTTCATAATCATCACATGATGTAAATACCCTGGTATCATCGGAGCCAATTATGGTGGAAGATGGATCCGACCCTGAGATTGAGAAACCCTTGGGACGACGGCGGAGAGAGTAAGGCTGGCCGTTGGGACGCGATGCCCGCTGCCAGGCTGAAAGTGCGACTGCATCCGATGTTACTGGATCCAAGCCGGACCGAGATCCCAAGCCAATGTTATAGTCTTGAGAGACTGACCGCGGCACAACTTGAGAACGTCTCTCCAAAGCCGAAAGGGCACCCCCAGGTTGCGACACAGGATGTGGGCGACGGAAGACATTCGGATCGGTGATATTACGCCGTTGCTCGAGGTCCGGAGTTGAGATGGCGATGATCCTCTCCGACTTGGATAACTCTGACCGAGGTATAGAGAAAGTGCGTCCTTTCACACGCTTCAAAGAACCACCCCTAGGTCGTCCTAGAATCGGAACACCAGAACCAGTGACGGTGTTTGCAATGACAGTCTGCTTTTGCTCAGCGTCATTAACAGAGTACGAATGCCTATGACTCGGTCTCTCCACCTGCTCGAGAACTGGGTCCGGAGCAGGCCCTGGGGCAGCTGCCTGGAATGGGTTGCGGAATTCGACCGGGGTGCCAGGAAATGGCTGATCTTCTCCGGGCATGGTAGTGGTGGTGGTGGCGACATCAGAGGCGAGAATTAACACGGGAAGAGCACTTTGATCAGACCCAATCTGGCGAACACTTTGAACTTTCGGGGCCGTCGATGTTGAGAACCTGCGTGAGAGTCTCTCGGCCAACTTACCAGCCCTAGGAAGGAAAAATGACGTCCATTCTGTCTTTTTATCAAGCTCATAGTCCTCAATTCCGGGTGATTCAACAGGAAGATTCTTGGGGAAATAATCGTCGAAATCTGTGGCCAAAGGAAGGCGCATCGACTCTGATCTCTGGTGACTCGTCGCTGGCCTGCGCAGCACAGACGGCGAAGGTCCGGAGATGGTCTGTGATCCAAGAGGATGTGTGTTCGTGTGCTGCGATGCGGGGCGCTTGATCAGCTTATTCGGGGGCCGTCGCTGACTCGGTGGACGAGGAAAAATAGGACTCGCGGACCCATTGAAAGAAGGAGTGACTGGACTACTCGCGGTCGGGCTCTCAGTCTGGAACGAGACCATTGACAAGCGCCGCAGCCAGCTTGTGGATGGTCGTCGGGCGTGGTCAGGCTGCGAGTCTGTTGACTCATTTTCCGGAATCTGCAGCGGAGGCGCCGTGAATGTTTGACCCCGACGACGACGTCTTACAGCGCTGAAGGACAAAGATGCCCCCCGAAGACCTGGTTGGTATTGGTTCCCATACGCGCTATCTGCCAGTCTTTGTTCCTTTTCGGCCTGCCACTCGGCTGCCACACTTGTCCGCGGGGGCAAAGCTGTCTTTGGCCGAGCATCAATGGATGTCTTTGCGTTATATTGGGGGAGGAGAGGTTGGTCCTGGGAGAGAGTCTTGCGCCGGAACAGACTCGGCTTCTGGCTTCGTTCTGCGCGCCCGAGCGCTAGACCGGTGGGTGCGATACCGACAGTGCTAAGCGCACATAACTGAAGGTCATTGTCAGCCAACACAACGCGCAAGGACCGAAGTGGCGAGCAACAATGCCCGATTGATCAACTCTGGCTTACCGTTGATACGTGATCCATCCTCAGAGGGCGCGGAAGAGAGTGACAAGCACCCCGACACTCAGCTCCAGGTCGAACAACTTTGCGAATGACATTCCAGTAGAATGCGCATATGAGGGGAAGCTAACGAACGAGAGATAGGGAGGGGTGTGTAAATGCGGTCGGCTGGGAATCCCTTGAGGCCGCGATGAGCGGAAAAACGAAAAACAAAAACGACCATCAACTCAAAAAAACGAAAAGACGTTAAGCTCACCTCCTTCAAAGGAGAGAGAAAGAAGAAAGGAGCGATGCGATGGGGGTAAGAACCATGGGAAGCGGAAAACAACAACAAAACTCGGGGATTATCAGCTCCCGCCCTGGACTCACGCTAGGAGAGATCAATAACTTCCCCCTCCTTGGGCCCTTGAGTAAAATATCCTGGTTTAATTTGAATCTTATACTTGATTCTTTTGAAACATATGTGCACATTGCAGAGCGCAGTTCCCCAGATTCGACTTCAACTCGTCTACGTCTACACGCCTATGGCTACACCTGTAGCACGGCTACATGTACGCCAATGTGCATGGAAATACCCCGGCGAGAGCACAGCAAAACAGCACTAGCCCACCTGGGCCAGCATGCGGGTGTTATTGCAGCAAAGATTAGGATGCTGGCCTGTCATCCCTTGCGGCTCACATTGCATTGGCGTCATAGTCCAGACTTTTACAAGGAAACGGAGAAGTCCGTGAAGGGCCGCGAGTGGCTCAGCCAGCAGGGAAATGGAGAGCCCAAAAAGCCATGCGATCCAGAATTCCCCACACATCTGGTTTCGGCTGGCTAGGATCGCTTCTTCGGCCCCCTAGCCTGACTAGCTTAGATCGCAAGTGCCCCAGGGCCGATCGGTGTCCACTGGTTTCCTGCCATGAACTGTTGTCCGAGGCAGAACCATGGCTCACACGATGTTCAAAGGATGTTCAGGAGCTCTACTTCATGTGGGAGGTCCTCCTCAAATTGCCCGGATGTTCAGGGCCATTGAACAAAGTGTTCTCGATCCACTTTGCAACTTCACTGGCTTCTGGAAGTTACAGTTGATGAGTCCAAAAGAAGCGAGATGAGCAAGCTGCAAGGTCTCTCAGCAAGCTTATATGACTTAAACGTTGTCCATGGTGATGCAGAGTGCTTTTATGTTTACGACCCCCTTCCCCCCGACTGCGATCTTCGATCCAGAATCGACCTGTTCGCTTCGCAAATTGAGCCTGAAATAGTTCGGAGCATCAGCTCCAGGTTTGATTGTTTTGCTACCGTCATGTCACTCCACTTTGCAAATGAAAAAGGAAAACTCGTGGGTCGCCCACCGGCCAGAATCGGTTCTTACTGCCGAATCTGTGCCGCTTCTCGTTGCGGGTACGTCGCACTTAACTGTCATGGCGTGTCAATTGAGAGCTGAAAGTGGGGGAAACCCTCGTGTTTCATCTTTCAATAAGCTGTTTATTTTTTCTGTCTTTTCCGAGCTCAATTCCAGCCGATCAGGCCGACACTCCGTAGCCCTGAGCCACCCTGAGCCAAACCTTGTGGCTCGCTTGAGAGATCGACATATCCTATCATTCGGGAAGGTCAATTTGGCGCTACAGGGATTGGTCCCCTCGGCTTAGCTTCGGCCACGTCGAACCTCTTTCAAGTGGTATCAAATGCCAAATTACCTGTGGACCTATTGATTTGAATGCCCACATCTATTCTTGCTCATGGTTCCACCCCAAGCGGCTCGAAAACAAATCTGCCAATACCCGTTCTGCTGGTCTCGACTGTGTCATGCTACATGCAGGTCAGCACATTCCCTGCACAGTTCAATGATCTTTGAATGCTCTGGGCGAATGGTTGGCTTTTCACATCTTGGCGGGCTATTCCCAAAACAGACACCAAAACAAAGATCGTCCCTTGGGCATTGGGGCTCAACTCTCGGCTTTGGGATGCAGGAAACTCGTGCTTTCATGGCTGCAAGACTTTTGTGATGTATATCATGCATATCTGGCGGTCAAAGCGGTTAAATATCACCCTGACAGGTTCACGTGCTGTTTCACTAGCTTTGCACTCTCGATCTCGGTTCATTTAATTTCGCAAATCGCATGCAATCGCTCCGATATGAAACTATGTGTACTTATGAAACGCCGTGCATGCTGCAAGAGGTGTCTAATTTAGGTAAGAGTTTCACTAGGGTCCAGTCGATGAGTATACTAGAGTGGCAGGCCACATCTTTTTGTTTTGCGACCGCCCGTATCGATATTCTATCTGCGGCCGCAGCTGGATTTTCTTTGGATAAGACTGGAAAGTGGACAATTCTGCATGCTCCAATTCAAAATTTGACTGCCTGTCCACCGCCTTGTTTTGTTGTCTTGGTCTCCGTTGATAGGATGTCACTGTGACTCAGTCATGGAAAGTTGAAAACTCCGAAAAGCTCAACTGTGATTCAGCTCATTTTGATTATAATATTGACAAGTCCTTATCGATCCATTGGCACATGTTGAAGACGCCGACACTCAGAAGCCATTGTCCTCAGAAAGAGCAGTCCTCTGGGCCTGAAATTTGATACATGTTCATCTTGCAAGATAAACCCGGTTCATTATTCACCACCCAGATGGACCCAAACAGGGTATTAAGAATATACATTACACACACCGGAACTGATAAATCCAGATGCATCATATTGCGCCTCTAACGATAATCACTAACCACAACTTAGATCTTGATACATAGGAATATAGAAAAGGTATTCACTCTTCATATAAATCGCTGATTAAGTTCTAACCTTGTGTAGGAAGTTGACTAATTGGCCAAACACTGTTCTAGGTGCCTTTATCCAACTTGGGACATGCCAATTTTGTATCAGTACATCTGTCATGCTCTCAGAAGTGCCTTTGAGACCGTAGTAGCTCGTTTGACTAGCTAAATGTATTATCCTACTATCTGCATACTTTCTTGCTTCCCATATGACCTTCTCATGTCACAAATTACCAATAATGCTCATGAGCGTATGAGGCATTAAATCTCATGTAATGCAGACAAATCACCCTCCAGAATGTGAACAAAAAACAAAAAAAAACAAACAAGGTCTTTAACTTTACATTGAAACCACAGCCCTATATTGATATAATTGGATCCTAAGTGTGTACACGGTGCTATGAAGTGATATCCAATTTCTAACCGAAAACCATGGGAAGAGTACTATTTCATATATTATTTGAGTTTAAGTTTACTCTCTTTCTTTTCGCCTCTTTTCATTATGTTTCCAAGGGCCACAATGATTGTCTAGATCATATCTCTCTAGAGGTACGGGTGTGAAAAGAGTTGTAGATCTGACATCACATGACCTTATCGATAACACACATCCAAAAAGCCCACTCCATCATGGGCACCTCAGTGCAAGAAATCCACGCTCGACTTCTACTAGAGGTTCCAGGTTATCGCCGGAGGAAACCACGTTCGCCTGAACCTGAAACTATGGAGACTCAAATCCAGGCACAAATCCCTGGTATCGACCATGTCGTCTCCGAATACGCTGTGGTATGTATTTGCATGCGCGAGGGGCAATGTGAATGAAGCTGACCGTTTAATAGGGCTATTTGACCCATGCCGCAAACCTTTATGTCGAAGATACCAGCGGCCAATCCCCCCTGTCAGAAGCTGCCGAAGCCGTTACCGAGCTTCTGGTCTCCGCTTCTGGAGATTTCTCCCCGCAAAACTACGACACGATCGGCAACTTGGTCGCAAAGTTCATTACAGGCCTCAGTGCCGCTGATGGCGTCGATGCCGAGAAGAGACAAATGCCATTCAGGGCTAAGAAGCTGGACCAGGCCATAAATGTCGGCGCACAGCGGAATATGTCCTCGACCCTGGGCTTGACTGGAAACACTGTCGACCTGGAATCCGCCAATGCTCGAAAGGTCGAGTCCAAGGTGGACAAGAAGAAGCTCGAGAAGGCCGAGCGCAAGATTCGTGCCAAGCAGGACAAGAAGCAGATGAAGAACGTTACCTACGAGTCCTCGCGCTTGCTCAACCAGCCGGATGAGACTATGTCATACGAAGAGTTCTTCATGGCTGTCAATCCTCTTCAACTGGGCTCTGACTCCCAGGCCAAGAGTAAGGACATTAAGTTGGACAACATCGATATCTCCATCAGTGGCCTGCGTATCCTGACGGATGCTGCCTTCACACTCGCCTACGGTCGTCGTTATGGTCTTGTTGGCCAGAACGGTATCGGTAAATCTACACTTCTGCGTGCTTTGAGTCGCAGAGAAATCGCCATTCCCACACACGTTTCAATTCTTCACGTCGAGCAAGAGGTATATCTGATCCAACCTACTTTCGTTTGCTGTTACTGACTGTTCATATAGATTACTGGTGATGATACACCAGCTTTGCAGGCAGTCCTGGATGCTGATGTGTGGCGGAAGCACCTTCTCGGAGAGCAGGCTGTTAGTCAATCCCCAATGCATAATTATCATACCTTTACTAACCAACATCACAGAAAATCTCCAAACAATTGGCCGATCTTGAAGAAGAGAGATCCTCGATGGCAGATACCTCCCAGGATGCTGCTCGACTTGACGAGCAACGTGAAGGCCTGGATATTACTTTGAGTGATATTTATAGCAAACTTTCTGAAATGGAATCTGACAAGGCCGAGTCTCGTGCGGCTAGTATCTTGGCTGGTCTTGGTTTCTCCCAAGAACGCCAGCAGTACCCCACCAAGACCTTCTCCGGAGGTTGGAGAATGCGTCTGTCCCTGGCCCGAGCATTGTTCTGCGAGCCCGATTTGCTCTTGCTGGACGGTATGTTTTACTGCCTTTATCTAACTACTAGCCTGCTGACTGTTTATAGAACCGTCAAACATGTTGGACGTTCCGTCTATTACTTTCCTTTCGAATTACCTCCAGGGATACCCCAGCACAGTTCTTGTGGTTTCTCACGACCGTGCATTCTTGAACGAAGTCGCTACGGATATTATTCACCAACACTCCGAGAGATTGGACTACTACAGGGGTGCTAACTTTGGTGAGTTAGACAACATCGAGGTACATGAAACCTTTTAACATTTATAGAAACCTTCTACGCAACCAAAGAGGAGCGTCGCAAGACTGCTAAGCGCGAATACGAGAAGCAAATGGCCGAGAGAGCACACTTGCAAGGTTTGTTACATCTCCTGCTGTCAATCGAGCTGTAATAACAATTTCCCAGCGTTCATTGACAAGTTCCGTTACAATGCCGCGAAATCTTCCGAAGCCCAGTCAAGAATCAAGAAGCTTGAGCGTATGCCAGTTCTTGAAGCTCCTGAGAGCGAATACACCGTCCACTTCGCATTCCCCGAGGTCGAGAAGCTCTCACCCCCTATCGTCCAGATGTCTGAAGTTTGCTTCGGTTACACCAAGGACAAGCCTCTACTCAAGAATGTCGATTTGGATGTCCAGCTTGACTCGCGCATTGGAATTGTCGGACCCAACGGTGCTGGTAAGACTACGGTACTGAAGCTACTCACCAACCAGCTTGAAGCAACAGCCGGTCTCATCTCTACCAACTCGAGACTGCGCATTGGATTCTTTGCTCAGCACCACGTCGATGCTCTGGACATGACAACCAGCGCAGTCGGCTTCATGACTAAGACTTATCCCGGAAAGACTGACGAAGAGTACCGGAGACACCTAGGCGCGTAAGTCAACCCCTGACCCTTTGCAGATACCTCAGACACTAATCTGTTCTCATAGCTTCGGTATCACTGGTACAACTGGTCTCCAGCGCATGGGACTCCTGTCAGGAGGTCAGAAATCTCGTGTGGCCTTTGCATGCTTGTCATTGACCAACCCTCATATCCTTGTTCTTGACGAACCTTCTAACCACTTGGATATTGAGGGTATGGACGCTCTGTCAGATGCGCTCCGCAAGTTCGAGGGAGGTGTTGTGATGGTTTCCCACGATGTGACTATGTTGCAGAACGTTTGCACCAGCCTCTGGGTTTGCGATGGCGGTACTGTGCACAAGTTTGACGGCACCGTCAATGCTTACAAGAAGCGGATCACCGAGCAGGCAGATGCTGCTGGTGTTGTGGCCAAGCACTAAGTCAGAAAAAGATACATGCACAGTGTAGTATCAACCAAAAATGATTTCCCTCTTCAGTGAGCTGTGTCAATACATGTACAGACATGAAATATTTTCTCAAAGACTCTAATACTTCAGAGCTAATGTATACACATTTATTGTCGGACCCTTCTTGTCCCGAAATTAGTTCTATAGATGTTGGCATTCCGGAACCTAATTTCCGCCTTCTTATCGGCTTATCGTAACCCCAAAGGTCACTTGGACACAGGACATTCCTCCGATAGAATCCAGGAACTGATTCCAGTTCTCTGAGAATAGAACTTTGAAATATGACAGGTGCAGATGAACAAGACACGTCGGGTCCCAACGCGCCCTTGCTCGCCTCCGCCCGCGATCCCGACCATGACTATGAAGACAATGGCAACGATGGCTTGGCCTCCGAGCTGGAATTCTCAGGGGGCTGGTTCATATGGGCGTTGACTTTCTCAGCAGGAATCAGTGGGCTCCTTTTTGGATATGAGTATGCTTCCTACCCGGCGGATACCGTGTTGCGACTCCATTTTTTATCCAGATAGCGGCTAATTTTGTTTGAACTTCCAGCACAGGAGTCATTTCCTCTACCTTGGTGACAGTCGGCACGGATCTCTCGAATCGATCATTGACAACCCTCGACAAAAGCCTCATCACATCATGTACGAGTCTGTTCGCATTAATAGCTAGTCCATTCACAGGAGTGTTGGCCGACAAGCTGGGCCGTCGGAAGGTTATACTTGGCGCGGATGCATTATTTGCTCTAGGGGCTCTGGTACAAGCTTTTTCAAGCCAAGTTTGGGGCATGATTCTTGGACGAAGTATTGTCGGCCTTGCGGTTGGGAGCGCAAGCGCGGTTACTCCATTGTAAGTTGACTGCACGTCATGGATTGGGATGAAAGCCATCACGCGACGGACGATAGAGTAAGATTGCTAATGGGGTATCTGCAGGTACATTTCTGAATTGGCACCATCACACGCAAGAGGAAGGCTTGTTACTATTCTCAGTCTGTTTATCACTGGCGGCCAGGTGGTAGCATACATAGTTGGCTGGCTTTTCTCCAGTTCATTCGGAGGCTGGCGCTGGATTGTGGGCCTTGGGGCATTCCCGGCCTTCTTCCAGCTTGCAATTCTCGCTTTTCTACCCGAGACACCTCGGTGGTTGGTCCAGGCTGGATTTGATGTCCAAGCGAAGGCCGTTCTGACCAAGATTTACCAAGATTGCCCTGGGTGTGACAGGGTAACCGATAGAGTCTTGCACGATATCAATAGGGAGATTGACGAAGAAGCGTTAGAGTTAGGGCAAGGTAAAGCTCGAGGTACAAAACCTCAGTGGTTACACGATACCCTTGAACGAGGGCAGCAGTTGTTGCATGGCGGGAACAGGAGAGCATTGATCATTGCAATGATGCTTCAAGGGGTACAGCAATTGTGTGGTTTTAACAGTCTAATGTACTTCTCGGCAACCATCTTCTCAGCTCTGTCGTTCTCCTCCCCGACGTTGGTGTCTCTTTCAGTGGCTTTCACCAACTTCATATTCACGCTTCTTGCATTTGCGTTCATTGACAGAATTGGACGCCGACGCATTCTGCTCTACTCCATGCCAGTCATGACTATTGCCCTAATTGTCTGCGCGCTGTCATTTTCTTCCTTCAAGGATGTATGGAACGACCAACCGCCAACGCGACGTGAAGAAGCCCCCGATAGTTCTGGTTCATTGATGCCACTTGCCATCTTGTTTTGCCTCACCGTATACACTGCGGCTTATGCCTTCGGCCTCGGAAATGTTCCATGGCAACAGTCGGAACTTTTCCCTCTGAGTGTACGTTCACTTGGCTCATCTTTGGCCACTGCAACTAACTGGGGTTCGAACTTCGTCATTGGTCTTACTTTCTTACCCATGATGGAATGGATCTCACCCTCATGGACTTTCCTTCTCTATGCTCTGGTCTGTGTAGCTGGGTGGGTTGCAGTATGGGCAATTTACCCTGAGATGAGTGGACTTGGTCTTGAAGAAGTGAAGGGTCTTCTGGCAGAGGGATGGGGGGTGAAAGAAAGCTTGCAAAGAAAGCGTGTCGCGCCTCGTGTATAGCCTCTTTAACAACAACAGAGCCATACATTAATATTTTCACATCCTCTAAATGGTGTTCTAGACGAGCAACCCGAGACACTCGAAACAAAAGGCCAAAAGAAGTTAAAACAAGCGAGGCTCATGTATGGGAAATGCCTAGAACTTCATGGATGCGTGTACTCCGAATGACCTCGTGTATAATTCATCTTCGATCTCGGCTGTACTGATATCGGGATATAAGAACTCAATTTCATGGAGTACAATCTCAATTGATCTTTGCATCAATCTCACTTGAGCTTCGATTATATCCTTGAGCTTTGATCAAACAGTTGAGAATCGTTTTCTCTTGCTCGTCTCGATTTTCATGCGCTGAAACGAAGCAAGTCTAACCGGCACTTTCCTCTTCACTTCATAAAAGATCAGTTCTCTGCTTCTTTTCTTCTCTTCTGCTCATCATCCACATTTACCCGCATTTATTCAGTTGTTCTCTTTCTTTGTATGTTACATGACCCTCATACCAGCCCATACATCGCCCGATGATCTATACTAACATGAGCGTCGAACAGAACCATGTCCTCCAACATGGAAGCAAGTGAGATGTCCCTGCCATTCACTCGAAAGCTAGTTGCCACACACCTCCCGCTTGGACAAGCAAAGAACATTCTCGACCTTCCCAACGAGGTAAGCTCACCATGCCATACATCATGGATCATACCTTGCTCATATATCAAACACACAGATCCTCCAACAAGTTGCCAGCCTCCTCTCAACTGATCAGGATGTCCTTCATCTCTCTCAGACATGCAAGGCAATATGGGCTCAAATTTATGCCCCAGAGTCAGCCCTCTGGCGAACTCTTTTTGCCAACCGCTACGACGTTCTATCTCTCCGACCCTCGAACGAGTTCAGAAACGAGTATCTCATTCGAGCCATTATCCTTGGTGCAAAATTTCACTTCGCAGAAAAGGAAGATGACCGGCAGAACATGTGCATGGAAGTGATGAAGACGATGCTCGAAGAAGTCATTACAGTTCATCTCAAAGCAGGTTGTCCCTCCAAGACATTAGACCGACTTCGAGTATCTCTCAGTACTATGGACTTTCTCAAATGCCCCCAGAAAAATGAACCATCCGAGCGGTTCTTCGCTCTCCAGCTGGTACATTTTCTCGTTATATTGACATGAAATTTACTAACAGTTTTGTCTGATATAGGCTATGACTCCCCTTGCACTCGACTCGACAATTACCCGAGCATGTCACAGGGATGATTATAATCTGGCTACGATCTACTCATTCGGCGAACAATTGGGCATGCCATTCATTGGCCATAACGACCTCAATCTCGAGAGAGTGCTGCAAATGCGGAGCTTCTGGCAACGTCACTTGTTGACCGAGTCAGAGCTTACCTACCATGAGACCTTCGCATCTCTTCCTGCGCACCTAAAGCCCGGGGTCCGAAAGGTCCACGCAAAGGATTTGAGCGAGCTGAGTACCTCATGGCTGGGTCTGTACTGTGAGATATCAATCACTTCAAACGCTTGATTCATGAAACATACTGACGCCTGTATCTCTACGATTAGCTTGCCTGCACCCCCTGCCTGATTCGTTGGAGGAACTCACCGACCTCAACCGCCAGACATGCGCTGATTTGGAGGACCATGCCGATGCAATCGAAGTCATGGTGAGCTACACCTGAGATAATGATCAAGTGAGAAACAAGTGACACCTAGCTAATGATACATAGACACTCAAAGTCAAATCACAGCCAGACGTGGAGGTTTTCTGGCCGGAGGTGTGCACCATGATTGCGCCCCCAGTTGGGCCCGCGACTGGCCGCACGTATTTCCAGGGCAAACAGATGATACATGAAAACCCTGGCGAGGAGGACAATACTGTTTTCGGATTTACCGAAGACATAGAGGTAACCTTTGGCGGTATCGGTGGATGGAAGCGCATTTGCTTCACCATCTGCCAGGGCGACACCAGCACGGACTTCGGCAGTAAAATGGCCGGGGATGACTGGGTGCACTGCTATGAGGCCTTGATAATTCCAGGAGGACGGGCAATGCTGGGACGCTGGGTGGACGCAAAGAACGAGACAGGTCGGGGGCCTTTCATTTTCTGGGATTTGTGATTTGTGCCTTGGGCGTTGAGATATTGCTGCTGTACCGTGGTGTCCCCTGCATATAGGCGGGGGCACCTGACAAGAGAAAATGGCTATTCAGGGGCAATTGAAGAGATCGTCGATTGTTTCCTTTGAGGTTTGAGTCTAGATCATTGGATCTGTAGAACCGTTGCAACGAAAAGTAGCATATCTTTTAGTTCGAAGGTATGAAGAAATTATGCTTTGAGGAAGGGAATAGATAACATAGAAAACAAACAGCCACTACTCTTCAATATCCTTGACCTTCTCCCACTGGCCCTTGAGATTCTCCTTCCACAAACTGACCTTGTTGTCGCCTCCACTTACGGCAAGGATGTTACCGCTGAGACTCCAGCTCACGCGCCACAGAACAGTATCAAACTCGAGTGTTTGGCTGGTCCACTGGCCTGGGTTGGAAATGTCGGAGGTCCAGATACGAACGGTCTTGTCTTGCGAAGCTGAGGCAATGTAGGACTTGGAGAGGATGCTGGGAGACCAGGCCACATCCCGGACCCAGTCCGAGTGACCCTCGAGGTTTTGAGTAGGGTTGTAAGACTTGGATTCGGCGCTGTAGGGTGGTCAGTTAATGCAATTAACCACTTGGAGTCAAAGAACATACTTGTAATCCCAGATCTTGACCAGGTTGTCACTGCCACCAGTGACGAAGCGGCGCTGTTGACCGGGTCCGGGGTTGGAGCTGATCAGGCTGCCAGCAAAGGCGGCGGGAGCCCAGCTAATGGAGTTGACACCCATGCCGTGGGCGTGGAAAGTTTGGTGGGTCCAGTTGTTGTCACGGAACTCGAGCACGCTGACATGGCCATCGGAGGAAGCGCAAGCAAGAAGACATCCGCTCTCATGGGGGGCCCAGGAGACCATGTTCACGGAAGCAGTGTGAAGGGAGAAGTCGAATACCTTGGTCCATGAGCTGCCGCCAGCGGGGGAGGTAGCATTCTGGGGTTGTTCGCGCCAGATCAAGACCTTGCCGTCGTAGGAGGATGAGGCCAGAATTGTGCCAAATTTGGGGTGAGCCTAGAGCAGGAGGAGGACCTGTTAGTTTGGTTGCGCGATGCAATGGCTGCTGTTTTGGGCCGCCACTTACCCATGCGACACACCACACCGCGCCCTCGTGACTATCAGACACCCAAGTCAGCTACCAATTCTTTGACTTCAACGATTTGCCAGTCCAGCTCACCCCTTCAACGTCTCGAGGAGACGGTGTGACTCTCCCTCAACTTCAAAGATCTTTATTGTCTTGTCGGAGGAACATGTTGCCAATCTGCGGCCGTAATAATCCAAGGTGGCATCATGCTACATTCCGAGAAGCTCAGTTAGCTATAGCTCCGCAGCGGACATAAAGAGCTATCAATTGGAACGAGTCTCCAAGCACATACAATCATCTCCTCATGCCCTGAGTTCGAGATCACTTGAGCGGAAGCCTAGAGTTTTGTAGGTGTTAGCAAGGGGATTGAAGCAAAGTCGCAGTTGTACCAAGAAAAAACACTAACCATTTCGTGGTATCGGAAGCAACAAAAATGAAAGTAGAGGAGAGAAAGCGGGACTAGAAACTCCCTGTTTGTATGGGCCAAACAACCTGGCCTGAGTCCGCTTATCCTTATCGTGCTGACTCAGGGCACGTGATGAGTCTGGGGCCTCGGTCGAGCATCGGCAATCCCACGCCCTGGTTGTCTTCTGATCTTCTGATCTTCTCATCTATCTCACCATATTTGTCCCTTTGCTCTCTGCTTACTGGAGGACCTTTATTTACTCATACATCTATCGAACTACCTTCTCGCTGATCACCACCGTCATCATGGCTGATGCGCTGTGCGGGCCGTCGAACGCGCTTCAGAACTTCCAGAAGCATACATCAGTTGATCGGACCCTTCAGCAAGATCGGTTGGCTTCCAGGCAATCGCCTGCCCAGGTTTGTGACCATCCTGGCATGTCCTCGTTTAATCTGTACTAACCCATGTTCTCCAGGGTTTCCGATCCCAGAACTCCCGAGAGGGAATACTTGACCCGGAGTTCGCCGCATTCGAAGCTAATACTGCCGGTCCTGCACTGCCAGATCTACAACACCCGGCTCATTTTGGAGGACAAGTACATCGCCCTGCAGTACAGCACCCCGCACATCATCCAGGAAACGCCAGTTGGGCGTCGGATTTCCAGAACTTGCAAATCTCAGGGCCCTCGCACCCTGTATCGCAACTAAACAGACCCAATGTCGCACCAGCAACAGCACAGGGAGGGTGGCAAAATGAGTTTATGAACCAACAGCAACGAGGACCTATGTCCCAGGCCCAGCACACCCCGCAAATGCACGGTGGCTTTCAGCCATCCTTTGCGCCCAGCTACCCGATATATGGCTCTGTGAATCAGATGCAACCTCCGCAAGCTATGCAGCCTGAACAACAGAAGCCCATGGATCATTTTGATGAATCTGCTTTTGAGGCTGCATTTGATCAGGCAAGGGCCGACATGGAGTTGCAGGGGGCCGACTTCGCCCAGCAAGATGTTCAGCAGCAATTGGATACCGATCAAGTTGATACCGTCGAGCTAGTTACCCAAGAGCAAATCCGACTTGGATCGGATCTCATTCCCCAGAGCGACAACGAGGACCCTCAAACACGGGTCCGAGATGCAGATGAGCTTGCCCGGACTGCAGGCCAACTGCTTGACAGCGTTCGTAATGACCAAAGCCAAAAGTTCCAGCAAAGCAACTTCCTAGCTTTGATGCGTCGAATCAGAGATCGCGAAGTGGAGGTTGAAGGGGATGAGTTCCGTGAAGTCAGTACCAACCCGTAACGGTTTGGATGTCGGACGACAGAAACACCGGTATAATTTGGTCAATCTACGAGGGCGTTTGTCCTTGCTAATGTTGGTGCAGACGGCGCAGTCTCTTCACCCGGGTGGGCCATACTACCCGGGCCAACCCTACCCTGATCCCGCCGTTTCCCCAAGCAGTAAGGAGCCTCCCCTATCAGCTGGGACCGACGTCAGACGTCCATGAGAAACAACGAACCTGACCAGGCATTGCACCTTGCCCAGACGGCATAGACATCAGAGACCCCCCGGCAGCCGAAGAAGGAACCGACGAAGTACATGTAGGGTCCGGATCTTTTGGTGACACAAACGCCCTGTATGAAGGCTTCATCCACAGTCAGGGACTAGTGGATAGGCGCATGATGCCATGCCTTTTGAGGAAGGATCTGGAATCACACTTTTTGCACTAGATGTACAGGGTACTTACTTGAGTACGGAGGCGCACAGCACATAGCCCAGGTACTGGTACATATTTTATAGATACCCATGAACAATAGCAAGCACGTGATCTCTATTGAGCGACAAGTATCCATTGAGGTTTCCCGATCGGGCAAGTCAATGGCCAACTCTGGCTTTTGATTGGCTGCCTATTGTGATGCCTTCCTATTGTGCCCTGTCAATTGCTGATAACAATAGAAACCTGTAAACTTGACTTAAATATCTAACTTCGCGCTTGACTTCTTCTAACGTTCACACATTCCTACAACTTTTTAATTTTCTCTTCATAATGCTTCCTCCATCAGATTCATTCCGCCATCAGCTCCAAAAGCTCGCAGAGGTTCGAGCCAATCGCAACAACCCGCCGACTGCACCTCCTCCATATACACTCTCTGTCTGCCGACCCGATGGTAGAAATATCATGGCTATCAACCCAGGCCAGGAAGAGGAGTCTGGCCCTATCGTAATCCGAATTGACAAGTCCATTTCCGTGACTGGCCAGGACAATACAGTTATTATCCCATCTGGAGCTATCAATTCTCCAGCTCAGACCGAGGCAACCACATCGCCGGCCAATAGGCCTCTTCCTCCGCGACACTCAAACATTTCATCGACTGTGACCACAATAATTGACGCTTTGAACCGTGTTAACGCGCTCTGCGATGTGTCTGGTAATCTGAGAACCTTTGAAGTCAACCTCAATGCTGGCATAAAAGTTGATGGTCGAAACAATACCATCTGCATGGGGAACGTGGCTAAGGTTCCTCAGCCTAAAAGGCAGGCACCTGCGGAAAGAGAGAATCCTGGTCGCAAGCGCCGTGCAACTTCGGTACACATCTGACCTTCCACAGGGAAATTAAACATCTACTGAATTTATATAGGAGCCTGTGGGATGTCCTTACTCTACTCGCCTTCGCTCCTCATCCTAAGAGATGAAATCGAGGTTTGATTCCTGTGGAGTTTCACAATTTTTTTTTTTTTTTTTTTTGGGGGCTCTCATTCTTTGGCTTTGGCAAGTTTTCTTTGGGTGTCTCCCATGTGTGCTAGCGAGTGTTGATTGATTCCATGTCACATTGATCTAGTTTCTAGCCTCTTGTATACCTAGGTGCTTGACTTGTGTTGGTTTCTTTGCTGTTGGTGGCTTGTGTATGCTTCTATCATTATGAACTTACGGAAAAGAAGGGATTTTGGCTCTTAGTATATTTTTTAGAAATATCAAAGGTATCCTGTCTCTCTACTAAGGCAAGACTCCCATTACGTAAATTGTCCTCAACTAGAAGGATTGGTCTTTACTTAGTTTCGAATGGATTCATACTAGAAAGCCTCGCAGATTTTTCAGGTCATTTAATAAGCTTGTTTTGTTCACCATATATGAAATACCTAAGCACTGATCAGATAAGTTATACCTTGAAATATATACATTTTAACTGCCCCGAATAGCGGTGAGGGGGCCATGAAGGCCCGATGATCATTGCAGCTTTTTAATGCGGGGTTTCCCAATGACAGAGAACAGAGAATCACATTGAAAGGCGTGGATACAGCATGTCAGACGATGGATGTGCTCTGGTGGATCTCATTGACACGCTTCCAGCACAAATGGCTAGACTTACTCCCCAGGTGTGGAACTCTGTTGACCCACTGTCTATGGGGTATTGATCTGGTGGCAATTGTTGGAATTGGAAATATAGCTGAATTGATCATCCTCTATTTCATGGTGTTCTTTGTTCATAAAAGAGAATTATGTTGCAAGTGGAGAGCTTAGATACTAAGCCTGGCTTTAAGATTCCTTTGCCAAAGTATGAACATCCACCAGAGACAAAATGTTCACGTGAGTAACAATACCCTCATTCAGAAATCCCCGAGTCTAATCACGTTGCTAGTGAGTTATGCGAGTGTTGTTACCATTGATCTTTCTGAATATGATCGTCCGGGAGGCAGGGACCGACTAGCACAGCAATTCAAAGAATGCGTGCATGATTTTGGTAATTCTCTCGCATTCATCCACTACATGACAGATACTGATGCAAAATAGGATTCTTCAATATTACCAACATTGGCCTTTCTCAGGATGAGATAGATCTGCAATTTGCCATTGCAAAAGCATTCTTTGAACTGCCTGTAGAAGAGCGACTGAGCCATGTTGCCCCTTTGCATGAAGGGAATTATAATGGATACCGGCCATTAGGTACCCTGAGTCTCTTCCCTGGACTGCAAGACTCATTGGAGTTTTACAGTATCTTCAAGTTCATTCCCCAAAGTCAACGCTCGCAACCAGACCTTATCAAGCAATATTCAGCCGAGATCGAGCGATTCTCTCGCCATATGCATGAGAATGTTTCATTTAAACTTCTACGAATACTGGCAACCATGCTGGAGCTCCCAGAAGATCAATTTGTGAACGGTAACCGCTACGAAGACGAATGTGATAGCTCCGTTCGGTACATGTTATACCACTCCCGGTCGCAGGAAGAAAACAAGATGTTTGACGACTATTACCTCCGCGGTCATACAGACAAAGGAACATTGACATTCCTTTTCCAACAACCAATAGCAGCATTGCAAGTGCAGCGAGTGCAAGCAGACTGGGAACATTTGAGGATCCCCGCCGGCACTGTCGCAGTGAATATTGCCGATGCATTGCAGTTTCTCACCAATGGGTATCTGAGAAGTGGCTTACATCGGGTGATGGCGCCACCAAAAGACCAGGTGCATATGGATCGGTTGGGGCTTGTGTATTTTGTGCGTCCGACGGATAAGTTGCCTTGGAAGTCGCTGGATAGTCCATTTCTGAGGAGGGCAGGTCATGCGAAGACCACTGAGCATGATAGGGATATGTCTGGACTAGAGTGGTGGAGGGCAGGTGTGAAGGCTCGCAAAGGAGCAAATTATATGAAAGATACAGCTCGAAGTACTTAGTTAATGGCAGCTTGACTGAGCGGAGAGCTATATGCCGGGATGTTGAAGCTTCGAGTCCGCACAGTCCTGCATGTCGGCCTGGCTGCAGTCAAAAATACCACAAAAACTACGAATGAAAGAAGCACTGAAACATCAAACGTTTCAATTAGCAATCACCAAATGGTCAAACCATACAAAGAATTTCCACTCAATTGCCAAGGTGAAGCCATAGATATCCGCCCGAGATTAGCTAATCACCCCACTACACACAGTCGTCGCTCTACAACTTTTGACCACTTCGCCGTTTAGTCTTGGTTTCATATTCAAAATGGCGCCTTTGATTACCCTCGCAACATGCGCGCTGAACCAGTGGAGCTTGGACTTCGCTGGTAACCTGAAGAGGATCAAACAGAGTATCATCAAGGCCAAGGAAGCCGGCGCAACCCTGCGTGTCGGACCAGAGCTCGAGATTCCGGGCTACGGTACGCGTTGAATTGAACACGACAACCCGGTTCCTTTTAACTAATTAAATGATACAGGCTGCCTGGATCACTTCTTGGAGAACGAAGTTTATGAGAACTCATGGGACTCCCTCTATTCGATCCTGACAGACCCTGAGTTGCATGGTATCATGATCGATGTCGGACTTCCTCTTCTTCACCGGAACTGTAGGTACAATGCTCGAGCTATCGTCCTGGACGGCAAGATTCTGTGCCTGCGGCCCAAGCTCTATCTCGCGAATGACGGCAACTTCCGCGAGATGCGCTTCTTCACGCCGTGGAACAGACCCAGACATGTTGAGCAGTACTACCTGCCTCCATTTATCCAGAAGCACCAAGGCAGTCGTCATGTTCCTATTGGTGATGTTGTTCTTTCCACCATCGATACATGCCTTGCCGCGGAGACCTGTGAGGAGCTGTTTACACCCAACAGCCCTCATATCAACATGTTTGTAACCCTTTTCGTGAGACAATATCTGAGATGCTAATGTGATGTAATCAAGGGGACTCAACGGTGTAGAGATTTTTACCAACAGCAGTGGAAGTCATCATTCTCTCCGAAAGCTTAATGAGCGTATTGCACTGATCTCAGAGGCTACCCGCAAGAATGGAGGTATCTACCTCTACTCAAACCAACTTGGATGTGATGGCGATCGACTGTGAGTAAATCCAGACCTATCAAGGATTCCTGAGTAGGAGATCTTGAGGGGACATCCTGAGCATGGCGACAAGCAAGAAATGTACTAACTAAGAACAGATACTATGATGGTTGTGCCATGATCTTTGTCAACGGCGACATCGTTGGTCAGTCGAGTCAGTTCTCTCTCAATGAGGTTGAAGTCGTGGTTGCGACTGTGGATCTTGAACAAGTGAGAGCCTTCAGATTCGCCCCCTCACGTGGAATGCAGGCAGTTGCAGCCCCAGAATATCAACGGATTGAGGTTGATTACTCTCTATCCAGCGACGATGAAGCAGTCTTGCAGAAGAGAACCCCCGCAAGACTGCCGCGCTATCATCTCCCCGAGGAAGAAATTGCCCTCGGGCCTGCATGCTGGCTTTGGGATTACCTCCGACGCTCGAAGGCCGCTGGTTTCTTCGTTCCTCTGTCTGGTGGAATTGATAGCTGTGCGACTGCTACCATCGTGTACTCCATGTGCCGTCTTGTCATACAAGCGATTCAGGAAGGAAATGGACAGGTCATTGCAGATGCGAAGCGCATTGCTGCTTTCACCTCTGAACTTCCCAAAACGGCCGAAGAGCTGTGCAATCAGATCTTCTTCACTTGCTACATGGGAATGGAGAAGCAGAGCAGCAAGGAAACAAGAGACCGTGCCAGGGTTCTATCTGAAAAGATCGGATCTTACCATACTGATGTGAACATTGACGATATGTTCAACTCCACCAGGAATATGCTGACTCAAGCTACCGGTTTTGAGCCCAAATTCAAAGGTTCGTATCAGCTTGTGCTATTTTATCTAATTGAGAAGTTTTACTAATTTGCTTCACCAGTTCACGGCGGAACTGCCACGCAAAACCTGGCTCTCCAAAACATCCAGGCCAGATCCAGAATGGTGCTTGCCTACTACTTTGCCCAGGAGCTGTGTGAGGTCAGGAACCGATCCGGAGGCGGTGGTTTACTGGTCCTTGGAAGCTCTAACGTGGATGAATGCCTACGCGGATGTAAGTGTGCTCTTTTGAAGAGGTCGCCTCATTGTCATTACGGACGCTAACCTCCAGAGCAGACCTAACCAAATACGATTGTTCCTCTGCGGATCTCAACCCCATTGGATCTATCAGTAAGGTTGATCTGAAGCGGTTCATTGCCTGGGCTTCGAAGGACTTCGATCTCCCCATTCTCCAAGACTTCATTCATGCCACACCCACGGCAGAACTTGAGCCCATCACTTCGGATTATGTATGTGAATCATCTCTCTGCTTAGACCATGATACTGACATTCGAAAGACCCAAAGCGATGAAGTCGACATGAAGATGACCTACGCAGAGCTTTCCCGCTTCGGTACATTGCGGAAGGTAAACCACCTCGGACCTTACGGAATGTTCCTCCGTCTCCTCGAAGAGTGGGGTGGTGAGAGCAAGCTCGGCCCACGCGAGATTGGCGAAAAGGTGAGCCATAACTTTTCATTTCCGCTCCCCTTTTCTTAATCGATTGATACTAACTGACTGGTAGGTCAAACTGTTCTTCCACTTCTATCAGATCAACCGCCATAAGCAAACAGTTGCTACGCCGTCCTATCACGCAGAGAGCTATTCGCCCGACGATCACCGATTTGACCTTCGGCCATTCCTGTACCCACCCGGATTCGAGAGCTGGTCTTTCAAAAAGATCGATGAGCGGGTCGAGGCCCTGGAGAAGAGGAGTAGAAAAGTAGCCTCAAACTAGATCAGGAAACATGTACAATGAGGGTATTACCCGCCATGGCTTAGATGGACTTGGCCATTGCCTTGCTAGACCTCGAATGAATAGACGCAGTCACTGTGGAATTCAACAAGTGAAGCAAGATTGACCACCCCACTCAAGGACTGCAGAGGCAAGAGGTACAGTATTTCTAACAGCTATTTTAAGCCCGCACCTGCAGACCTTCATCTGATATGAGCGATATCAGAAACATAAGCCCTCAAGGACACTGTGTCTGCGTGAATCGGGGATTGGTAAATACTGCGCTGGTTTGCTATATTTGCTAAACATGTTTTGATGCCTTGTAGGCAGCGAATATTGGCACCCACGCGTGCCGCGATATAATCCCCTGTGAGTGGGAGAATATCTATCTGATCTGTCAGAAGAAAAAAAAAAGTCATCAGCGCCCATTTCATTCAGTGGCGCCCTTTGCACTTTGCATGCTGACGGGCGATGCTCTTGGCAACATTTGGATACCTCCAAGTCACCCTAACCAGCAGACTGCGCCTCACAGTGTTGGATATGTGTGCGTGATACCAAGACTTGACAACTCTGTTGAGATTCATGGCGCATCTAGGCTGCTGGAACTTGCTGTCTTCCATAACTTGCTCAGCCAATGAGGGCATTCAAATCTCTTTCTTTTACTACCTGATAAATCTGGCTATTTATGCTATGCTCATGATTCGTAATCCGCTTACTCGGAGTTACTATGATTCCGATTCTCAAGCAGTATTCATAAATTCAGCACTGACATCTAGTGATCAGCATTAGACCTCCCAAGTAGAGTATAGTCCAGGAGAAGAGTTCTCATTTATACAGGGTCTTTCAGTCATTGAGAGAAAGAGCAGGCTTAAACAACGTCGTCAGCCTTGACATGAATGCTTCCCAATTCAGTAGACATCCAATTTTAGTAAACTCGAAATGTAAACACCTGGAAAGGGTATGTCGGTTGGGTATGCACAAGAACTACTGACCCTGACAAAAAAGAAACTGAGTATGCAGCAGCCTTGAAAGGCTTCCACGGAGATCGGATTCCAAGGTAAGAGACTTAACGACATGAAGCAGTGAGTTCGAGCATGTGCAACCGGAAAAACAGAAATAATGATGCTTTCATTGCTGTTATGGGTGTGACAGGGTTTGGGAGGAGTTTACCCATCTTCCTACAGTGTGTTCTGGCAAAATTGTCAAAGTTTCATCGTCAGTGTTTATAAGTACGAAGCAATGACTGATCAGACAGGCTACCTGATTGACACCCCAGGATTCGACGACGGAAACAAAGTGGCACCGAAGTCCTAGGCGAGATTGTAGCATGGCTGGGTAATTTTTACAAGCATAAGACTTTGTTGAATGGAATCATATACATCTATTATACTCCCGACATCAGTATGCAAGGGTCAGCAAAGTACTTCAGATGTTCAAGCAGCTATGTGGCCGGATACACTTAAAAGAGTGATTTTAGTAGGCTCAATGCGGGATGAAGTCTTTCACGAGGAAGCTGTCCGGCGCGAACGGCAACTCACTCAAACCAAAGAATATTGGGGCTGGATAGTCGACCACGGTAGCGCTTTTTATCGCCACGGCCACAAGATGCTATCAGCAGAACGCATCGTATATCGACTTGCAAACAACGACATTCCGGTTGCCACAGGTTTGCAGAAGCAGTTGACTGATGAGTGACGCACGTTGGCTGAGACTTCGGCCGGTCCCAATATTCAAAGTGAACTGCAGAAGGACAGGCAGAAATGGATGAAAGAGCGTGAGGAACTTGAACAGACTACGGCAGCAGCCAAGCATGAGCAAGACCACCAGACAGAACCAAAAAGGTGATTTCAAAAGGTCAGGCTGATCAGGGAGCTCTTCGCTCGAATATGGAGAATCTCCTGGCACAACAAGATGCGCGTGTGGCAGAACTGGAAAAACAAATGATCCCACAGAAAACTACATATGAGGATGAGCTCACCCAAGTTATAGAGCAGCAGAAACAACATCAAAGCGAAAAAGCCGAGTTGGAAGAAAGAGTGGTCAAAGAAGACACGGGATCCCGAATGAAAACGAGAAACCTTCACCATAAATGGAATTCTGGCTTGAAAACGATTGGCGTGATGCTTAACAAAGAGGCAGGTGTTCAGTCGTTTTACTCGATCACTCCGTACGATTCAAGATTTGTAGCCTCAAGCGGCAAGCTGCAGGCTAGGCATGCCTGCTTTATACCCAGGACTGTGTCAAATCTGTTAACAAGATACCAGCAGTAATGACAGTCCAAAGCTATCTCAGGGCTCAGCCTGGCTAGATGTGGTAAGTTATGGAAGTGGAGGAAGCTGGATTGCTTGCTATCCCAATGGCACTTGGAGTGAGTGATGGAACGACCCCCTGAGCCTTGTTCGGGAGACCAAGTCTCCATCCTAGCACAAAGCAGAAGCCTTGTGGCGGAATATCCCAGTCTTCTCACGGCTCTCAATATCAGATTCAACGAAGATCCAGAGGTGTGCATCCTTGGGCCCGATGATACCCACTTTGCGAAATGAAAAGACACCGGATCCGCCCGAGCGGAGGAAGATATCTGTGAAATTTTCAACATGGTTGGCAAGAAGATGAGATATGTGATATTGGGCTATGGGAAATCCTATGTTCTTTGTTTACAGAGTGAATGGGATTTCACCACGAAGTTCAAATACAACTTGAAAGCGCATGACCCAGATTTGGACCAGTTTCACAAGGCCAATAGGTCCATACATATTGTGGGGATGTGACTTGAATCATTTGTACATAGATACTGACCTTTTACTAGGCCATTGCGTTAGATCCCACAAGTACGACGAATTATATTCTAATCTGGGCAAGTGGTTATGGATTTGGATCTGAGTCGATGCGTTGGATCTGTGGGGACAAAGAGGCTTCGCACGCAATAGCACGCTGGTGGAACGCGTCAAACTAGAAGTTTGATCTCCTCTAAGAAGCAAGATTACGTCTGCTTCTCCTGAGAATGCATGCTTATTGATTTCTGAGAAATTGAATACACCGAGATGCTATTCTTGCAGCTTCTTTTGGGCTGATCATGCTTTTAATGAACATCACTGAGTCCATTATATAGAAAGCAATTGAGGATTGAAATATGCATGTTAACTGTCCCAATTCGCCGAATGGAACATTGACAGCCTATTTGAGGTTGAAGCCACATAAAGCAAACCTGCACTGATAAGAGTTAGCAGCCTGGTAAAATCAAAAGATAACAGACTATCCGGAGCGGCAGGGGTGATCATCATGCAGTGAATACGTGGACGCCGCTGAAATCCGAGTGGATTCAGATCAGCTAAATGGACTTGATACGAATGGGGCCTGAGCGGTTCCCCTCTTAGCCCCTACAGTACGCATTGAGTCTTCCTACTCTGAATTTTTCGTGAAGACTTTTCAAACTAGAATCTGGCGTCTATATTTGCTTTTTCTCATTAATCCCCGCTCTGCTCCAAGACGAGCTGATTATGGGCCTCATCTCCCATTGGTGATAGTTCATGCAAGCTCACTCTTAGGGCCCGTTCCGCCAGCCACATTCTTCCCCATAGCCCGCGCATGTGTCAAACCTGAATTGTCGGCATATGGTAGCGAGCTGGTTCTATTGGTGCGGTAGAGCTGCAGAGGTTAAGTCTAGAACCAAGCCTATCAGAATCTGCCATGTCCCTCCCAAGTTATTCTACAGTATGACGAAATGTCATGTTCTACTTCATTGAAAGATCGTGACGAACTATCGAATATAGAAATGATTTGCATTTACATCCGACTGATTACAAGAAAATATCATTTGGGTGAACAGGTTCGTCATTATATCCCGCCTATGCATTAGCTTCATGCCCCAGGGAGATCAATCGCTCTATTCACAATGGAATCACCAATGGCACTCTCAAGCCCCCTTCTTCCCGTTCACAGCCTGTTTGGTCTTGCTCTTTCTCATCCTTGTCCACGCATACGTGATGTTAGCTACATTAGGCAGATGCGAGTTGTCCCCGCCTCGCACGGGTATCGATTCTTCCTTCAAAATGCCGGCTCGAATCATTTCATTTACGCTTGGATGAATCTCGGCATCTATAGGTAGATCCCGCGAGGCACCGAGATTGGGGGGCAGTCGACGAGGAACCCATTTTCCTTTTTCTAACTCGAGCCGAGTGAAGATTGGAAGGCATTCTGAGATCATAAGTCAGTCTGGTTCCCATTTTGGGATAATTTGTATGAAGCATAAATGCTCACCTAGAATCCACCACATAATGACCATCACGAAGAAGGTTCCATATCCAAATCGCAGTGTGTCGTGTGGCTGGTTAGTTTCCCTTCGAACTTCAAACGCATTGGTGCCAGGCTCCTCCTTTCCGGGGAAGGCATTCTCTCTCTTTACCACATCATCAACGTTGAGCGTCTGGAATGTTAGTTTGCTCTTTGAGCCCTCCAAATTCAGAACTTCTTGAATCATCCAGTTCAAAGGAGTGTCTGAGAGGAGATGTTTCTGACCACGCTGAAGCCCATATCCGCCTCCAACATCGCAGTGATTACCAGCAAACCACACCTCCTTCAAGTCCACGGGGTCTTTGTCTGTGTCCATAAGAAAGAGTGCAGGCTTGAACTTTAGCCTTCTCTCGTGGATAGACACCGCATGTCGGATATGGCGAGCAGCGGGATTGGCAATCGCCTTGTAGGAGGTACGGTAGAACGGAATCTCAAACTGACCAACACTATTCACACAGTCAAAGAGACCGAGAAAATGAACCCCTACATCTGGGCGGCAGAATGTAGTCTTGAAATTCTCCAGATAGTCTTGCAGTTTGATTTCTTTGGCAGTGGGAGGGTCATTTGCGCGTGATTGCTGGTAATTGCTGAATGTCTCCCATGCAAAGTGGACCATTTCTTCATTTCCCTGAGAAAGAAGACCAAGATCCTGAATCATTTCGGCAAGGAAGCGAGCTGTATATGCTCCGCGTGAAAACCCAAAAATGTATATGTGATCCCCAGGAAGATAATAGCGCATTGCGAACTGGTAACCGGCCAGGACATGACTTCGGAACGATGATCCAACTGCCTGGTCGACAGTGGTGATAATACTGGATTTGATCTTGGGCCAAATAGTCAAGAGGTTTCCACTTGAACTTTCGCCTTTAACATAGGTGCCAATACCCGCTAGAAGACATGTGAGTTTCAATTTGTGTCGGTTTATGGTGACGTACGCTGGTAGTAGTGGAATTGACCAGGAGAGTGTCTTTCTAGCATCTGATAGATTTTCACGATATTTGTGTCAGACTCATTTCCCTGGAATCGATTGCCTGTGCCATCGAAGCAAAGCACAATTCGACGTGGACCAGAGGCCGAAGCAGGTATTCTTGGTTCATGGGTCGCGTGCGGCATAATGATCTAGTTTGAGAGGATGAAGTTCAACAGCACGTCTGTGATACAGCGGAGAGGTTTTATTCAACATATGAGGGGGAGCTTCAGTCCCCGAAGAGAACAGAAATTCCCTAGTCATCCATTTACCGTCAATTCCGCCAGCCACTGCAAACTATCAATTGGACTTGATAGCGCCAAGCTGCTGCATGATGCATGTATCCATTTTCAGCTCTAACGATCACTGACATGTTCATGCAGCAACCCCACCACCATGCACGTTCAACTCAGCTGAATTGGGGCCAGATTCATATACAGGCCAATGAACATGGATTGATTATGCATGGCGCGTATTTGATATTCTGAATCCCAAGTCCGTGATCTATTCATCAGATTTGTCCTCCGAGATATGCATCAACATACAGTGTGACAAGAGTTTTCTTCGCGCATATTCCGCCTGATTACTTGGCCTCTAGAACTATTGGGTGAAGCAGCAAAAGGTGGCTTGGGAGCGTCCTGCTGCTGATGCATGCTTTTCCCCCTCCCTCGTGTCTGCAGGCTATCTGAATATGACTTGAAGGTGGAGGTTTTTCAGCCGAGGGCTTTTGACACCTTGTGGGTTGCGCAGATTATGCCCCTATCGAGAGCGCAGTGAGGATGGCTGCTTGTAATGCGACCAGTGAGATCAATCCATTCCAAATTTTCGTACTGACAGCGGCCCCAGACAAGCATATGGCTGTCATATATATCTTGCCGCTCTCTTTCTGGTGTCTTTCCGTCAATTCATATCATCTAGAGGAATTTCACACGTGTTCTTGACTTCATCATATATCTCGATTCCTGAATCAGTCCTATTATCTCATGATGGGTTGGTTCAGTGAGGATGCGCCTCAGCCTAGGCCCTCTTGGGATAGCTTAGGCTGGACGTCTTTCCCTTGGGCTTCCACTCCCCCGCCAATTCCAACACGAGGTATGCTTTTTTTTTCTCTTTTGGAAAGACAAAGCTGTGAAGGGAGCACTCAAGCTAAAAATCACCAAGCATCGTTGTTTAGCCTTAGGTCATTGAATAACAATGGCTGGTGGTCATCTCCGAAAATTGAACCCGAGAGCCACGAATGGTATAGGGTCCTTGTCGAGAAATTTGGGATCAGTGGAACTGTTGGCCTGGTCCTTGGCTTTGTTCTCTGTCTGATCATTTTGAAGCTGGGTCAAAAGCGCTTGAGCCTCCCGTTCAAAAAGCGGCTCTCTGGTAAACCATCGAAAGCGTTGGTACCCAGGGGTACACAATCCGCCCTGAAGAGCATCAAGGGAATTGCGCCCGGTCTGCTGACAAGACTGAATCCATTAAATTGGAGAATATTCAACTTGCAAAAGATCGCGGAAGAAGATGACGATGAGAAATATCAAGCAGGGGAGCCATATGGTGACCCCAGCGTGATGGCCACGGGTCTCGTCAAAGATCTCAAGTCTGTCGGTCTGAAAGCAGGTGTGAGAGATCTGCAAACTTTGCTCAAGGTGGTCAAAACCAAAGGGAAACCTGTCAATGATCGAGAGATGACCGTGAGATTAAGAATTGAAGAATGCATCCAAGGAGACAAATGTACTGATAGTATCGCAGATGGAGAAGATGATCGCGATCACATCAGCTCTACCACGTCACTCAAAGACACGCAAGAAGTTATCGGGTATCATCATTGACAGCTTATGGCAAAGCTTGCAGCATCCCCCTCTCAGCTATTTGGGTGACAAATTCCAGTACCGAACCCCCGATGGAAGCTATAATGTACGTTGACAGTATGGAGTTTTTGTTGCTCTGGTATTATCTGACAGGAATGTACAGAATCCTCTTCAACCCGATCTTGGTAAAGCTGGCAGCCCCTATGCTAGAACAGTTCCAAAGCTCAAGCATTTGCACGGTGTTCAACCCGATCCAGGACTTTTGTTTGACTGTATGTGATCACAAATTCTCTGAGAAATATAGTTGCTAAACTTTTGAAGTGCTCATGGGCCGAACTGATGACACGTTCAAGGAGAATCCAGCTGGAATCTCTTCGGTTCTATTCTACCATGCCAGCATTATTATTCATGGTGAGGAGACCTCGATTACATAGTGCTATGGCCAGACTGACTGATTCAACCACTTTAGATGTGTTCCGTACAAATCGCTTTGACTCGAACATCTCCGACACCTCTTCTTATCTTGATCTTGCTCCTTTGTACGGATCGAGTCGTGCCGACCAGGAGAGCATTCGGACAATGCAGAGTGGTCTCCTTAAGCCGGACACATTTGCTGAGAGGCGACTCCTTGGATTGCCCCCTGGTATCAACGTTATGCTCGTCATGTATAGCCGGTTCCATAACTACGTCGCAGATGTTCTTCTGAAGATCAACGAGAATGGCCGTTTTACTTTGCCACCAACCAGAACTGATGAAGCTAAGCAACGCGCTCTTGTAAAACAGGACGAGGACTTGTTCCAAACAGCCCGACTGTAAGATCCCCATTCCTAATCAGAAGAACATCTCTGACAAGGGAACAGTGTCACCAACGGTCTCTATATTAACATCTGTCTGCACGACTATCTTCGCGGGTTAACAAATACTCACCACTCCACAAGCGACTGGACGCTTGACCCCCGTATTGCCGTTGAAAGACACTTTGACCCAGATGGCGTCCCTCGAGGTGTTGGCAACCAGGTGTCCGCAGAATTCAATCTTCTTTACCGATTCCACTCCACAATCTCCCAGCGAGATGAGAAATGGATGAATGAATTCCTGAGAAGCCTGTTCCCAGGAAACAACAAACCCCTCGACCAACTCACTCCCCAGGAATTCATTCAAGGTCTATTCAGATTTGAGCAAAGTATCCCAGAAGATCCCTCCAAGCGCGAGTTCTCAGGTCTCAAGCGTGACCAGCACGGTCGGTTCAGCGACGGAGATCTAGCAAGAATCATGAAGGAAAGCATGGAAGATCCAGCGGGTCTCTTTGGTGCCAGAATGGTTCCTAAGGCACTGCGTATCATTGAGGTCACTGGTATTCTCACGGCACGGAAATGGCAACTCGCATCTTTGAATGAGATGCGCGACTTTTTCAAATTGAAGCGCCATGATACCTTCGAGGATATTAACCCTAACCCTGAAATTGCCGATCTCCTTCGAAAGCTGTATGACCATCCTGATATGGTTGAAATGTATCCTGGAATGTTCCTCGAGGATGCTAAGCCACGTATGGATCCAGGTATGTTTGACATCAGTTCTTGTCTTATATCAAGTTTGCTTACCGGTTACGCAGGATGCGGTGGATGTCCACCATATACCGTTGGAAGAGCTGTCTTCAGTGACGCTATCACCTTGGTGCGATCCGATCGCTTCTGTACAGTGGTTTGTCTTTCTTTCCAATTACTCAAAAAAAATTGGGATATGTCCGGCTAACAGGAAACCAGGACTATACCGCCTCAAACCTCACGAGCTGGGGCTTCCAAGAGGTTCAGCAAAACCTGGACCTGTAAGATCATCCTCTTTCTAATATTATATAGCAACTGACTTAGTGTATAGCATGGGAGGATCAATGTTCCACAAATTGTTCCAACGCGCTTTACCAGGATGGTTCCCATACAACTCGCTCCACACCACACAGCCAATGTTCACCCGAAAGATGAACGAAGAGATTGCAAGGGAAATCGGCACCATCAGTCAATTTTCCTTGGCCGGCCCAGCACCGCCACCAGCCCCTATCATCTTGACCAAGCATTCGACTGTGACGAAAGTGTTGAAAGATCAAGCGAATTTCCGCGTCCCGTGGATCAAGTGGTTGAACGATATTGTCCCGGGTAGGAAATTCAACAGCGCCATGCTGGCAGGAGACCTTCCCATGAACACTGCACAGAAGAATCTGGTTACGGATATTATGTTCAGTCCGGCAGAGTTCATGCAGCTTTTCTCTGCGACGGCGATGGCTGCTGGAAAGGAACTCATCGATAGAGAGACTTTGAACTTGAAAACGAGTTTGGACCAGATCGATATTGTTCGCGAGTGAGTCTGAATCTATTTTATTTTTATTTTAGAATATTGATCAACTGACAAACAATGTAGTGTCGCGATTCCCTTGAACACCCGGCTTCTGGCTGATCTGTTCGCTCTGGATCTCAAGACGCGCGAGAACAAGGGCGGAAGCCTGAGTGGGCCGACATTATACAAACACCTTGTGGATGTCCGAACATTTGTCTTCAACAACAATGATCCGGCTCTCGCGTTGCAGCGCAGAGATGCTGCTCGTGAGGGTGTTGAAGCCCTGACAGAGACCGGCTTGGAAGCGATTTCTGGCGGAGACTCTCGGTCTCTTTTGTCGCGAATTCCACTTATTGGTTGGATATTTGGACCTAAAAAGGCTAAGAGAAGCAAGCCGGCTGTTGGGTCTCTGCGCTGGTATGGCCAGAATGTTATGAGAGAGATAATTGCTGCCGGAAAAACTCCTGAGGAGACCGTCGATATCGGCTGGTTGACTGCTGTTGGTGGTGTTGGAGCCCCAATCGGAGTGGTTTGTCCCTCCAAATTCAGAATACCAGAGGCTGTAGACTGACTGTGTTATTTTTTTTTAGTTTGTTGATGTTCTCCATTTCTTCCTCAAGGAAGACAATTCCCACCACTGGGAGGCCATCCAGGGCCTTGTCAGCCACTCTGATGCGAAGTCCGCCGATAGCACATTGCGACAATATGTGCTTGAAGCTCAACGTTTGACAAGCAGCCAGCGAAATCTCCGTATCTGTGCCAGTGAAACCACGATTGATGGCAGAACTTTCAAGCCTGGCGATGCGGTAGTTTCATTACTGGTAAGTATCCTTGACTTAAGCTTTTTTTTAAAAAAAAAAAAAGAGATATAGGTTTGCTAAACGATCAAATTTTGCAGGGCGTAGCATGCATGGACCCAGAAGTTGTTCCTCATCCTCAGAAATTCAAACTCGACCGACCTTCCAGCGCGTACATTCACTATGGGTATGGTGCACACGAGTGCATTGGTCGGGAAATAACCCTCTCATTTGTAGTATCTCTCGTCAAGCTTTGTGCATGTCTGAAGAATCTCCGCCCTGCATCTGGCGACATGGGGGTCTTGAAGCATATCACACTTGGCACTGAGCGATGCTATTTGAACGACAGCTGGTCGCACTTGACCTTCGATCCAACCAGTAAGTTTGGCTGCTACACCATACCTTCTGTTCTTTTATACTCATATACTACCTTCTAGCATGGAAAGTCCACTTCGAAGGCCGCGGTAAGGGAGTCTACAAACATCCCAAGACGCCCGTCACTGCTGGCCGAGATTTGAATGCTTTGTCCAACTCACTTATCCAGCAACAAAAAGACTTTTTGCAGACAACTGTTAAGATCACAAACGGTGGAGGCGTTGCGCACTCTCCCAAAGACGTACATCTTGTCGCCGATGAGATCAACGGTGAACTTGACGGGGCGACTGACCTTGAGGGTGATTCTGATTCTGTGGTACACCAGGTTATCCCTGTTTATGAAGATGAACAGCACCATGAGACAATTAACGATGTGCATGAAGTTAGCTTCTCTTCTTTTCGTCACTCTTATGAGAGGGATCATGAGAGAGACTTGAGCTATGGGCTGACGCGGGGGCAGTAGTTTTGGATAGGTTGCTATTGTTCCTTTGTATTCATCGCCTATTACTTTTTATCCTCAATTTGTAATTTTCTCCGTTCATATTCTCGATGAATTTGTAGAACCGTGATCATTGATTATATATAACGTCAAGCTTGAGAATCATACCCCTTTCATATCTTTGTACATCGCATTCATGCAACCGCCCTCGGTTGAACTTGACAAGTGACATTTGTCGATCGATTGAACCACCCCTTGTGCACTTCCCACCGATCGACTAACAGCTCAAAGTTGAACTCTCGCAGAATGGTAGGGAGTAATTTATACATCTCAGTCTCGCTGACAATCCGACCAATGCACATCCGCGGTCCATGACCGAACTGTAGCATGGATTTCTCCATATGCCGAACAGTATCGTCATCTTGAAGCCATCGCTCAGGGATCCATTCATGGGCATCTTCGCCAAAGGCCCGCTTATCCACCTGCACAGCAGCTGCAGTCATAAGGACTTCCACACCACCAGGGACAAAGGTGCCACATAGCTGCACGCCTCCTGAAGGTACCTCTCGTGGGAACCCAGCTCCTGTCGACGGATGGATTCTCATACTTTCCATCACGACAGCATGGAGATATGGGAGCTTCCGCGCGGCACTGAAACGCACCGGATCTTCTAAACGTCCTTGTTGAAATGCGGTATCGATTTCTTGTCGTAGTTTTGCCAATTTGGTGGGATTTTTGTGCAGGTGGTAAAAGATGGCCGTCAAAGCTGTAGCAGTCGTATCACTGCCCGCCCAGATCACGGACCAGACCTCAACCACAACATCTGAAAAGTTCCACTTGATCTTATCACCCTTCTCGCGCACCATTTCCAGAAGACCAGACAGCATATCGGTTTTGGGGTAATGGCCTCCTTCTTGCATAACTGTCCATCGTTGGCTGGCGGCGTTTTTTGCCTGCTTAACAGTATCTAGCATACCCAGGATACCATCTCGGGTATTTTGGAATGCTAATTGAGAGATCATATATAGAGATTGGAAGCCCCATGGCATATAAGTGATGGAAGCGCCAACATCGGGCATAACACTCATGAGATAGCACCAGCGGTTATAGTCCTTGTCATCACGGATCATGCCAAAACCCCCCTCACGGCCGTGAAAAATCTCGCCCATCACATCAAAGGTGTAACGCTCCAGCCAGACACTCATGTCCATGGATTCGCCAGATTCGGAAAGATTCTTCATTTGCTGACGGAACAAGTCAATCAGCCTGTCGATGCAAGGCTCGTATTTTAGGACGTTGCTCTGCGAATACATGGCACCGACCAACCGCCGTCTTTCAGCAGCCTTTGTCTCATCCCGCTCGGAAAAGCTGTCTGTGCGAGCGTTCGGAATGTGCATATTGAATCCGTCGTATAGGCCCCCCCTTCCGCCAAGCGGGACCATTTTTAGTCCCGAATACGGTCTCTATAGCGGCAGGGTTTCCTACAGCAAGGTATTTTGGACCTATACGCACAAAGTCGCCATATTTTTCATGGAGCCCATGGTGGATATCGTTTGCTTTCCCAAGACGATACGTTTTGAACAACCATAGTGAAGTAATTGAAGCCCAAAAAGGACCTGGGAAATGGCGTAGCGGGTGGAAATATCGGTTATATACGACAACTGACAGAACATATACCAGATATGCCGGTATCAAGATCTGGACGCCCAGCCAGAGCCCTTCGGTGGTTAGACGCAGCGATATCATTTGGAGAGGCTTGAAGTGCCAACACACGTGCAAGAAGATATATTCAAGCGACAAGACGGAAATGCGTGATCATAAATAACTCGCATATCACACCTATCACATAAAGGGGAAGTTTCGGTTGCCTCTGGGCATGTCGATCGGTGGGGCTGAGCCAGTTGCCCTTTTGACGCGTTGCAAAAATGAGATAATTGCTTGATGACTATTGGATGTTGATTGTATCTGGGCTTTCGATCCCATCCACTTGTATCCTCCGTGGTTGCTATAGGAGAATGGGCAAATTTATAGTGGGCTCTACTTCAGTACAGTAAGTGGTAGCTCAAGCTTCATTGCAATCACTCAGATATCATCGGACACTGTATTTCCACAGCTACTAAACTGGCGGCGTGTAAAGACCTCGCACGTAACCTTTATCCTTGTGCGCCCTCCTAAATTTGGTATCTAATGGTCAACTGTGTCAAAGGATGAGTGAGCATTTAGAGATCTCAGCCACAGTGGAGAGACGATTACATGTGAAGGCACGCCCCACTGCAGAACATATGGACGTGCACCGATATATTTACTGTGATCCCAATTAGACATGTACTCCGTAAATATTGTTCATTCAATATACGACCAGGGGGATATATGCCTCAACTAGTACTGCGGCCCTCGGAGCGAGGCTGCGCCCGCGTATTTTGATTTCAGGCGGCCTGCATGCCCCTGAGTCTAAGATTAGCTATTGCATGCAGATTGAAAGGCTGGTCTACGCCATCCAAATATCCAAATCATGTAAGCCTAAGCAATTCACATCGCCTAGAAGTTTAAGAAACTTCAGATAAAAAATACGCTATTTTGATAGCGTATTTCATATGCGAGCGGTGCACCCAAGCGAGCGGCGCACCCCAAACGCCATATTAAAAGGGGTAAATTACAACTTAATAGCTCAACAACGGTGGTCTGTAGGGACTTTGCCCCATAGCATCATGCTTTTTAGACGATATTCAGGCTCTTGGGGGCGTTTGAAGGAATTTTATAACATAGTGAACAAGATATCTGGCAGAAAGTAACGTAATTTTCGATACCATGATAATACAGCCGCTCGCATGTGAAATACGTTAGTGCATCGCCTCGAGGGCTGAGTCACAATGCAATTCAACGCCCCACATGGAAGTATGAACTTGTACGTCGATTCATACTAACGTGCTAGCTACATGCAAATGCCAGAATCTCTACTTTTGATTCGTTCTTTTCTTTCTGTCGCGTGTTTTGTCGTGTCACCTGCCGCACTGAGCCTCATCCTTTCTTCATAGGGCTTAGACCCCAGTCTTGCATTTAAAAGCCTTGCCTCTGCCGCCATTTTTGCTTCAGTAACAGTTCACTCGCATTGAAAGTGAACACATTCATTATGTCCGATCACAAAGAACCCTCAGTGGCTGTTCCAGTTGCTAGCCAGGCTGCGACTGACCCAGCTCCTACTGTTTCAGCAGAGCCAACAGCAACAGAAGCAACCACACCACCAACCACGTCAACACCAGCAGCCCATACGGTCACACCTATTCCTGACACTAGTCCTCCCCAGTATGAAGAGTATGTAACTTTATCCAATACAAACATTCAATGCTAACGTACCTAGACACCCCAGAGATGTGATCGCACCAGAACCAGCAGTCATATCTGACACCACAGACAACAACACACTGGGTCCTGTACCAGAGAAGGTGGCACCCGCTGCAGTCACCCCAAATGTAATTCCCCTCAACCGGCTAAACGACAAGCCAGGCTTCGTGAACTGTCCATTCTGCTTTCACTGTGCTCTGACTAAAGTCGAAAAAACGAGCACCAGTTCCACCTCGTAAGTTTCAGTTTTATGATCTACTTGTCCTATTTTCAATGCTAACAAGTTACAGTATGGCTGCCGTCTGCTGTTGTCTCTTCGGTGGCATTATCTGCGCCTTCTTGCCCTATTGCTTCGAGATGTGTCATGATAGCCACCACTTCTGCGGAAACTGCAACAACAAAGTAGCCTTCCTTTCAGATGAAGGCAAACTGGAAGTCTACTCGCCAGCTAACCCTGCTCCGAGACAAGGACAGAGTCGGGCTCCTGTCAACACTGCCCCCAGCCCCATTCAACCTCCACAGGCACAGCCCGTTATGAAGAATTAAGGAATACAAGGCATGCACGCCACGGTATCCTTGGTTCTTTTTTCTTTCTTTCTTTGTTTGCCCCAGCGGCTAATCGGCACTGATGTATTTCGTTGCCTATGTTAAGTCATGTTAATACCTGATACGAGACCGGAAATACCCTTGATTTCTCGTTGTAAATATGTCCGAGCTGAGTTGTGTTATTCCTAATATATTACCTAGTCAACGAATATGCATCTTTTGCCCCGACACAGAAGAAAACTTCATTCCCAACTGAGCTCAAATTCTGGAATTTAAAAAACGGCCCCAGTGGATAACAATACGTCTAGTCCCAAGCTAAGCCAAGCTTGGGGGCCGCCCCGTGCCCCCAATGAAAAGTTTGCCAGTGTGCCCGAACTAGTGATGTCTAGTACGCCTTGGGTTACATGTGCAAGGAGCCCGTGAGAGTTCCTTCTCAATACGAACGGCCAAACATACAATGTGAGTTAGATGCCTTGGCAGACTTGGCATCGGGCTCGATCTGACGTTGGCGATGTGCACCACCTCAAAGGGCCATGAACTGAACAGAATTAGGCCTATATAGTTACCGATTATGAATACTCCGTATGTGCGGCTATTTAGTGCCAGGAGATACCTCGAACCGGGGCTTGATTAGATCTTGTGTTTCGGAGCATGCGATAGAGCCCTGACTCGGGACTTAGCTCTACAGCCTGCTGGTAGCTTTGACTCACGCTTGATACTATTTAAGACTGATCGAAATAGTACGCTATTATCGGTGATTAATTGGTGAAAGCTTCGTCTGCTCATGGTGGATGTCTTGCTAACGATTCAAGCATTAGTCGGGTCTGTCTCATATGGTGACGTTGCTATGCATGTTAATACTCAGCAAGCGCTACCTCTGAGTGTTCCAGAAACCTTTGAATGAACACAACTAATTATAGTGGTCTATAATGACGAACAGGAATAACCAGTGAAGTATACACGTGAAGTGGTGTTTGTGGCCTCAGGAATGAATGACACCTCAGGCCGCAAATTCGATGATGCATGCATTGCCTGACATAAACGCCGAATGGTACGTTTGCTCCTCCACGTCATTGACTTGTCAGACAATCAAGATGTTATCCTTGTTGTTAAAAAGCCGGGATATCTCAGGCTTATCCACTTCTTCCACACTGCATCTTTCTGCAGTTTCAGTGTAAATCAGCCTACATCGACATTCGCCGGATTCCCGGAACAACATCACACGAGGTTTCCAACGCCCTTGCATATTGTGAAACCATCTCTATTCAGTGGGATTACACAACATGGCATCAAATGCGGGCGAGAAGAGCATCTCCGCTTATGGAGAGGCTCGCTCGACGGTGGAGGGAAAACCTCTTGATGCCGAGGAGGTTCGGAAGATGAATGCTTACTTCCGGGCGAGCATGTACCTTTGCTTGGGTATGCTTTACCTTCGTGAGAACCCTCTCCTCACCGAGCCTCTCAAATTGGAGCATCTGAAAGCTCGGCTCTTGGGTCATTGGGGATCTGATGCTGGTCAATCATTTACTTGGATTCACATGAACCGACTCATCAAGAAGTACGACCTTGATGTGCTCTTTGTTTCCGGTCCTGGACATGGAGCCCCTGGAATCATCTCTCAGTCTTATCTTGAGGGTGTCTACTCAGAGGTCTACCCTGACAAGGCCGAGGACGCTAAGGGCATGCAGAAGTTTTTCAAGCAATTCTCGTTCCCCGGTGGTATTGGAAGCCATGCAACCCCTGAGACACCCGGTAGTATCCATGAGGGTGGTGAGCTGGGATACTCGCTATCGCATGCTTTCGGCTCTGTCTTCGACAACCCAAACCTGATTACTTTGACCATGGTTGGCGATGGCGAGTCAGAAACCGGTCCACTCGCCACTAGCTGGCATAGCACCAAGTTCCTGAACCCAATTGTCGACGGTGCTGTCCTTCCTGTCCTCCATCTCAATGGATACAAGATCAACAACCCTACTGTCCTTGCACGAATCAGCCATGACGAGCTGACGGCCTTGCTCGTTGGCTACGGATGGAAGCCCTACTTTGTTGAGGGCAGTGACTTTGACACCATGCACCAAGCCATGGCAACCACTCTCGAGCAGTGTGTGTTGGAGATCAGGAAGTATCAGAAGCAAGCCCGAGAGACGAAGACTCCCTTCAGACCTCGCTGGCCAATGATCGTTCTCCGCACACCCAAGGGATGGTCCGCTCCACGAGAGGTCGATGGCCACTTACTTGAGGGTTTCTGGCGCGCGCATCAGATTCCCATCACCGATGTGCGCACCAACCCTCCTCATTTGAAGTTACTGGAGACCTGGATGAAGGGGTACAAGCCAGAGGAGCTTTTCGACAACAATGGTACCTTGATTCCAGAGCTCAAGGAGCTCGCCCCAACTGGTAACTCCCGTATCAGTGCCAACCCTGTTGGCAACGGAGGCCTCTTGCGCAAGCCTCTCAACATGCCTGACTTCCGGAAGTACGGATTCACGGACATTGTCCCAGGCTCTACCCTCAAAGGAGGCATGGCAAACATGGCCATCTTCCTCCGTGACCTGGTCGCTCAGAATATGAATAACTTCCGACTGTTCGGTCCTGACGAGACTGAGTCGAACAAGCTTGCAGAGGTGTACAAGGCTGGCAAGAAAGTCTGGATGGGCGATTACTTTGAAGAAGATAAGGATGGCGGTAACCTGGCGCCTGATGGTCGTGTGATGGAAATTCTCAGCGAGCATACATGCGAAGGGTGGTTGGAAGGTTACGTTCTTTCTGGTCGGCACGGTCTCCTGAACAGCTACGAGCCGTTCATCCACGTCATCGACTCGATGATCAACCAGCACTGCAAATGGATCGAGAAATGCCTTGAGGTTGAATGGCGTGCCAAGGTCGCTTCACTCAACATCCTTATCACTGCCACCGTCTGGAGACAGGATCACAATGGATTCACTCACCAAGATCCTGGCTTCCTCGACGTGGTCGCCAACAAGAGTCCGGAAGTAGTCCGCATCTACCTTCCCCCCGATGGCAACACCCTGCTTTCCGTGATGGACCACTGCCTCCGCAGCGTAAACTATGTAAACGTCATCGTCGCCGACAAGCAAGAGCACATCCAATTCCTAAACATGGAAGAAGCAGTCGCACACTGCACCAAGGGTCTTGGAATCTGGGACTGGGCCAGCAACGACCAAGGTAGCGAGCCAGACGTCGTAATGGCATCCTGCGGCGACGTCTCAACCCACGAAGCGCTCGCCGCAACAGCCCTCCTCCGCGAGTACCTCCCCGACCTGAAAGTCCGCTTCGTCAACGTCGTCGACCTCTTCAGACTGATTTCATCTATGCACCATCCGCACGGCATGACAGACAAGAAGTGGAAAGCAATCTTCACCACGGACAAGCCAATCATATTCAACTTCCACTCTTACCCCTGGCTCATCCACCGACTCACATACAAGCGTCCCGGCCAGCACAACCTGCATGTACGCGGATACCGCGAGAAAGGCAACATTGACACGCCCTTCGAGCTGGCTATGCGCAACAACACCGATCGGTACAGTCTTGCTATTGACGCCATTGATTTGGTTCAGTCGCTTGGTAACACTGCTGCTGGTGTGAGGGAGAAGCTGATTAATGAGCAGCTGGCTGGTAAGGCTGAGGCGTTCAATAATGGTCTTGACCCTGAGCATATTCGCAACTGGTCTTGGCCTTGGCCTAACAAATAGATGGATGCCACTCTAGGGTGAATGTTATTTTTCATAGGCAGATCTCGATAGTAATTTATGTTCACTTTATCTGTTACTTCTTGCAATCCTCATTCTGATTTGGTATCGAATATTATACTTCATATGTCGTCTGATGCATGCCACTTTTGTTTTGGCCTTGAAGCTACTCTGTGGCCTCTCCCAGCGAAAACAATACTGCCCCATCTCCATCGCAGTCTGTCAAACCCTCGGTCCCGTTGTCCAAATTGTCTGTTCATCCGCAGTCTTGTCTAGGTCGCAAGGTACATCATAGTCGGGTGCGATTGGTAATTCCGGCCAAGTGAGTCGATGAGACGCATTGAATTCTCGTTCTCTGTCTTCCTCTGGTGTCCGTTTAGTTGCTTGTTTATACAAGAAATTGCGAAATTTCGAAACCTTGGAGTCCAGCTCCCAATTACAGGTCTGCTCGGACATATTCAGCACCATACCCATATTTCGATCCCAAGATGGAATATTTGCAAAAATGTGCATCTTTTGTGATAAAATCGTATGGTGTACAACATCAGTCACATCACGACCATCTACCAAGTGCTTTTGTCTACATGCGGCCCAATCAAAGTCGACAAGAAGAATATTGTTTGTCTTGGGATCGATAAGCAGATTTCGAGGTGCAATATCTTGATGCACAATTCCAAGCTCGAGGTTAAGGAAATCCATGAGTTGCGTGGGCTGTTGTAACTATTCAAATTGGAAAGGGATATTCCCAGTATTGATTGTCCCGCCTGAAATATACTTTGTTGTGAATCCAATCACCCGCGCTTCCACGTCTTCGTACGATGCCAGATCAAGACCTGGACCAAGCCAACCAAGCTCCTGAAGCTGAGACTACTTGATTATACGGCAATTTGCTAGTGAATCACACTTTGAGAAGGGGAGATATGCAATAAGCATAGTATTATCCTCTTCAGGATAAGTCGAAACGCTCATGAGTAGCCCATCGTCGTCGACTGTGATGGAGCGAACTTCCGGGAACAATGAATCAGCAAAACTTTGCCAGAAATGATCTTTCTATATTTCCATCAGGCCGCAACAGTTTCGCAGTCCTTTAATCTTGACCACGCGCAGTCGATCCCAATCCCAGGCGTTGCATTTTGCTTCGGTCATGGGGTCTTCGTTTGTGCCGAAGTAGCATTGGCTTTCGGGGAAGAATAGCACACAATATACTTCAAAATATTGATCGGTGTGGGTTTGCAGTTGTCGGGTGAGCGACTAGTGTTGTGGACTGAAGGCGAAGGATGATTTATGTTATATATTTCATGATCACGTGAAGAACAAAGCAGCAAAAATAATTAGTACGGTTGAGAGGTTCATAAGAGAATATTAGTGCTAATCTATGTGTCAACAAGTTGGCATGCGCAAAGGCTTTCCTCTTGTGCTGCTGTCAGATGAACTCGATGTGTCTTAGTCGTACTTGAGGGGTATTATTGCTCGCGGAAAAAAACAAAATCGGAAGATCACGCATCTTGATACGTATAAGGCATGGTGAGAAAAATACTATCGAAATGAAGAAGATACGCAATATCGTGGGGTAAAGCGGTTCTGTAGGTGTGGATATAGGGTGGATTGCTTCATGAAGTGTGCCTATATTCGACCAGTTTCTAGTGTGCTATGGCGCAAACAGTATACTTCTGTTGGAGCATAGTGGTTATCTACGCTGCCGTGTAGGCCAATACAGTAATAAAAGGAAGAAACGAAACCAGTCAAGAGTCATAGTCATACATGAGTTAGAAAACCAAAGAGCCATCACCACGCCAGCCCAATTTTCCTTTAGAAGCACCAAGAGAAAGATAAACCAAGAATAGATATGCCGCCCAAGTTATTCACTGCAACAAGCAGGGGGTAGAAAGAAAAAAGTCAAATAGAATGCCAGAAGAAAAAGACGTCCAGTCAACTGCTTGACTCTTATATCTGCTACTCGTTTTATAACTCTTTGCCTTCTATGTCTATGCGCGTAGAAGGAAAATGCGATTTTCATGCCCGAGACAAGAAGAGATAGATTGGAAGTGAGAAAACGGTGTCCTGACAGCAGGTGTCCGCAACGTGACATATGGCCAAACGCCTTGCACGATGCAGAAAAATGTGATGGAAGCGGGAATAGCGGATTAAAAGACGTGAGAACCACGAGAAAGTAGATGGCGTAAAGTAGGTCATGGATGTTCAGTGAGATAGTACATATCGAGTAATGAAGCGAGGACAGATGGTAGGCGGATCAGCCAAATCGACCGACGGGGATATCGTGGCGATGGAGATCCTTGGACCACTCTGGGGCGATCTTGTCGCGCTCGTACAGCAGACCACAGTTGTGGCAGAGTGTCTGAAAAGGGAAACGTTAGACGGATCTCACTATATAAGGAAAGGTGACAACTTACCCGAGGACCGTCTGGACCGTCTCGTACAGCCCATACTGCGGTACCCCACACCATACAGTTGTTGCATCGCCAGCTCTGTCGCTCCCTGTATACCACTGTTAGAAAATACATTCAATGCACATGCGCCGAAACAACGTACCAGTCAGAAAGGGTTCCACCGCCGCCACCATAACCAGCTCCTGATCCGGTATCCGGAGTTCCGCGACCACCAGGTGTGCCACTTCTGCCAGAGGGACTCAGACTACGGAATCGGCGCTTCCGCTTATTGCGCTCACCACGACCAAGAGGCGTCTCGCCGCTGTCGGCTTCGAAGTAATTACCGTTCGGTCTCGATGCATCAGGCGTGATACCTGTAGTTGAGGAGAACCTGGCAGTTTCTCGGCGGAGACGTCTGATCTGGCGTTCACGATCTCCCTCTCGTCGTTCAATCTCTTCCTTAGACAGAGTTTCGACCTTGGGGTCCCATTCGTCACAGAGAGTCTCGGGCTCGTATCTCCAGCCTGCCTCGACGCCATTGGCGGCCAGGTTATCGATCTCATTTCCGTACGTGTTCAGTCCAGCAGCAAGAGTGCCACCTTCGCATACTTCTTTCTTGAACTTCAAGACGGCTTCGTAGATGCCATGCGCAATTGCGCTAACCCATTCACCACCTAGACTGAGATCGGCGCAAGTGATGCGCGCGAATTCTTCAGCCATACCAGGTGGATGTAGTAGAGACCACTCGAACTTGTCCGTGTACAACTTATTTTGCAGGTTGATGTTGAGATTTATCAAGCACCGGTAAGCATCATCTGGGTTCAGAAGGCTGTCATTCACGAATGCAACCTTGGTAACGGTCACGGTAGTTCCATTTGCTGGAGCTGGGGCTGAGGTATCGGGTGTTGCGGGATTGGGAGTTGCAAGGTTCGGTGTCGCCATATTGGGGGTTGCAACATTGGGTGTCCCAGCATTAAGAGCCGCGGGTGTCATAGAGGTGTCTCGAGATGGTTCGGTCTGAGGCGGGGGGTTTGGCAATAAGCCTGGGTCTGAGCTCTGGAAAAGAGGGTGAAGTGCGACACCTGCGTATTCCTCAAGTTGCTGTCGAATCTGATTGCTGATAGTCATAGTCGTGGCTTGAGGATTGGGAAGATCGAGATCGCGAACGAACCCAATTGCGAACTCCTCAGGTGTAGAGAGAGACTCGTGAAGGTTCCAAAGGAAAGTATCTTTGATTCTGAATGGGGGTAATGGGTCGGGTCTGCGATACGCAGGAAGAGTCGGGTTGATGCTAGGATCCACGATCGTGCGCGGGAAGGGGAAAGGCTCGAGGGGTTGATGTGCGGGGACTTCCACGTCGATTCGAATAGGAACGAGAGTGAGAGGAAGCTGTGCTTGGATCTGAAGTTGATCGGCACATCTAGAATCACCGCGCTGTATGTTAGCCAGATGAACAGAACACAGAACAGCGAGACAGAGGCCATGACGTTAATGGCCAGATGTATCTTGTCAATGGGGAACATACGCTGGTCGCAGCATCCGCTTTATCATCCATTCACGGAAAAGGCCCTGTACTTCCACGGGCTCATGGACTTCTTTGCCTAACTTCTCTGAGTATGGAATCAACTTGTCGGCAGTTGAGTCTTCGCGCCGAAGGCTTCTGAGACCTGTTGGTCGCCGTGGGCCATCGCTTTCATCAAAGTCTTCATCATCAAATCCATCCTCGGCGTAATTGATAGCGGTAGTGCCACGCTTCGTGGTGCGCGGCGTCGGGCCGGTCTGCGACGGAGGGTTGACGGGTGTGAGCAACGCGTTCCCATATTGGCGCACGCGCGGGGGGTAGGAGGTAATATAGCCTCTGAGAGGGGACATGTTGGCGATTTAATTGCACGGGAACATGCCCCTTCGAGGGGTTAGTCGAGAAGAGGAGAGCTTGCGATGCTCAGTGTCGGTATTGGAAGGGCTGATCACCAAAGGCAGAATTGAGATTGGTCCAAGCACGAAGAGTGGTGACAACGGCAACTTGGAGATTGTCAACTGAGGATGCGTAAGTCGAGCAACCTTAAATTCCACACCCGGACTTTAAAGACAGTATCGACTGGGAAGACTCGCCCTGAGGTCAGTCTGCGCAAAGTCGCGTTTTGCCCATTTCGACGCTAGTCCGCTTCCAGTGTGTCACGTGCCTGGTACCTCTTAGGCGTGAGTTCTGTATACGATAAGTAGCTTCACATTCTTGGTCTTTGTTTACCTGCTACACGAGAATTGTGGCTGCCAAACAGATTGGACCTTAGATTCAAGCCAGATTTGCTAGTTTTTGATCCTGCACCATATATTCAAAGGTTCACAGCCAAAATAACTACTGTATCCAAAAGTGTCTCGCCAATTTGAGTAGGAAAATCAATATACTGAAAGGAATGAAAACACCAAACTGCTAAGTACGCCAGCCCTGCTGTCGGTGAGATAGGCTTGATCAGCGGAGTTGCAAAAAACGTGTAAATGCAACCCTGACGAAGAAAAGACGAAACAAATTTCGAGGCGCAAGGCCGGGGAATGATAGTCGCAGTACAAATGCAAAGAAAAGAAATATTCAGCGGAGACCAATAACGCTCTGTGAAC